TTCAGGGGGCGCAAGACTTTTGGGTCGTCACACACCATTTTTCATGAAGGATTACTCCACAACCCTCTAGACTGGTACGGATATCAGTTGCCTATAAAACGCATCTGGTAGACACCTTCTGTAGAGTTACGTTTCTTGAATTCAGCTATGCAGTCCAGTCTTATCTATTTCTCCACTATGGCGTCACGTGAGCTTGTAGATGCCATGGCCCAGTTTATATCCATCGGAATGCCAGTTAGAGTATTGGGCAAACGCGCTCTGGAACTGGCGGGAGTTAAAATCACCACTGCGTGGGTCTGTGATAGGGAAGTCATCCCCTCTTGGAATAATGACTCAATCACTATACGGGGAGGTCTATCAAAGACCTCTTGACGCTTCATTTGCTAGAAATGCAGCAGCGTTACATTTGTGCCACAAAACCAACCAATCAGTGAATTAAAGAGGGTCAATTATGATTGGTCTCCCATCACAACGCTTCCTAAAGAAGACGAAAAAACGAGGTATTGGAAGTCCGGCTAGCCACCATCAGACATGACCCATGCAATTGATGAGAACACCAAGTGTTTTAATCCAGGCCGTTAGCATTTAGCACAAATGCTCCAAACTTCAACAACTCGCTGAGCTTCCGCGATGCTGTAGGTAGTTCTACTAGCGTTGTGATTGGAGACCAACAGCCAATCACAATGGACCTTCTTTAATTCTCTGATTGGTTGGTTTTGTGGCACAAATGTAACGCTGCTGCAAGTCGAGCGAGCGCGTGAGTGAACCGTCGAGCGAGCGCAGAGTGAAGAGGTGGAGCGAGCGCAGCAACCGCTGCTTGCGCGCAGAAAACCAGTTTGTGGCGAGGGCACCTCAGTAAACTGCGCGCACGGAATGTTTTTCTTTGCTACAACATAGTTCTCTGTGCTCAAAACTTAAAATTACGCGCTCAGGATTGTGGCACAAATATAACGCCATAAAGAAGCTGCAGGGACTCCTGCGACAAATCAGTGGAGGCTGGAAGAAAAGCCTCATGAATGAACTCCCAAAGCACACACACACACACACACACACACACACACATACACACACACACACACCTTCCCACACATTTTTATTTCTTGTCATCCTCTGCATGTTACGATGGGAATCTTGTTTTAGTGGAGGACGTTTTGCACTTTCAGAAATAAGACATAAAAGCAACATTTCCACATTTTAGCATTACTTCTATTACATATTCTTTTATTATAATGAGTATGGCTTTTTATCCTCACACAGAACAAAAGCCACGCCTGCACACTTTATACAGTATGAAATAATAGTGCGCACATATTACATATTTGAAATTGTACATTATTCTCTGACTAATGGATCCTGGAGACCGAGGTCAACAACAACCGTGACCTCACCAGTGACCCCGCCACACCGGCCTCCTTTCTGTTCCCTTCCTTGGCATTTAGCTAAAAGTGTGTGTGTGTGTGTGTGTGTGTGTGTGTGTGTGTGTGCGTGTGTGTGTCTGCGTGTGTGCGTTCAGGCCCGTAAAGCCCTGGCGGACCGGCAGAAGGATCTGGAGGTGAAGACGCAGCAGTTGGAGATCAAACTCAGCAACAAGACGGAGGAGGACATCAAGAAGGCCCGCCGGAAATCCACACAAGCAGGTTAGAGGTCACGGAGCTTTGGGTTAAACCAACTTTATGAGTGAATTAAAAGAATAATTCATTTAGATGATTGGGCATCTTCACTTGATAAGAAAAGGTTTTATTATTTAAGGTGGTATGTGAGCCGATCAGCCTTTTAGCTTTGATTTTAAGCTGTCAAACTAAATTTGAGATTCAATTGTGCCAGAAATATTCTGCTTTGAGACAAGTTTGTTTTTTATTCAATTTTGGAAAATATCAGATCGATCCAGGTTGAATTATAATATTAGAGCGCCCTCTGCTGGTGCTTAAAGGTTTTGCTCTGCATGTTAACCTCAGATTAAACAAGCTATTTATATATAGAGCTGAGGAGAAAGAAGCTGGTGAGTTGTGACCTTTGACCTCTCCCCGCGTCCAACCAGGAGACGACCTGATGCGCTGCGTGGATCTGTACAACCAGACGCAGTGCAAGTGGTTCGAAGAGATGGTGACCACCAGCATGGTGAGAGATCCTCCGCTTCTTCATGGCGTGATTATGACGACTCCTTTTTCATCAGGACGCTTCTGAAATCACATAAACTCAAAAGTTATTGCTATTAAACATACAGGAGGGTGAGCAGTTGCATTTGCCCCCCCTCTTCAGGAGCTGGAGAAACTGGAGGTGGAGCGGATCGAGTGGATTCAGCAGCACTTGCGTCAGTACACGACTCTGCGGCACGAGACGGACATGTTCAATCAGAGCGTGAGTTATTTAAATAACCTGTGACTGTACGAAGCATCATGCTGCCCTGAGGAAGACCGAGACCATGAACTCATGTTTACAACGTTTACTGAGGGAATAAATCAAGAGAGAAGTAGAGTCATTTCCTCATAGACGTCTATGGGAGCAGAGGAGTCGCCCCCTGCTGGTCACTACAGAGAAGTAGAGTCATTTCCTCATAGACGTCTATGGGGGCAGAGGAGTCGCCCCCTGCTGGTCACTACAGAGAAGTAGAGTCATTTCCTCATAGACGTCTATGGGGGCAGAGGAGTCGCCCCCTGCTGGTCACTACAGAGAAGTAGAGTCATTTCCTCATAGACGTCTATGGGAGCAGAGGAGTCGCCCCCTGCTGGTCACTGCACAGAATGCAGCTTTAAAGCTAATTGGCTTTTAATTGGCTTCCTTTTGTGTAGATGGTGGAGCCGGTCGACAAGCTGCTGCAGAACGTGGATCCGGCCAAAGACCGGGAGCTGTGGGTGAAGGAGAACAACACCGGCGAGGTCCGACCCGTGGACATGAGCATATGAGGGCGCCCTGACTTGGGACCAGCCGTTCCGTCTCCAGTATTACAACACGCACAGAGCCGCCCGCCGACGACCCCGATCCGGGGGACGGTGCATGTCCAGACCCCCTCGGAGGTCTGCTCAAAGGGAACGTGCCAGTGGATCGGTCCCAGCATGCTCCTTCTAAATTAACCCCAACGTAACCAACATTAGCTTATCGAACGCCATCCAACATATTCAGCTGTTTACATGTTGTAAAGTCGACATTATTAGAAAATGTATTTTGAATCGTTTGGTTTAGCTTCAATCTACACTTCTCACACAAAGAAAAAACAAACAAAAAAACTCTCATTATTTATATTACCTTTATTTTAGATACGGACATCAAGATCTTAGACTGAATATGATATATTTTCATATTTTTCCGGATCACTTTCTTGGTGGAAATGCATGTTTTGAGAAGCTCTCTCTCTCTGTGTCTGGAGGGCTGCACAACGTGGTGGAGCCACGATGGTTGTCTGTGGTGTAGTTGGTCAAAGTTCTTTGGAGTGTGATGGATCAGATTGAGGCCGGGGTCGACGGTGGAGCAGACCGGAGGAAGAAAAGCTGGTGCGAGTTCCACTGAAACACCTTTTAGTGCCTAGCGTTAAACGCCTGGAATGTCCTTGACGTACTGCATCAGTGTACAGACGAGGTGTCGCTTGTTTTATTCTTGTTGTTTGGGGGGGTATACAGAGAATATGACTCGTCCCAGTTTGCCCCAAATGGGAAGATAAAAAAAAAACGTTTTATCGGAGCCTGCATGACCAGTGTGCGTTCACGTGAGTGTGTGTGTGTGTGTGCGTATGTGTGTGCGTCCTGTCTCTTTTTTTTACCGTGGTCGTGGCGCTCTAGATTTATTGGGATTATTACCTTTCTGTGTCTCTTTTTTATATTTCTCAAAAGCACGAAGCCAATCAGATTAAAGCTTAAAGTCGCAATCCAGCTGCTGAGCACAAGAAAATAATTGCTGTTAAAAAACAAATATATATATATTATATACATCAATAAATATAGATGCTTGCCTGCCTTCAGTCACAATGCGCAGAGTGCTTTACATGGACTGTGTTAAATGAATGGACTCCACGTTTAAAGAGCACATCTCTGTTGTAAAAGATTAATCTGTTTATGTGTGTGTGTCAATGTTGTGCACTAAATGTTCTATTACGTTCCAACTAAATGTCCCAACGGCTTCAGGGTGACGTAGCGGTCGAGTTCAACCCCCTCCGTGATCAACGTTTTCATAACGTGCGTTCAGTTCCGATTTCCCGTGTTTTTACGAATGTTGGCTCGTGGGTGACCTCTGACCTCCGTGGAATGCAGTGTCAAAAATAAATCTCCTCTCTGAAAAGACCATCGCAGTGTGTCTTTATGTAACTGCGTAGGTGCAGGAAGCAGTGTGTGTGTGCGTGTGTGTGTGTGTGTGTGTGTGTGTGTGTGTGTGTGTGTGTGTGTGTGTGTGCGTGTGCGTGTGTGTGTGTGTGTTCTGTCCAGGATTAAGCAGCAACGTTTGTGATGAAGACGCTGAACCTTCTGGGATCGTATTTCTGTAACTGGATTGTTTCAACTCAAATTTAACTGTACTAAACTGTAAAAAAAAACTTTTCTTTCAACCCCAAAACATTTACGTACAATCTCGATCAAATGTTCCAACGAGTCCAACGCAAGACTCAAAGCATCAGAATGCTACACAGGTCACATGTATTACACATTTATTTATTGTACATGTACATGAAACTACTATTTCATTCACATATTTCACACCATATTATTTCCAGACTTTGTTGAATCCATTTCAAGCATCAAAACTGTACACGAGTAGGTTTGATCTGAGGGACGACTTTATTCTCTTCTCAGTGTTCATTTTCTTTGTATTTAGATGTTTTAAAGGCTTAAATCTACTTACTACAGAAACAGCACTGTTAGTTTCCCACTTGGAGAATAAACCTTTGACGATATTCCAAATACAGCAAACACTTTAGCTGATATTACAATACGTCAGTACATTGTTCTACTAAAAGTACATTCAAGCCCTGACACATCAGAAATGACTTTTTGAGTAACAGCAATCTAAACACACACACACACACACACAAAACAATCCAATCCAAAGTAAGAAGTGGAGTCATCCTCCAGTGTGTTCGTCTCAGCCGACCTTCAGCTCTTAATAGGATCGGCTGATAGCGTGTTAACCTGAGCCTGATCCCTCTCCTAAGGAGCTCGCCTACCGACCCCCTCTGCTATCGACCTGATGAGTCCGGTCCAAATGGGTCCAAACGCTGCCAGACGACACAAAGGGGCGGAATCCGCTGCGTATCGTAATGATCCTGCAGGTCAGACGGCAGCGTCTACTTTTCTCAGGCCGATTAATACGTTTCGTCACAAAAGATAAAAGTGAAAAACTATCGATTAGGTGAAAGGAAAACACGACATATGTTTGTTTTGTTCGTTCTTTGTCAGTTTGAGCTGAGAAATGTTGGGAAAGTCTATGTGGTGACACTTTGTCTCTCTTATTTAGCAGTTGTTCACTTTTGGGGTAAAGCAAAAACATGACTAAAATGTCATAGATCAAATTATCTTTGACTAAGGCCAGTTGGTAAGGTAGCTGCTCACGAGGCGAACGCTGTTTTAGGTCCATTTCAGCTATAAATTCATGTTTAATTTAATGGAAAAATGAACAAATGTCCCTTTCGATGGAAGTTACTGGTGACCTGTAATTTGTGATTTTATTCCCAAAAGTGAGACAACACACTTTAATGTCAGTTACTTTTACTGACTATTTCATGCTGTTTTGCAAAGTGTATAATCTAAATGATATAATTGTATAATTTTTCTCTATTCTATTTCTATCCCGGTCCACATGGTTAAAACGGTCCGTTTCAAAATTCCCCCGCATCCTGAATCCTGGTATTAAATGAAATTATTGATTTGCTCGAATACAAAAATGCACAACAGATATTTATGAAGAAATATTATGAAAAAAAGAAGAAAGAAAAGCAGCAGCACGATAATTTAAACAAACATACGAGTCTTAAAATCCCACAAAGCAGCTTTTTCTTTGTATTATTGCTTCTTCTCTTTGAGCTTGTCTTTAATTTTCTGAGGTTCATCGTATTGTATCAACCGCAGGATGTCCTTGTTCTCCATCACACCCTGAATGAATTCCCCCTCTGAGATCTTATCTGGGAGAGTAGAAGAGCATCAACACACGTTGCATGAAGGTATAGAGGAGCCCTGAAGCAGCTTTTGAAAAGGGAAGTTAATGGATTAAGACTTACCGTTGTCCTTCTTCCCGAAGAACTCCCAGACCTTCTCCGCCCTCTTCTCCGGCGTGTTTTCGTCCTCGGGGAGGTTCTTCTGGTCGTCGGCAGGAATCATGTTGAATATAGACTGCGTGGGGGTAAGTTTTTTACAGCTTTTTAAAATGTATACAGATTAATATCATAAATCTATACAGATTAATATCAGAAATATTCTGGATTCAGTTAATGCTAGGAAAATAAAATGATTCAATCAAGCTTCTGAAATATGACCATGTGCTGGTTTCCTTGTTGGGGCAGTTTACACAATGAGGATTTATTGATAATGAGTCATGAATCACTCACAAACCTTGTCGTTTCCACTATAGATGTTTATGTGGGAATGTAGGTGTAAGAATGAGGTTTGAAATTGAACAAATAGAAGTGAATGATGTCTTGTTTACATCGTTTGCTCGCGTTAAAGGCTTTTGGAAGGAGGCCCAATGAAAGTCCTATTTTAGGGATTTCTACCGCCACCACGAAGAAGAACAAGAGAGTAAAGAGACTTCGGTACCCGGACGATCTCCAGGATTTCGCTTTTGCTGATGGTTCCGTTCCCGTCCACGTCGTACAGGGCGAAGGCCCACTCCAGCTTCTGCAGGGTTTTGCCCCCGGACGTGAGGTGCAGAGCCACAATGTACTCCTTGAAGTCCAACGTGCCGTCGGCGTTGGTGTCGAAGCTGCGGAACACGTGGCGCGCGTACTTCGTGGGGTCGGCGTCGGGGAAGAAGCTGGCGTAGATGCCCTCGAACTGCTGCTTGCTGATCTTCCCGCCGGGACACTCCTTCAGGAAGGACTGGTACCAGGTGCACAGCTCGGACTCGGAGTACTTGGTGTTGGACTTGAGCTCCTCCAGGAGCTCCTTGGACAACGCGCTGCTCTTGGTGTTCCCCATGCTGCAGACTTCTTCTTCTTCTTCTTCGTTAGTTCACACTGCCTCGTGGATCGTCTACCGACTGCCCCTCAAGGTGCCAAATGAGATTATGGTCATCACCACCTAAATCCAGTCAGCTGTCTCGGAGGATTAAGGGGATTATTGCGTCACACCGCTATGACACCTTTTTTTTTGAAGACTCGTTTAAATATTGGAGGTATAAACAGGTTTAAACGCAACATGTGGCTAACACTTTAAAGGTCAACATCTGGGAACCTTAAATGGCCTTTTTAGTAGCGTTTTTGCTGAAACTGTAATCCCACCGGCTGCCCCGGGGTTTAATAACTCTCTGTGATATCGAGTTACGTCAGGACGCACGTGACAGAAGGATCTAACTCAACTCCTGCAGCACTTTGTTTTATTTACTTTATTTTGTCTTATTGCACACAAAAAGGAAGTTCACGTAAAACATGGAGTTTTGTGACTTTTGTAGCGTGACAGCGACTTAAAATTCTGATAAATATGAGAATATTTAACTAACATTCGTAATCTAGTAATTTTTCCAATTTTTCCAACATGAAAATGATCTTTTCGAGTCATTTATCCACAGGTTGACTATGTAACTAAATTTGCAGATTTTGTGGAGTTAAAACTCTGGGAGTCCTCTAATAGGGTTAATAAATCCTATTAATATTTTATGTTATTATTTATTATGTTTATGTTCATTTTTGTGACTTTGTCACAAAGTCATCAATTGCTTTGATGAAGAGCATAATGAAATAATCTAAAGGAGTTCCCTTAGGATCTACATTGGGTCCCCCTGTGTTTACGTTACACTTAAAGGGACATTTAACAAACTCTGGTAGAATCCGTCTCTACGCCGATGACGCATTCTTATATCCCGATGATCAAACTACAACCGTAGCTATTGGAAATAACTGCATCTGGCTTTAAACGATATCCAGCAGAGCTCTGTAATTTAAAACAACGTAAATATTGAGACTGGATTGATGATAAATCTTTTAGCTCTTAAAACAATTTAAGTTATTTATTTTATCTCTGCATTCTTTTCATTACATGTCATTTAGCATAGGATTTTTTCAAAGCAACCTACATTTCATTTTTAACCCATGGTTTTACATGTTTAACCCCTCCGACACGGTGGGAGCAGTGTGCTGCCGTAAAGGCGCCGGGTTGAGTGTCTTGGTCAGGGACACTTCGACACGGGACTTGGAGCAGCCGGGGTTCAGACTGCATCCTCTCTACTTCATGCGCCAAACCGTCCTATATTAAGGTTTTAAGGTATTTATGTACATAGAACAGGTCTTCGTGTCGATCCATCAGCATGACAGTGAATCAAGCGTTTGCCTGAAACGAGGCCTTGAAGTTGGACGGCAGAAACAGGGCAAGGAGGGATTCAAACCAGGCTTTGGGGTTGCGGGTGAATTCCTTCTGGTAGTGGGCTGCTCCTCCACAATAATAAATGGGATCAGATTATCTTTGTCCCCTGTGTAATAGTCTTAGGCCAGATTACGAGACCATCTGCTGCAGTGGTGCCGAAACAGCAGCGAGCGAAGGCAATTAGTGAACTGGGATGAGTGGAATTGGAGTGTCGATAATCCACTCGCATGCTACTCAACGGCCACACCTCCGCTGCGCATCCTTTTGGATGTGCAACATTGACATTTTCAGGATGAACAGATGTGTGAGACACATAATGTCTCAGCAGGAGAATGGATATCGTAGTTTCTTGCCTATGTTTCATCTATCAAAAATATCTTGCTTTTTGACCAGATCAGATTATGAAAATCCCAAATCACTCTTTAGTCTTTCAAATATCATCATGTTCTTTTGTATAATCACATAACATTTAGGTTTTGTCATTAAAATGCACAGAATGTGGAGTATCGTGGGAAAAGGCTTACGTCTGTAGATCAGGAACTCAGAAATAGCTCCCTCCCCGGCAGGTATTTATTATGTAAGAAAGGGATGAGTCAGGGAAATATTCACCAAACAACAGGCTTACTACTTCATCAATTGTAATACTGGACTTATTCTTTCCGTGTTCACATTTTTATTACATGGAAGACTAATGTTCAGGATAATCTTGTTGTTTTGGGGGGAATTACTCAGCGAGATGTTGGTTTCGACAAAGGGCTGCTCTCAAGTTTACAGCGGAATTTACCTTTGAATTAATCAGCATTTGTAGATGATTTTCTTGTGTAGAGCGCTGAGAGTATCAAAGCTTTTTGGTATCTTCACACACTTATTCTTTTAGTAGTAGCTATGTACAGATACACAACAAGAAAATATTTAACATTTGTTTTCTTCAGCTTAATTTACTACAACAAAACACCCTTGACAAGGACAAAGGCTCTAGATACCCTTTCAACATGAAGGCCCTGTTGATGTAGATGAAAACGTCATTTCATGGCATTTGGGTTTTTCTACGCTGTGACAAGTGTGTAAAATCAGAGGTGCCTGATAGCGATCGATCGGTTGATGGCTAAGGCAGTGCCGCTACGTCACGTGCAAAAATCACGTCAATAAAAAAACGGAAAACCAGTGTTAATTAGTGATCCTTGCTTACTAACAGGCACATTTACTTCATCCCAAAGCAACCCTGTCTGACTCCAATCAGTGCGAGTCATCAGAGTAAGGTAGTGACCAACAATGCGTGGGATGGTAATAGGATCGTCTGATAGCGTGTTAACCTGAGCCTGATCCCTCTCCTAAGGAGCTCGCCTACCGACCCTCTCTGCTATCGACCTGATTAATCCAGTCCAAATGGATCCAAACGCTGCCAGACAACACAAAGGGGGGAATACGCTGCGTACCGTCAACGTGTGGAATGGTTGCAGCTCTGTTACGGTTACCGATACTAAAGCCGATCTTAAAATGTTGTTCTCTCTGCTGACCACCAGGGGGCGAGTCCTCTTCTCCCATAGACGTCTATGAGAAAACACTCTACTTCTCTGTTGTTTTATTCCCTCAGTAAACATTGTAAACATGAGTTCATGGGCTCAGTCTATTCTCCAATACAGCATCATGTTCATTTAGTAAATCCTGGATCATTTAGAGTGAAGGAAGCGCATAAAGCAGGGCCTGTCTTAGGGAGGGCTACATGCTGATTGGCAGGACAAACACGGCCATTTAAGAAGCCGACTGTGATATCGTCGACGTCGAGGCCATAGCAAAGACGTGTGTCTGTCTGACATCGGGTCGTCCTTCACATACATTCTGGGAGTAGTTTTGTCGTTATTCATGCGGCATAACCCACATCAGCAGGCTTTGTCCTGCAGGCGCACACACATTGTGGGTGTATTTTTGTGTGGGACGTACACATTATGTCACGACTCACCGGCTGGGAAACCTGATCTCAAATATTTGAAATGCGCTTCAACATCGAAGGCAGGGTAAAAAAAAATGAGGGAAATGTAAACTTGTCCTGGATTATAATCTAAGCTCATAGTAATCTTCTTTTAAATTTTTTTTTCCATGACTCCGCTTAAAGGAAATCTGGAACATAATTTGCCATTTGTAATGGATAATATCTCCGGAAAAGATTTGTAGAAGGGGAGGAGCGAGGACGTGGGCTGGGCTGAGCAGCGAGCACCGAAAGAGTTCAAATGAAGACTGCCGTGGGCTTCTCTCGTTTCTGTGGCAGTAGAGAGAACCAATCCTCAAACCGAGGCGGTGGCGCATCATCAGAGCCGGCGGAGGCACGCGCTGAATTCTCACCCAAGGAGCCACGACCAGATTATGAAGATTTGACACATCTGCTGGGAGGCGAAACACGGCAGCTACAAATCAAAAGCCGGGGATTAGTTGCCTTTTCATTTCGTCTCCTCGGCCCTGGCCTCGACCATGAGGCTAGGGCGCGGCCGGCGGGCATCTCTGGCGCTCACCCTCAACTTCGTGGCGTTCGCCTTCGCCTTGTCCGCCGTGACCACCAGCTACTGGTGCGAGGGCACCCGGAAGGTGCCCAAGCCCTTCTGCACCGGGCCGGCGGTGAAGGCGAAGCAGTGGTTCTGCATCCGCTTCAACAGCTCCAACATCAACGACAGCCGGCTGGTGCAGTACATCTTTGAGAGCGGGGAGGAGAAGTTCCTCCTGAGGAAGTTCCACACGGGGATATTCTTCTCCTGCGAGCAGGCCGCCGACATGAACGGTGAGTCCGGTGGAGGTCGGAGGGGTCGGAAGAAAACCAGGAAGTGGTGACGGAGGGCGGTCGATCCGGTCATCCAATATGTTTTATTCCCTTTACTTATCGACCACGAAAAGGGTGGTATTCTTATTTTCCATTACTTACAGGCCACATAAAACAGTGAAACAATATTTCCCACTTTGTTGAATCAACATAATAATGGATCAGACTCACAGCTGTGTTTGGGGAGAGCAAAGGTGAGGTAAGGGCGGGTCGAAGGTGCTAATGAACGCGTGGAGTCACCAGAGGTTCACCAGGAGGAACCAGCTGATGCTCTGGGATGTTGCACCAGGTGAGAACCATAAACAGATCATCTTGTAGCACGTGAAGGTGGAGCAAACGCACCTTCTTTAAATACTGCTGGGTAGATTCATCCATAATTACACATCCTTGTTTATCCGTTGACATCACTAATCCATCCACCATGTACAAGTAGAGCAATCTGCGGGAATACACCCGGCTGGAACTGGTAACATTTGCCTCGGAGACGTTGACAAAAAGAAGCATTCAATGGATATAAGTAAAGTAAAAGCGCCTGTGCGTGCAGTACTTGAGTAAATGTACTCTGTTGCGCTTCAGTCTTCAGCTTAATGTCCATTTTATTGAACGAATAAGCTGACGGAAGGTTCACGACGTTCACGATGCTGCAGGTTGTGCATCTGAAGTTTACTCTCATTTTACTGGAGGTTATTTTCTCAAATCACAAAGTTGCTTTAAGAACTTTTACATCACGAGGAGGCGGTGAAACGGTTGATTGCATAAAACATTAGTTTGTACTTGACGCCTTTAAAAATAAATGACTAAAGAAGCAGCAACCCTTTATCGAAAGGCATCATATGTTATTGTTTATTGACCATAAAAAACTTGATTCAAATGTTTCTTCGTCCTGATTGGTTCAAAACCGCTGATGTGCTTTTAAGCAATCCACTCGACGGTGCCGTAAATTAAAAGTAAAATCATGTAAAAATCTGTTATTCTGAGCAGCAAATCAGTGAATATGTCCCCGATACCTCGCGTTGATTAATATCAGGATGCAGAAATGTACATGCAGCCGCCTCCCTCTGCACACTGAGCCTCGGTAAGATTCTGTTTGCTCAACACTCCCCGCAGAGCTCCTGTGAGTCGCTGCCGGATTAAATCCATTTCTCTGTCAGCGTTGCATGCAAGCCGTCCCATCTGTTTTCATAAGCTCTAATAATAAGACTGGGAATGCAGTAAGTTTCAGGAATTGCGTGCAATTTAGAGACAAATTGTTTCATGTGTCGATTTCCACCCAAAAAAACGGTAAATGTCCGTTATAAGTTTCTCAGGCGCGCAAATAGAGGACAGCTGAGAGCATAATTTGACCGATTAGTCAATTCACATCTCCTGCTGGGGTCTGAAGTTATTGAAATTATGCAGAATACGTTAAGTTTTTACACTTGATTTGTCCTTTAAAGCTTGTTACAATAGAGGCCGCTGAAAAGAGAAAAAATCATAACAATCAAGAAAAATAAGTTCATTTGAGAGAGAAATTATTCATTTTATTACAACTACATGTTTTAACATTTTCTGACAATACCACAGATACCGGTTACAATTATTAATAGGAAAAGTCTTGGTTTGATCTGTAAATCTTTATTTTATTCTTCCAAATGAAATATTCCAAAAACAGTCTTTCTCTGGGATTAGAAGCAAATGTCGAGTGTTTAAGGAAAATCAAAGAGCCGTAATAACTGAAGTATTTGACTAAGTGACTAAGTATTTTTTTTCTTTCGATCACAGGATTTGACTGTCGAGATTTCTTCGACATCGCACCAGAACACGAAAGAGGTAAAACGCTGCAAGTTGGATGTTTTTAACGATGACAAAATAATTGCATTATTACTGATAATATTTCCATATACATATAAGGAAATGTTCTGTCTTACTTTACCTTGTCTTTTTATATTTTTTCTTACTTACTTATCATTTATATTACAACATCCTACAATGTGATACTGGATACATTAGATGGATGAATGGATAGACATGTTTTAAGCAGTAATCTAAATATAATCTAAAGATGCTTTTCCCTTCACCGGACCTAAAAGTAAAACGTCTCAGTCCACTGATGTCGAAACTGTGTCAGAGCAAACGAATCACATAGCAAACAATCACATAAACCTCTTACCTGTACTGTGAGATCTCACCTTTACGAGCCTTTATTTATGAATAAATAACCGCGGCTGTCCTGCTTTTATTAATCCGTCTGGCCTCAAACCACCAGATTTACATCCGCAGACCTAAAAAGGAGCAGACCTGTTGCACACGACACATTTGCCCAGTGGGATTATTCATCTGCGACAGGATATTACGAGGACAACACAACTCAATTGTGACCCTCCCCCCCCCCCCCCCTCCGCTTGTTGTGCGTTCACAGGGGTTTTGTGGTTGTGCATCGTGGCCGAGAGTCTGTACCTCGCCCTGCTCTTCACAGGGGGGGCCCTGATGATGCTGGAGCAGTGTCCCTGCTTCAGCGTCATGAACAAGCTGAAAATCAGTGCCTTCGCCGCCGTGTGCACCGCCCTCTCAGGTAACCGCCATCACCCTTCACGTCGGGACCTTCGCTTCCGCCGAGCGAAGCCGATGCGAAAGTGCTCCCTAAAATCGGTGTTGTCTGTGGCGACCACCAGGGGGCGACTCCTCTGGTCCTGTAGGAGTCAAACGGCCTCCATCCTGCGACCCGCCAAACTCTCTGATTGCATCACTCTTTGTTTAGGTACTAAGGAGAGCGATTGGTGAATATAAACCAATAAGTAGGGCGAGTAATGAGGAATAATGGATCAGTGGTTTCGCATTGTGTAATTACTCTCTATGTTATAGTTTGCATAGTTATTTTGAATATTAGGGAAACAAATTCAGCTGCTCTGAACTAATCACAGAGGTGAACCGATCACAGAGGGGAATCACACCGGGTCACAAGACGACATAAGGACACAGCTTCATAGATTCATGCCATTAATCTGGATTAATGCATTGGGTTCCCTGCAAAGGGAACAATACATGTGTTTCAAAAAGATTCAGTTTAATCCCTGTTTCATGTTTGCAAAAATACAGTAAATTTTGTTTTTTATACCGTAAAGGTTTTCTACAATCGGCATTTGTCCTGATTTTTAATCCGCTGCACTAGCAGCGGTAATGTTTATCAATTTACAATTCACAAGTTTGATTATTTACATTGTTGATTATTCTCACAATTGATTGATTTGTTTATTAAATTTCAGAAAATTGCGATGGAAGCAGAGAATTTTACATTTTTACAAAATTAATAATATCAGCAAATAATAGAGTGGTTGAAGATGAATGTAATACGTGTATTTATATAATATTTACAAATATGTCTGTATGTTAATAAAACACACATACATCTCCCACATGACAGCGGGTTGAACAGCATTCATTAGACGTGTTTGGATGCTGAGCATCGATGAGAGGAGCCGGTGCGTCCGGTACCGTGTGCGAGGAGAACATGGCTGTAAGTGAGATGAGCTCGGCACCAGCGTCCTGCCTCCTCACTACTCGGAGGATTTGCTGGTTTGTGGACTAATCGGATTGGAGCCGGAGGCAGCGGTTTTGGGCCGGTGCCAAGACCTGCCCAGAGGATCTCCCTGTATCCCTCCTCCCCCTCCTCCCCCATCCCCTTGACTCCCATCCCCCTCCGTTGTTATGAGTTAATCCCAAGAAAAGCAGCTGTGGAGAGGCAGGCGGCTGGAGGAGAGAGGACCAGCATCCGGCATAGAGATAACCTAGAGAAGCCGGCCCACCTCAGCAGGACCTCAGTCTAAATGTTTGTGAATATTTGTTCCCGTAAGATCTCTAATTACGGTACATCGCATAAAAGCCACCATGTAGTGACGTTAAATCAACTGTTGTCGTCAACAAAAGGTAAAATAGTTACATTTTCCAGGCAAAGAAGCCGAAGCTTCACGTATTAAAGCTGCATTCACTTTAGTGGCCACCAGGGGGCGACTCCTCTAGTTTAAGAGACTCTCCTTCTCTCTGCATTTATTCCCCCAGTAAAGATCGTAAACATGAGTTCATGGTCTCAACCTCTAGTTTCACGTCTTCTCCAATGCAGCATAATGTTCATTTAGTAGATTCTGGTCCATTTAGAGTCAAACAGACCATAAAGCAGGGGACGCTTTAGGGCGGGACTACACGCTGATTGACAGAATGCACTGGATAGTGAACTTTTAGGGACATGTGAAATTAGCAGTAAAGACGAATGTGACACAAACACAAAAACTGTTGATCCGTAATAAACTGTTTGAGAAAAAGTTCAACTTGTTCTGCCGCAAAGAAAGTCTATAATTTGTCCTTTAATGTCGTGATGGTGATCAGGACAACATTCCTAAATGTCCCGCTCCGATCGTCTCTTGTTCTCAGGCCTTTGTGGGATGGTGGCCCACATGATGTTCACCACCATATTCCAGCTGGCCGTCGCTATGGGACCAGAAGACTGGAGACCCAAGACCTGGGACTACAGCTGGTCTTACGCGTAAGGAGAATCCATCTGCTGAAGCAAAGCAAACAGCGACCATCCGCTAACCGTTTTTTGTTCCTCAGCTTGGCGTGGAGCTCTTTCGGCACCTGTATGGGCTCGGCGGTGACGGCGCTCAACAGGTACACCAAGACTATCGTGGAGTTCAAGTACAAGCGGCGGAACATCGCCAAGAGCCTGCTGATCAAGCAGAAGATGATGGAGAAGGACCTCCCCGACCAGATGTGGGACATGTACCTCACCGCCGTCCCCGTGGACGTCGAGGCCCGGCCGGAGCTGCCGGTGAACGGCCACAAGCCCTCGACGGGGGACCCCTACCTGGTGGAGATGGCGGAACCACATGGAAGGGGGGTGTACTGCTGAAGGAGGATTTCCTCTAATGCTGGGGAGACGTATTCCTTCGTTTGGACGTGTTTCATCGAATCTTTCCGTGGTCATGTGACTTTCGGGAGGAGGAAGCGCGCCGCAATTTCCACGCTTCCACGTCTTCACGCTAGTCTGAGGAAAGCTGCAGGTCCTTCAGGCGTCGTGTCGGGGTTTTTTCCCCTTCAGAGGCCTTTTTCTGAACTCAAGTCGCATGAAGATGTTGCTCCACACAGACGAACGATGACCGTCTGCAGGAACGTTACTTTACTTTGAAAGGACGACGGCATAAAGACCCAAACGGGACTAAAGGACTGTTGATGGAGAGTTAATCCAACGACTCCATTTAGACACACGAGATGAACACAGAGACAAAGAGTGACCACACGGAGACTCGAGATGAACCAACAGACCAACGACTCTCCACCTCTGCGTCCTGTCTCTGTGTCCCTCCCTCATGATGGACGGGGTCTGAGGCGTTTTTTCTACCGTCTCATAATCCGGTCCCCATGAAACCAAACTACATCTGAGGAGGGGATTAAAAGAACATCTCCTCCGAGTCGAGCTCGCTCCGAGGAGCGCTTTGCTTTCTAAATCACTTCCTGTGAAACACTTTTCTACAAACACGGACTCGACCGAAGACGAGTGGAGGGACGCCGTGGAGCGAGACGCAGTGGACATCTGGACTGAACTGCGAGGTCTTGAGAGCCACTAGAAGGGCGACCGTGTTTACGGCATCGCTGCATCATATCGTTTAGTCGTTGTGACAAAAAGACGTGACAAATACTTTATAACTGAGGGAACAAAACTCAAATAAAACCTTGATTGTTTAGTGACGAGTGTTGAATGTGTTTGATCGTTTGTTCTTCCTGCTGCTCTACGTCACCTAATAATGATCCCACCAGGTTTTTTTGATCACTATACATATGTATATATGTGTATATATACATTACAGTTAAACCACTCTTCCCCCCTTAAGTCAGGAGTACCCTAAAATTAGTATACTCGTGGAAGACATTTCCAAAAATGTACATTTTAATCAAATAGTATAATCAAAAAGTTTAGTAGTTGTTCAAGTGTGCAGACATTATCAATAACAATAACACCTCCCTTGCTAAACATGAGAATAATTAATAAATATTCATATTTTATGAGGAAAAAAAAGACAGTGATTATTTTGAGGTTGAAGAACGTCTTCAAACCCAGAAGGAGATTTTACATAACGTCTCATATATACCATGAATAAAAGGATGTTTCTTTAAAATTGTTCTGAATTATCTGTCAGTCAATGACACGTTGTTCATAACGTTGTTGCGGGTTGTCTCTGATGTATTTCTTTATATACCAACAGGAGATATGAGCCTTGAGGTTTTCTTCCAGCAGGAACTCCATTGCAGCCTGCAGAAGGAACATTTCATACATTGACAACAGCATTTCAACACCGACTGGTAAATGAGTTTTAACTCACCCGGGACAGAAGAGCAGCGACACCGCGGCCCCTGAATGTCTCTGGCACGTAGGTCGATATTAAATCCACCTCCTTCTCGCCGGTGAATCTGTAGAGCAGCACAGCGCAGTCTGTGGAGAGAGGTCGAAGGTCAGAGAGCCACAATGCAGCCACTTTCAATTATATGTTGCATTATTTCTAATGATGGAGCAGTTGTCACATCATGCGTGTTATTTTGATGGTGGGAGTGACATTAAATGGCCCCCAAAATTCTTAATAACCATTTGATTGACAGTTTGAAAAACATCAAGCTCCCTCCGAAAATACCTTTATCTAAGAGTGTAACTACGGCGGACAACTAACCATAAATGTACCCAAATGTGTTACTTAAGCCTTCTAATATGTCCGCCGAACATTTTGGTGAATAATAATCGTGTTAAGTACAGTTAATGTGGTTGAAGCGGCATTTGCACAGTGCAACTAAAATTAAAATCATTTTAAAACGTGTGTATTTTCAGTAGGCCGCGAGTGGACGCCGGGCTCCCGTACATTATCTCTCCGGTTAGTGGCGCGTCCACCGCGGCCTCCCTCTGCTTACCGGCCTCGCTGCCCGGACTGACGGTGAAGCGCCGGTTCGGGCGGTCGTGTTTCACCGTTAAACTGCAGCCGGAGGTCGACGCGCTGAAGGCGGGGGGAGGAGGCTTCAGCCGCAAGGTACCTACCGCGAGTCTGGAAAATACTTTAAAGGACATTTATACGTGAAAAATCCACGTACTAGTACTACAGTGGGTAGTAGCGGTTGTACTGACTGACCACCAGGGGGCGCCGTCACTCACAGGACAATCATTAATTTCTCTGTCAGGTTTTTTGACCTCCACAGTAAAACGTTTTTAATTATTTCTAAATTACATTTAAATATCATTGAAACGATGTGCATATTTTAACTATATAATTTTTCTTTCTCTTTTTTAATAATGGATTGAATATTCTGTCATTTCTTTTTGGATTTTCTAAGAAATCTTTGCGAAAGATCTAAATAATTTGGTGTTAATATGAGAAAACACAGAAAGTATTAAATTATTCTCTGTTTACAGGCAAGCGTACTCTTCAATAGAAATGGACAGTCCTGGTGCCTGCAATAAATTGTAAAATTGAATTGAAAAACATTTAAATTAATAACAAAAATGCATTAAATGAAGAAAACTTTTACATGACTTTTTATTTTGATTGTTAAGCAACAAATACAACAATTTCTTTATAATGACCATTGTTGTCTCAATTTTATGTTTACATGCAAAGTATACGAAATACTGTTGTATGTGAATTGTCCTCTGGATGAATTCTGGTGGACAAATACTCTGTGGAAGTTTAAGATCGTACTGGCCATACAACTTAACTGTTGAAGTTCACATCTTAAATATATTGCAAACAGCACAGACAACCGTCTTATTGATTATATTTTAGACGACAGACAGGACACGTATATTTCATATCCTCAGTGATTTCAGCCTCTTCCCGCCCACAAGCCGCTCTACATGTTCTCTGCGGCCGCGGCGCTCTTCACTCCTGCAGCCACGACGGCAAAGAACAGGTCGGGGAAGAAGGATCGGGCGTAGAGCGCCGCCTTTGGCAGCGAGGGAGCCACCACCACCTCTTTCCTCCTGCTGCTCAGAGTCCTCACGATCTCCGTCGCCGCCTCGTCCGGGGAAACGCCGAGAGGTTTCTTTGTGTACAACACTGCGAAGGCCAAATAATACAGTCCTTATTCAAGATGACTGCTCACTAGGACTCCCTCCTCAGAGTGTACTCACGTGACCAGATGGACCTGGAGGCCTCCGTGCTCGAGGAGGAGGAGGAGGCCGAGCCACTGATGAAGGTGGTGTTGATGGTGCTGACGGAGATGCCGTACTCCTCCACCTCGGCTCTCAGGCAGTCGAAGAAGGCCTGGACTGCGTGTTTAGAGGCGGCGTCTGGAAGAACACGCAGAGTAAAAAGAATATTTACACTCCTTACGTGTGCGTGCACGCGGTACGTGTGTAGTTCAACATTCGCACTGATGGAGGTCACATGCTCAGGCGTAACCGGCGTCACCTCCTGCAAACGTGTGCCATACTTTGTTTCAAAAGAAGGGCATGGATACTTCCGGTTAAGGTAGCCGCCACGTTTTGATGATGTCACCAAGGGGGGCGGTTGTGCGCAATAATAAAGATGGACGCATACAGAGCTACTAAACACGTAGTATTACGTGTCGTACTTTGACAATTAAATGTCAGAAGACACACACACACACACAAATACTACAAAAATAATCTTTACTTTATAGGACACTTACAGATTATGCAGCTCAAAGTGCCAAAACACTGTACACTCCGGTGTGGGCGGGACTTAAATGTGACCCGCCTAGTTGTTAGCATTAGCTAATGCTAACTGGCAGGAAAATGAAAGCACAGCTGAGGCTAAACACACTAAATGTCCATCTGATGATGATGAAAAGTCAGTTAGTTACTACAAATGTATCCTCTGTGGAAGACAATGTCGACCGTCCCCCTCTAATATCTCTTCAGAATACTTTTTGTCATTTCCACGTATGAAACTCACACGCAGTGCGGAAAGGCACGCTGATTCTTCCCTGGATGCTGCTGACCAGGAGCAGGTGGCCGGTCCTCCTGGAGATCATCGAGGGCAGCAGGCCTGAAAGGTGAAATGTTTTAGCACAACGAGGACGCCATCGTGGACGCACGTCTCCGCCGTCTACCTTTGGCCAGCGTGGCCGGGCCAAAGTAGTTGTTGTCCATCAGCAGCTTGTCCATCTCCAGAGACACACTCTGGGCGGGAGCTTTGACCTTCATGCCGCTGTTGAAGATGAGGACGTCGAGGCAGCCGTAACACTCCAGGATCTCAGAGGTCACCTCAGGCATGCTGTCCATGTCCCCGAAATCCAGCAGCACCAGTTTGGAGGGAAACGTCTGAGGAACAAGTGTTCAAAGGGGGACAATTGTTTAATATCTCAAAACAAACAGCAAAGATTTGTGTTTCTGTTTTTCTTTTCCATTATTCATCTCAGGCTTATCTGGTGACCCTTTGAGGTTTGGGGTGCGACCACTAAATGGAGAACTTTGACATTTGATGGTGATGATACTTCCTGTGGGGTCCTGGGTGCAGGGCTTCCACCTGTGACGTAGCATTTAAGCACTGAACCGGCTTCTCTTACCACCGTCGGGTCCGAGGCGCTCGCCAATTCATCGGCGAGTTCTTCGAGCTTCTCCCAGTTCTTCCCGCAGAGGATCAGCCGTGCTCCTCCTCTGTGAAACACACCTGCGCATTCTACGTCGAGAAGATAAAAGTTCACCGTAAGATCAGATGGAGGACCAGAATCTGTGGCGGCGGCTTCCTATTCACCAGGAGTAAGCATAGACTGGTCCAGAACCAGTTCAAAGTTCCTTGCAGTACCTTTGAAGCATTGTTACCTTTTCCGAGCCCGGATAAGGCGTCGGTTAGAACCACCACTTTATTGCGCACTGACATTTTGGACAGCAGGCCCATGATGAAGCTGTAGAGGTAGAAAGATCCCGCTGTGAGCAGGACTACACAAGGCACCAGGAGAACAGTGGTGGTCCAAACTGGGTCCATGTCCTGCAGGATGTTCTGAAAAAGGGTTACATTTTTATATTAGATATGCAGAATTGACAGAAAACAAATGTTAATGGTACATTTTATTTTTAGTGGTCTTCCGGCCACTCAAAGCGCTTTAACACTACATGACATCATTCACCCACTGGTGACAGGATCTACCACTCACAGTGACACCTGCCCATCAGTAACTAACATCCACACACTGTCGCAGCTACGGGAGCCATGTTGGTGTTAAGCGTCTTGCCCAAGGACACGTCAACATGTGGGTTAGCCGGGCCTGGGATCGAACCGACAACCCTCTGATTGGAGGACGACCTCCCCACTCACCCACAGTCGCCCTGAGGATCTGTGACAGTAGGACTCGCAAGGGAATATTGAATGAAGAGTTTGACATTCGGAGATGCTTATTCACTTTGTGGTGGAGAGTTAGATGATTTCAATCAGTAAACGGCTAGCTTAGCTTAGCTTAGCTTAAGGACATTAATAAACAAGGAGGAAAAGCTAGTTTACACAAAACTCTTCGTAAAACATTCACTTCGGTTTCTGGAAATAAACAAATCGGTGAGCTTTGAGCCACGCTAGCTGATTCCCACTGTTTCCAGTCTTTGTGCTAAGTACGCTAACTAGCTGACTGCAGCTTCTTATTTATTTACATACATTCTGTGTGGTTGATAAATGTCGACCGGCTCATCTTAACCCGAGATAGAAAGTGAATAAGTGTGTCAATGTTAGCTGATACGTTGTTGTTGAAGTATGTTTGATGCTTTGAACATACTTCTTAGATGGAACGTTATTTTTCTGATGATGCAGATGAGATGGGATGAGACGTCCATTTAGGATCTAGCGAGAATACACAGCAAGATTGTTTCATACCCAAAAATCCTCCAGCTCCGTAACATTGGAATCCATCTCACCTGCTACAACCATATTTAAATCTAACTATTCTTCAACTCTGAAATCAAAACAGAGAAGACATCTTCTTACATCGGGAGTCAGAAAAAAAGAAATTTATTAAAAACATCCTACATGATAATTGTGACTACTGCATCAATGTATTTATGGATATTTGGATACTATATACAGTCTATGGTATGAATATATTTTGTGACTTAAAATTTCAAATGTATGTTTTCACACCACTGTTTTCCCTCAAGAGTTTTATGACTTTTTTTGCAAAATATTTTGTGATTATATTCAAAAAAAAAATTCAGACACTGAAAAATGTTCTTTGTCATAGTAGACATTGTCTCATCTGACCTCACAGTTATCTTTTACATTCTTCCTTCCACAATACGTGTAATCTGTTGGAAACCACTTGAAAAGGTCACTTTTACTTTGAGTGACACTTACATGTTATAGATTTGTCCAACAGGGAATTTAAAGATAACCTTCGGTCGTAGGTTAACCATGGCAAGCACCAGCTGTTTGTCTAAATATAAACACGCCCTGGAAATAGACAGTGTCCCTCTCACAAAGACTCGGCACCAGAATGCAGCAGCAGCAACGTCACTGCACCACAAAACCAGGAGATACGTGAACACAATCAGAAGCTCAACAGCAAAGAAAACCCCCAAAAAGAAACAGGCACCTTTTCTTATCCAAACTGCCGTTGTGTGGAATAAAGGTTATTCGGCAAAGGGCCTCGCAGCGACTTATAGAGAGCTGGTCCCGCCTAACCGACCTGGATCCAACGCGGGAAATGCATTAGCGGCGGACACTCACCGCTGTTGAGGCCTCTGCAGGTGTTCTGGGTTCCTCACTCGCCTCCCGAGGAGCCTCTTTCCTCAGCAGCTCATTCACAGAGCTCCTCCGACGGGACGGGCAACGCTTCGTGATTCCTGTCCTTTTAATAGCAGCACAGCTGAGTCGGTTACTTTCCACTCATGTTGTCGACGTGTTGTGTTTGGAGTGAAAGAGGGGCTGCTGGCAGGAAGAGGTGATTCCATAGGGGGCATTTCTGATGGACTGTACAAATGTTCACTGTTAATTGGGTCAAACAGAGCAAAATAGGTTTAAAGTGATGCATTTTAACGCAATAGCTGTGACGTATTGAACAGTGGGAGAGAGAGCAGTGGTGTTGAACAAGATTATACATTTAAGCATGTTTAATACAAACACAGTACATATCCAAACATGTAACACAAATGACCAAATACATGTATACACAGTCCATTTCTGAATAGAAGTTTATAAGTTTGAGGTTTTGTTTTAAGCCACACACATATTACTTCTTGCATAGAAATTAGGCCTCTTGTTTCTATTTTATTAATTAATTGTATTATTTTACAGTGACATACATATACGCTTAGGTATACATATGTATGCCATTGCCACCGTACATGAGTTAATTTGTAATCAAAAAACGGTAAAAACCCTTCTTTATGAACTGAAAACCCCGGTACCTGCCAACGCTTTTATTTTGGCGGGTCAACCGGATGTTGTAGGTTCATGTACTTGACCGCGGGAAGCTTTCCGCGGGTTTTGCTGCACTGAAACTCAGCGGACCGGTTGTCGGACGCACCCCCTCCCCTCCCCACCCCCGTCTCCCTCCTCTCCCCCCTCCCCGAACGAGGCAAACCCCCGCTACGTTTTCAAACACCGGGGCAACCGGCGTCATGTCGGACTTCGAGGAATTCGAGAAGCAGCTGAGCGAGAACCGGCAGGGTGAGTGCGCGTCCATCCGGTCCTCCGCTAGCAAGGTGCGCAACGCGACGCAAACTTAACGTTACGTTAACTTACGTGATGCTTTTATGAATGAACGACTGCACCCGTCAGCGACGTGACTCGGACGATTCTCCCCGGTTAATGTGTAGATTACCGGCGCCGGTAACGTCATCCTCATCCCGGTGCCGGTGCTGAGGCTGACGTTCATCACCGGACGCCGTCTGGGTGCCGGTGAAGGAACACGGCGGAACTCAATGAAATATAACTTATTATGTAAGTTATTGTCCTCCCTTCTGGAGGTAAATGAACTCAATCTGACCTTTTCCGGTTCGTTATGATCTACTCTTCAATTCGGCTTCCATTATTAATTATTACAACACATAATTACTTTGATTTAACAAACTGCATAACTGCCTGTTTGTGATTCCAGTCACCTGACCAAAGAAAACAAAGGAATAATAATAACAATAATAACAATGATAATATGTTGGGAATATTTTCACTGTTCACTATTAAGTTCAAACAATCAATATATTAAATCTGTATCTCATAGAAATACAAGGAACAATAATGCAATGCTGCACAGAAGGGAATTATGTTCATTAATAACGATCTCTGGGGGGAATCAGAGCATGTTATTAATAAAGAGAGGAGACGTTTGTGGTTTTTCTTGTGTGATGGCTTTTTTTATTTTTAGAAAAATTCAATTAACTGCAGTTGGTCCCATGAAATAAGTTCCCGTTCAGTAATTAAAGAAGGAGTGAAGGTCATTTTAGTAATTATAAGAATGAATTATGCGCAGTAATATATTACCGATAAGCTAATAATGCAAAAATGAAGTGTAAAAAGGGGCTGCTTGTCGCTGCACAGAGAGAGAGAGGGAGCGACACAAGAAGAGGAGTCGCAGCGGATCTCCTGCGCGGGGCGACAAGCACCGAGGGAGCCGCAGCCGGGAGAAGAGGAGCCGGGACCGCCGGAGCTCCTCCAGGGACCACAAGAAGCACAGGTCAGTCACTACAACTACAGCAAAGTAATAATAGTTAGAGTAATAATATTCTTTTACTGAATTTGTAGTACTAACAATTGCACGTTTTCCTGATCTTCATTTCAATGCACAAACATAACAGATTATGTTTATTCTGTGTTATTCGTCCTTCCTGATTGTCTCTAACTCGGTTTTTGGTCTCCACCACCTCTAGAGTGAAATATAAGACTGCTTGTTCATGATGTAGATTTCCTTAGAGCTTTTTAGTGAACTGATGGCGATTAAGTTTCACAGCGCCTGAGCTTTTATTTAGTAATTTCTCTGGTTCCAGCCGCTCTCCGAGGCAAACAAGGAAGAAAAGAACCTGCAAGTATTGGGATGTTCCTCCTCTGGGCTTTGAGCACATCACACCGTTGCAATATAAAGCTATGCAAGGTACTTATCACTTTAGCACAATTGAGAAAATACTAGTTAGTAAAACAAAGTTTTCAGTATCAATGTGATACAGATATCTGGATCTGTATATTCTGTCTGTTCATCTTTCTGATCTCTAATCTTTTGAATAAGTTCCAGGTTCTTCTGTCTGGTTATTTGATCCATGAACAATATCTCAGTTGATTTTACAGAAAAATAAGTCATTTACATACATAAATTCCTCGTTCCTCTCTCCTCCAGCGGCCGGGCAGATCCCGACGATAGCCCTGCTGACGACGTCCGCCTCCACCGGGGTGTCGGTGGCGCCGACCCAGCTGCCCGTGGTGGGCAGTCAGATGACCAGGCAAGCCCGCCGCCTCTACGTGGGGAATATTCCTTTCGGAGTAACCGAGGTGAGGCCTCCCTTTCTCTGAGACTTCCTGTTTGTTTCCCACCAAACGCTGATGTCGTTTGTTGTCTTCCTCCCCAGGAGTCCATGGCCGAGTTCTTCAACGCTCAGATGAGGCTCGCCGGCCTTTCGCAGGCGCCGAGCAACCCTGTGCTCGCCGTGCAGATCAATCAGGATAAAAACTTTGCTTTCTTAGAGGTGTGTGTTGTACAGTATTAGTTAATTTACATCTGTTTTTGCTGAGAGTCAGATGAGAAGGTCATTATCATGTGATAGCTTTAACGTTGCTATTTTTATTTTAAAATTGGTCGGCTTTCCGGAAAGGCTAGCCCAAGAATTTCAATACACAGGGCGTGTGTAAATGACAATAAAAATCTTTGAATCTTTGAATAGCTGCAGGCAGTTACTGCTTAGCTTAGTTTAGCGAACAGACGGGAACCAGGGGGAAGCTGCTAGCCCGGCTTAGACCAAGATGGAACAATTTATTTACTTACAAGTAGCTCCAAATAGCTGCAAATTAAGAGTCGCTCGCAATGTGACATTCAGGGCACATTTATTTATGGGGCGCTGTTTGTAAAATGTTGCACGTTCTAAAATCCTGCGCAGTTTTGCTACATTTAGCGTTATCATATGAACAAAAAAGCACGACAATATTCATATGTCACTTTTTCAAACATTTAGAGAGAAATTCATGTAAATTCATGCAAGGATAATGTTTGGCAGTAACACAAAGTTGTCACATAATATAAATGTTAAATGTAAATGTTAAATGTTATATCTAAATGTTAAATGTAAATTTTAAATATAAGTTTAAATGTTAAATGTACATATAAATGTTCACTCTACATATCAGACTTGACGACTGAACATTACAATATTTACATTCATATTTAACATTTATATTTACATTACATAATGTTTGGCAGTAACACAAAGTTGTTACATAATATAAATGTAAATGTTAAATGTAAATTTAAATGTAAATTTTAAATGTAAATCAAAATGTTCACTCTACATATCAGACTTGACGACTAAACATTACAATATTTACATTTATATTTAACATTTATATTATGTAACAACTTTGTGTTACTGCCAAACATTATGTAATGTAAATATAAATGTTAAATGATGTAGATATGATATGATATGTAGAGTGAACATTTATATTTACATTTAACATTTCAATTTATATTTAACATTTACATTTATATTTACGTTTAACATTTAGATATAACATTTAACATTTACATTTAGATTTAACATTTATATTATGTGACAGCTTTGTGTTACTGCCAAACATTATCCTTGGAAAAGTTATTGCATGAATTTACATGAATTTCTCTCTAAATGTTTGAAAAAGTGACATGAATATTGTCGTGCTTTTTTATTCATATGATAACGCTAAATGTAGCAAAATTTGTGTGACATTTTACAGGGTAAACAACTAGTAACAAGTTTTAAACTATTTCATGCGCATTTAACACTATCCAGACACATCAATATAACGCTGTCCCATCATTTTCCTCTCCAGTTTCGGTCCGTGGACGAGACGACGCAGGCGATGGCCTTCGACGGGATCATTTTCCAGGGCCAGTCACTGAAGATCAGACGACCCCACGACTATCGGCCTTTACCCGGTATCTCGGAGCAGCCCGCTTTCCACGTTCCAGGTCGGCCCCCCCCCGAGTCCCCCGAAGCCGCGACGCATTCCACCGCACGGTGAGCTGAATGTTTTTCTCCTCCTCGTCTGCAGGCGTCGTCTCCACAGTCGTTCCCGACTCGGCCCACAAACTGTTCATAGGAGGGCTGCCCAACTACCTGAACGACGACCAGGTATCTGACCGAAAACCCCGCTGAGCAGGTGCACTCACCTTTCCCCTTTCTTCTCTCACCTGCTGCACTTTTTGTGTTTTAACTTTTCTTTACGTCGTGAAAAGAGTCAATGACAATGTCAATGTGCACAAGAGAAAACAAGCAGCAGGAAGTAAAAAAAAAAAGCCTAAAAACAAGAATCAACAATAACATAATGCAGGAACAATTAAATAAACAGGTCTATTATTCACAATGGACACATTTTATACTTTAAATGATTGTGCTTATACCTTTCTCGTATTAAGCGTACGTTAAAGAAAGGTAAGCAAAGTCCAGTATATTTACATAAGAGGCCGTTAAACAGACACGTTTTTATTTCTGTGTTGTATTTAACTCATCTGAGTCCATATTGTCAAAGAAAAAGTCCAACTTAAGTTATCAATCAAAAAAGAAAGTAATTATGAATCAATTATCAATTTATTGAAGTATATTAATATTTTCTGGTTTTAGCTCCTCAACCGTGATCATTTGTTGCATTTTGCAGTTTTACATTATTGTCGCTTCCTAAATGTTGTCGTCTGTATCGGCGTCACCTAAACGTCTAGGTGGTTGTAGAACGGCATTGTGGGTAAAGTCAGGCAGGTTGAGGGAACACAGAAGTGCTCTGAACGTTGCGAATGAATCTTAAACAAAAGTACATCCATAAAGTTGGACGTTTTCTTAGAGAACATCAACATATTTCCTCATACAAAGGCTTAATTCAAGTCTAAATACTTTGCTGATGGAGAAGAAACCTTCCTTCTTACACGGTGAATTAACGCTAACCGTCCGTTCTGTCTCACTTACTCTAACGAGCTTAACCATCACATGAAGCCTGACGCGCCTTACGGCCACTGTAGGTAAAAGAAAATGGAATAATTACAGAGAGGACGGCCATAAAGTGCACAAACAACACTGTGAAAAATGATCTAGATTCTTGTTCACTTTTCAAGGTCGCATCGACCTCATCACACCTTCTGGTCGCTTACTGCGTTGATGAAAGGTCTTCAAGTATCCGTGGTGACCTCGGCCTCACTCACAGGCAAAACTATACATATACAGTCTCAGATGCTCACCATAAGATCGCCGTGGCCTTTTTTATGTTATGCCGTTACCTTGGTTTTGCACTCTGATGGCGGCCTGTGTGCTGTGGTGAGGTTGATGAAACTGTGACAAGTGGGTTTAATCTCAGAGAATATTCACGTTTCTTTGTTCATTTACTTAAATCTCGGAAATATAATAGTATTTGCCGTCTTCTCCGCCTCTGTAATTATTGTTTTCTTTACCCGTAGATGTATTTTACTCACTGACAGTCACTTGCCACTGCGTTAATACTCACGGCTCTTTCATTTTTGTTCCCCCACTTTGTCCCCAGCTAGGGGCCCGTAAGATCGTTAGGTCTGCGCTCATAATTTGTTCAGTAGTACTCATCTTCTGCTGCCATGCCAACATGTAACACAAGGCAAGTAAGACATTCTGGTGCTCACACGGATTCCCTCCCAGCCAGCAGGCTCTGTTCTCCCATCATGCATCTGGAGCGTGTTTAGGACACGCGGGTTATTGTACAGGCGGGAAGACATATTGTCCAACGGTCATTTGGTTCAATTTGCCTTTAGGTGGCAAAACACAATACAAGTTCAAATCTAAAGAACCTATTTTTCATTTTACCTCTCAGCTTGCAGTTCCAGCTTTGAATGGGACATATTTTATATTTTAATAACTACGTCCCAATATTTTAGATGTTCTCGGGACGTTGTTTTGTTGCTCAGATCGTCAGCCTTTCAAAAGACGCGAGCGTCTGTAGAATACAAAAAGTGTTGGAGCGACCAAAGCCCCTTTTGTTTTGTTTTGCAGTGATAATCAGATGAGATCACGCTGAGATCCTTGTAGGTTTCTGCGCGTGAGTCCTTTCCCGCCTCACGCCTTCTCGCCCCGACCCTCCTCCGCAGGTGAAGGAGCTCCTCACGTCGTTTGGGCCTCTCAAAGCGTTCAACCTGGTGAAGGACAGCGCCACGTCGCTGTCCAAAGGTTACGCCTTCTGCGAGTACGTCGACGTCGGCGCCACCGATCAGGTAACGGCGCCCCCCCCGAGATTCACGGCCGTTGTCCCGTTTCATTGAAACGTGGCGTTTGAGGTCGCCGTGTTTTTTCTCCGTCAGGCGGTGGCCGGGCTCAACGGGATGCAGCTGGGCGACAAGAAGCTCATCGTGCAGAGGGCGAGCGTCGGCGCGAAGAACGCCAATCCCGTGAGTCCTGTGTGAAGGTCTCAGGTCTGTAGAAAACCCGCAGTCTAAACCGCCTCTTCCTGCGACCCCAGACCGCCATCGTAGAGGCTCCGGTGACGCTGCAGGTCCCCGGGCTCCAGAGGCTGCAGAACTCCGGCATGCCCACAGAGGTGCTGTGCCTCCTCAACATGGTGATGGCCGAGGAGCTGGTGGACGACGAGGACTACGAGGAGATCCTGGAAGACGTCCGCGAGGAGTGCTGCAAGTACGGCAGCGTCCGCTCCATCGAGATCCCGCGGCCCGTCGACGGACTGGAGGTCCCCGGCTGCGGAAAGGTATTATTATACGCTCTCAAATGAATTAGAGCTTTAACTTTTAACTGTCAAGTTGTACTTGACACCAAAGATCATTCCATCTGTATCTGTTTATTTCCATGGGAAGAGCTGTTTTCAAAGTAGAAGCGCTCTGTTAGTGTGAATCACATTGAGTCCCTTATCTAAGCTGACGCCTCAGAAGCTCTTTCCCCTCCTGGGACTCTCTCCTATGTGATGCTCGGCACACTGTCCTGGATATTTCTCAGGGAAAATCTTGAGAAAGCTGCTGTGCGCTGCACTTTCAGGCCTTGTGTCCACGCGGCACAAACCGCACCGAGCAGACGAGGTCTTACTTCTGGTTATAAAAGCACATCTCTCCCTATTGGAGATGTACAGACGCCATATACGGCAACCTGTCAATCACAGCGGTCCCGCCCATGAACTCATGTTTATACAATGTTTATTACTGAGGTAATAAATCAAGAGAGAAGTAGACTCATAGTCTACTTCTCTTCTCTCTCCCCCTGGTGGTCGCTAGGCGCACTTACAGTTCAAAGACACATCTGCGCTGGCTTCCCTCGGCACAATCCAATTTCCAAAATGTTCTGTCAAACGTCCAGGACTGAGAGTTCTGGTTTGTTTCTGTTATGTTTGTTTTGACCACATCTAATGTTTAATCAACTTTCTACAGTTCTAAAACAGCTGCTGAATGAGTCACGGATCTGAGATCCTCCACTTAGCTGACAGGAGATGATGGACAGTTTTTTTCCTCTCCAGATCTTCGTGGAGTACGTTTCTGCTGCCGACTGTCAGAAAGCCATGCAGGCTCTCACTGGCCGCAAGTTTGCAAACAGAGTGGTGGTCACCAAATACTACGATGCGGACATGTACCACAGACACGTATTTTGAGCTCATAGACGAGTCCCGGCTTTCTGTCACAGACTCTGGGTTCAGTCGGTTTCTTCACTCTGAATTTTCGTCAGCGTGTCAAGGAAAAGACTTAAACTTCTACTTAACAAACTGGACTGCAGAGTGTTTCTTCACTGGATAGCTTTAGCTTCAACACCCGCACAATGAACATACTGACTTAAACAAGTAGTATCTATTAGATTTGTAGTAGAATGATTGTGACATGTATCTTTCTATAAACTAATACTGCCCGACAATGTACCTGTGTTATCGAGTATGCACTATATAAGAAAAAGAAAGAAAAACAGTCAAATGTTTAGATTTCACTGCAGAGCACAAGCATTCATTGCTCTGTTTTAGTTTTGAGAAGCATTCATAAGTGTTTATTGTGGGGCTGTAAGAGTGAAATATTATATTTATTTATCTTTAAGTAATAATATTTTCTATATGTCACATATGAATGTTGCTTCACCACATATATAATGCTATAACATGTACTGCTTACATACACAAAATGTCCATATATGTTTGTCAGAACAGCCTTAAAGGTAGTTTTGTAAATATTAAATATCAAAGTACAGATAATGTATCCAGACTGTGGCACGCGATGCAGTGCTATAAATCCCAAGCAACGTTTTCTGGGAAATGAGATCCAGAAAACACTATTCTTATTGCCAAAGAGAACAAAGCAGGGATGTGTGAGATTGTAACTCTTAACATCTAAAGGAAGAAGAATACTTACTATTATATATAAAATTGGCTAGGCACACAAGAAGCTACTTGAATTACAAAATTGTTTTGATTGAAAATGTTTTATCAAATACCGGGACTGTCCGCAGCTTTAAGATAGCTTAGCAACCGTAGTGAGGATAACGACAACACTTGACACAAACCAACACCAAAAGTAGAATATATCAAACTGTTCCAATGCAAGCCACAAATGTTAGCATGTGTAGCTAAACAGCTTACTAGATAACGTAGCTCTAATGTAGGAGGTCGGGGGGCCAATTGCTAACGCTAGCCAGTTTGTGCGTTAAAGTGGACGTACTAGCCATGAAGCTAACGTTGGTCTTGCTATCATGCTAACGTTAGCAGCTCTCTTTTGCTCTTCAACGACTTTAAAGACATTGAAACAAAAGCTGCTGGTGTTACCTGGGATTGCATTTTACATAATATATCAGTTAGTCCTGATCCTAACAGCTAGCTAATGCTAGCTAGTTTGTAGGTTTAACTAATTTAACGTTAAAGGTTACGTTTACTAGCTAATCTTGGTCATGCGATCATCACATGAACGTTATGCATCCATTACGTTTGTATTTAATGACCTTCTTATTTTTAACAAGTCATCAGAAAACATTACAGGAAAATCTGTTTTAAACCAACTCATGGAATAGGGCTAACTTCAGCTCTATGAGCTAGCTAGCGAGCTAAAGCTAGTAAAATAATTAATTAATTAATAATGAATAATTATCCATTTTTACGGTGACCTGCCTTTACAAGAGAAATGGCTTTGATCTTAAATCAAAGATTAATTAATAATTCGATGGTTAATCTACAACAGTCAGTTTAACCGACATAGCAACAGCAACTAAGGAGGCGGGCCTTAGAGTAAATAAAAATGTCAAATATATTTTATATATTTATATATAACTATTGCTGTTTGTTGCTGAAATCAAAGTAACAAAATAAATGTTGTCGTGGTTCCTTTTTAAAAAATGACGCATATGCACATGTCAAAAAATGCACCTTTTTAGTTCTGTAGATAAACGGAATTACTTTTTTAAAGCTTTATTTTTGTGATTTGTTGGAGAAATTGTAATACAATAAAGGATATGTTTATTATGAGATAGTGTGAGGACAGATACCCCAAACAAATCTTTTTACCAAGGGGATCCGAGGAAAATATGCATTTTGAAGACACCCGGTTTGCATATATAATGAACACTCTATTTGAAATTGTATGTTTGTGTAATAAGTGGAACATATCAACTGATAATAATTAGCCACTGTGTTTTGTACGTTTTGGGATGGGCTCAAATTTGAAAACCCCTTTTTGTTTGAACAATCCTTGCCACTGCCTCGAATAAATGCATACCTCCACTTCCACTACTCCGTCTACGGTAAATCAATTTTTCTGTGACAGTCATCTGTTCAGTAACATGATGATAGAGGTATTAAAAATGTATTGGTTAAAAATTGTCAGTTAGTTTTGTGATACGCGTTGTGTTCGAAAAACGAGTGTTCACCGCCCTCCAGCGGTCACGGTGAGAAGCAACCAACCCAATGTTAATAATACTTACAACACAAGAATTTATACACATGTAGGTATAATATTATCTGTGTAATTAAATTAAATTAAAATAACAGTAACATCAGTAATGGTAATATGCTTGCATTGCTAAAAAAATAAAAGCTGTTTATAGAAATGTTCTCTGGAACCGAAATCACAAATTAGAAGAAATCTTCAAATTGGTGTAACTCACTAAAAATACTTTTCCACCTAACTTTTTTTCACTGTTTTTCTAGATATTTTTCTTGGCCTAATATTGGTTTCACTTTTTTTAAAACATTTTTTGACATAATATAAATGGACTTAAATGGACTTTTTTCAAAATATTTTCCGCCTAATATTGTAATTAACTTTTTCTCCAAATGTCATGGAATCTTGACAAGCTTGATTACAGTCATGACAGGCTGACTTATGCCTACTTCTATCTACTGAACTGTCATAGCGCCACCTACTGACAACTACAGCCATAAGCAGGATTCTGATGAACTCATCAAAAAGGTTTGTGGACACACTACCAGAAAAACAGACCCTTTCATTAATAGTAAACAGAATTATTTTTGCTTGTTCTAGAGCAGAGGTGTCAAGCTCATTTTAGGTTTGGGCCACGGTGTGACCCCGGGTGGACTAGTTAGCAGCTATTTATATCATACAATATACCGGAGGGCCAACTGTAATAGTAATTAAATATTATCCTGTGGGCCAAAGATAATTCCACCACAGGCCGGATTTGGCCTTGAGTTCGACATTTGTGTTCTAGAGTGTAAAGTAATGTAAAGTAATTGAATTTTGAAGTTTATTCAATCAAATCAATCGTCACCCGGCGTAATTGCTCAAATAGGGTTTCTATTTAGTTTTCTCTACATGAATGTAGAGTCCGTCTTTTCTCCTGGACTCTTCTCGCTTTGAACTCCCAGCAGTGATTTTCAGAGCTGCTTCACAAGCAGTTGGTTTTGAGACCTGCATTTAATTTGAATGTCTAGTATGTTACAAACGTGACAGCGTATTCACACACATTGTTTTTTTGCCGATCTTTACAGGCTTACATTTATGATTATATTTCAATATCAAAATAAGAATTAAGAATTCTGACTAAATGACCTGGCTGCTCTGACTGTACACACAGGATATCCAGTCTAAACTTGTGCAAGCAGCTTCTGATGGTCACAGAAATGCATGGCAGCATCCACTCGAGTCTGGAAGGTACCTCTGATGATCATATTTGTAGATGAATACAGAAAACAGTACCTTACTAAGGACAGTTTTGCGATATAAGTATTGTTCTTGCTAGTGGATGTGATGCAATAAAAGGTAATACAATTTCATCTTGAGTTTTAAATCTTTTTTTGATATTTGTAAATGTGTACATTTTAAAATGTGTTAATGTGCTATTTTCTACTATGTCTGTCCTTTATTTCCAGTCTCCCTCCCTTAAGAAAAGCATAAACATGTGGAGGGTTTTACTTTGTAGGCTCTGACCGGATGTTGAATGGGGGGGGTTAACTCGTCACGTGACGTGTCCATGACGACAGAGAGTCAACAGCTCTGCGTTCGAGTGTTTGACAGATGTTCATTCGGATCAACGGCCCCATCCAGAGCCGAGGACCGGAGGAGGGAGAGCGGGGCCGCGTTTGGATTACCCCCCCCCCGGGGCAGAGGACCCAAACATGTCGGGAGAGAAGGCGACGAGCCCCTGCAACAAATTTCAAGCCAACATTTTCAACAAAAGTAAATGTCAAAACTGCTTCAAGTCCAGGGAGCTGCATCTGCTGACCGACAACGGCAGGGAGCAGGTAACGTTTCACTGCGCTTTTATTTGTTTTATTTGACTATTTACGTGACGGTCGGTCCGTTGATTAAAGAGTAAAGTGACGTAACGCGGTATTTGTGGATTAAAAATGGAAGTTCTTCGGTCGGGAGAAGGTGTTTTTGTAGCTCATGTTCGACGTTAACGTTAGCGGGGGGCGCTCCGGGGTGTTGATAGCCGCCTGAACCCGCCCGGATGTTCACGTTAGGCGGCCGCAGTTCCCTTTAACTCCCCCGCTAACCCGCCAATGTGCCGGATGGGCAGTTAAACCCCAGCGAGCAACTAGTTTGACCCCAAAAATATGAACATTGACTCGGGGTCAAACCCGTTTAACGTGTTAACGGGTTTTTGCTAGTTAACGTTACGTGAGAGAGTTAAACGTTTTTTAAACTAACGTTAACTAACACTAAACTTTACATTAAAACATTTTTTTCTCGTTATTAGCATCTTAAATGTAAGTGATCTTACTTAAGTAATGCAGTTCATTTAGCAGTTTGATACTTAAAATATAAAAGTGTCTTTACTCTAAAAATATGAACATCACTTGTAAATTAAACTGCTGACCTGTTTTTCAAAATAAAACTATGTTGAGTCAATGATGTATGACGTAGTTATCCACTCCTTTTTGTTTTCTGCGTCATGAAGTCGACCTATTTCAGTTTACAGTTAAACTTTATTCTGTTAATGTGACAAATTAATACATTTGAAGAGTAAAGTACTTTTGTCAGGATAAGTGAACTGTCACCAATGTTTAAGTCTTTTGTGTTTTCGTCTTCGCTTGTTAGATATTATACTAGTTTTTCAGTTTTCATTTGAAGTCTCAAAACATACAAACACAAAAGTGAAAATGGAGGAAAGAAAAACTGTTTTCTATTTGCTACTGAATGTTCCCGTAGGTTAGCTCAGTTAAAAGAAATGTATGGACTGTTATTAGCAGTTTTTAGATAGTAGTAATTATACAAATAATAATACTGTCTTTAAAGATTTTGCTATGTTAGATGTCAATTCAAAAATTGGTATTTGCGAAAAATGCGAACATATTTTTTTACAATGGAATCTGACATTTTTTTTCTTTTTTCTTCATATAACAAATAAGTAACTAAATATCCAAACAATCTCTCAGTTATGGGAACATAACATCTCAGCAGAAGAGATATTTATGTCCTTTGTGTCCTCGGTGTCTGTCTCGAGAAGACGGCCATGAAGGCGTCCTGCATACTTTACATTGTTTAAATATGTTGTTACGCTCAGTCCGCCGTCCTGGTTTCACAGTCCCTGTAATTTCAAACATGACGTGACTCGAGTCATCTGTGCTCACAGAGAGAACGCTGCGGTGAAGCAACTACATAAATACCACTTAATATGTATACAATACTTTGGTGGAAAAGCAAACAGACAGCGATATTTAATCTACTTTAACATAAGACAAAAGAACGGCATGAATCCCGACACATGAGAAGCAGGAACTCGGGAACGCAATCAAAACAAACGATTAATTGATGACATAACCATTTGGGAATAACTTCCCTTTCCTCCACTTTTAGGCGAAGCCCCTGTATGGAGGCTGGCTGTGTTTGGCCCCCGAAGGCACGGATTTTGAAAACCCGATGCAGAGGTCAAGGGTGAGACACGATGAAAGTTTCACTTCCAGTTCTCCACCGTGACCAAATGGCGCCGTGTTGATGTTCTTTGTTGTGTCTCAACGTCAGAAATGGCAGCGGCGCTTCTTCATCTTGTACGAAGACGGCAGCCTGAGCTTCGCCCTGGATGAACTGGTGAGAAGCCGCTGGTTGCAGCCGTGCACGGTAAACCCTGCTCCGACCGAGCGGGCATCTTTAGGCCAGATGTCGTGTGCACGACCGCGGCAGATGATTTGAGCTTAGCTCGTCCTCTAATGCACCCCTGCCCCCCCCCTCTGTGATCCCCTAAAATCTCTTTCATTGCATCATTCTCTCAACACCACAAAGTGTTCTCTGTTTAACTGTCACTCATCTGGGGATCAGTCCTCTCGGTAGGCCACATTTCCTAACCAGCTCACCAGAATAACCCGGATGCTCTCGGTCCCCCCCCGCAGCCGAGCACTCTGCCACAGGGGACGGTGAACTTGAATGTGAGCGCGGACATCGCTGACGCCGAGCCCCGGACAGGCCAGAGAAATGCGCTGTGCATCGCCACGCCGGAGCAGGAGATCTTCATCCGGGGCGACAACAAGGAGATCATCAACGGGTCAGTAGGAAACAAAAGTGGAGAAAGCACAGGAGCTGCGTCGGGTTTCTCTGTGACTGACGTCCCGACGTCTTTGTTCACCAGGTGGACGGAACAACTCGCCGTCTATTTACGGACCAGCCAGCAGAATCAGAAGAAGAAACGCAAAGTGGAGCCTGTCGCCACCCAGGTAGCAACGCCCACGTCCACCAAATCCCTCAGCCTGAGCACTGCGCGTGTCAGGCCAAACCATAAGTGCCGGGAGGGAAACGTACAACATACAGATGTTGTTATGGCAATCCGTCCTGTTGTCCTGTTTGCCGTAAAACCACAAATTGTAACTGCACAAGTCCGAGGGTTAATCCTCTGGGTACCATGAATGTCAGCAAATAACATTGATATCCACCAAAGTGGTGGACCAACCATTGCCGTGGCTAAAGCTGCTAGCATCGCCTTGAGTTTCATGATCTGCAGAGGATGAACCCTTTTGCAAGTTTTTTTCAAAAAGCTTTTATTTAAATTTGTGGAATGTATGCTTTTTATGTGCTTGTATATTTTTATATTTGATTAAGAAAAGAACTAAAGATTTGTATGTAACATAAATTTCTATTGCTTCATTGTTTTAGTATAATATATCAGCTCACAGCATAAAATAGCTTGTTTTCAATCCAACATCATCCTGGGCTAAAAAGTGCAGACATCTTACCGAGTGTTCTTATTTGTTTTTCTAACAAAACACCAGGAGCCCAGTGCAGCTAAAATGGCTGCAGCGGATCCCAGTTCTCCTTCCTTGGGGAACGCTGCAGAGTCCGGCAGCGGTCGGAGGCAGGAAGACCCTCGGCAGGGCGGTGGACCGGGTGAAACCCCCATAAGGCCTTTCCCCGACTCAGACCCCCGGGGCCTGGAGGAGACCCCTGCAGGTGCTGCAGAACCCCCCACACACACACACTCACATTCCCAGGCCTTCATGTCCGCTGGCCAATCACAGCCACTTCCTGTCCTCTCTCTCACTGTCCTAACGTCCTACAGATGTTCTCACACTTCCTGCTTTTTGTTTGTCCGTTTCATTTAACCCTTGTTTAACCAGGCTTGTTGACCCTGCGCTGACTTGTAATTATGTGAACAGGCTGGGGGAGCTTAAGCAGGAAGTTACATAAAAGTACACGGACAGACACACACTGGGAGATATCCAGTAAAAACGCGCGTCTTTAAACCAGGCAAGCCAATCACGATCCATAAAAGAGCCGTAAAAGAGGTCCTCGTTAGCAGAGGACAGGTATTCCTGCTTAGTGGAGCAGCAGCACGCGTCAGGTGACTTACTGCCTAAAGGCCCGGATCGCTCCTGCTTCATTAGAGCGATGGAGAACACGCAGGCGGCCTAATGAAAGATGCTTTGTCAGGGTTCCCTCCGGTCATTTGATCCCTGCAACGGCGTTGAATTATTTAAGAGGCCTTTTTTAGCAGCATTCAGTGGAAACCAAACCGTTCCCCCTTTTTAGACAAACAACATTAACACACTCAGGTCACACATACACTCTTATATATATATATATATATATATATATATATATATAAATAACTGCAGTCAGTTACATCAAGAGAGCTTTTCACATTGGAAGTAAAACAAACAGAGCAGAGATTGTTCCCTTTCTTCATGGTGATGTCGTGGTTTGTATGATGGATGAAATGACTGAGAATGATGAACCGACTGCAGTGTTTTAGCTTCTTCCAGCTCATTGTTTGTGTTTTAGGCACATAGTCATTGTTCATATGGTTATTTTTGGATTTACATTGTAGAATTTATTAACCGTCATGTGTTTGTGATTTGTGGCAATGTTACCTGAGTCACATTATTATACAGGAACAAGTATTAAGATGTTCATCGTGGAGTACGACGGTAAGAGGAGGAGCGCTGCAGGCTGTTTAGCTGCAGGACTCGGTGTGAACTCTGACATCGATTAAAAGAAGAACGGTTTCATCCCGTTTGAAACAAGTCATTGGGGAATCAGAGCAAACGGTTTCTAACACTCAGAAACCCTCTGGTGTTGTTTTCGATGTGCAGGCTACCTGAGCCCTGCCTCTTTGGATTTGGTGACCGGTGGAAACACCGACCTCGCCAGTAGAAACCAGCTGTCCGAGTCAAACAACATCCAAACATCAGCCAGGACCAACAACCAGAGCCAAGACAAAAGGTCAGAAACATACTGGAGGTAGATTTCCAGCCAATTCTGAAGACGATATGTATGAATAACTCTTACGTGTGGTGTGTTTGGCAGCAGTCTGGTGTTTACTTTCTTGTGTACATTCTGTTGGTAACCGCCATAGAAGTGCTTTGGCAGAGGAAAGGGGGGTAAATGTGCAAGCAATTAGCACAAAGCCCCCCCTCCCCCCCAGCATAAAGCCAAACAGCCATCACACACCACTAAACACCAGATGAAAGGCTCACGCTCTACCCCCCCATTAGAGATCTGCTTGCTGCATATTTTAAATTTAGCTTCGAGAATCCCTCCCTGTTTTGCGCCCCAGCAACATGTAAACTGGTCACGTGACGAGAGCGCCACTCGTTTCTTCACTCGCTGCCTTTTTCGGAAACAAAAACACCAGATACTCAATTGCCCCCAAATAAGGGCTGAAATTCCAAAACGCTGGAGTAACTGGACCCGTGCAGCGTTGTTTCTCAGGACCTTTGTGCGGCCGTCAGAGGAAGTGGACGTCAGCTGAGAGCTCAGACGCCGGGCGAGGAGCAGAAAGAGTGATGGGCTGCTCATCATGTGACGTCTCAAAAGACGGAGCGGAACTAATGAAGAGGTTACCGGTTATTTATGCTGTTGGACCAGTAGTGTAAAAAAATCTAATCATCATTTAATATGGTATAGAAATATGTTTTGGCATTTTATTTGCTTAACAACTGAGGACACGATTTGGATGATTGGACTTAGAAAATGGATTAATCAAATTATTTCTGCACCAGATTCGGATCTTCACAATTTTTGATGTTGGATCAAAAACGGACCCAAAACCCCCAAACTCAACTTTTAAATGACTGCGTTTCTTCACGTGGCCGCTGTGTTTCCTTTACATCAGGTTACTCTTTGGTGTCATTTCCTCCTTTATGAATACAAAACCTCTGACCGCAGTTGGAGGGACGTCGGCTCGCGTTGAGTCTCTTCACCGCAGCAATAACAGGCAGAGATCTGGTGTCCTTGGGGCTCCTTCTCCTGCACAGGCGCAGCTATCAAGCCGTCCCCCCCGCTGGTCATTTGGGCGGAAATTACGCCATGACCCACTTCTGTGCAGGCGAGTTCAGGGAAGCCGCACTTCCCGTTCGTCACTCCTCATCAGCTGTGTGTGTTTTCCAGCCGTGGCGGTCCGACAGAGAGGCTTCTGGGATTGGAGGCGACTGAGAACGAGCCGGAGGCAGGAACAGCTGTTTCCAGGGTGGGCAGGAGCGAGGCTCGCACCAACGGCCGAGAGGTAAATACTCCAGAACACCTCCAGCCCTGCAGCTCACTCGCTGTGGTTCTCATACAGATACATTTCGTATAAACCAACAAATAGAAGACTCAATACAACCACAAATGCTGCAAGAATCTGCCTCGTCGGTATAATTAAAAGTGCAAGTCGTCTTAAATCACTTCAGTGTTTCTGCTGGGGCAACAATGCAGCAAAAAAAAAAGCCCTCAAAGGTTTGTGGTTCTTAAGGGAAGCCGCCGGAACAGTTGAGACCAAAAGCGCTGAATGGGATTATGTGCACGGCACAAAAATAAACTAGTGTGGATTTTCTGTTTAAGACCCGTAAAAGATCTGCTTCTCCTCTCTTCTGATTAAAAATCACCAAATTTGGACACATATGGTTTTCATTGGACAGCGTTGATATGTAACCCATCTAACGGGTCTCTTCCCAAAATACCTCCAAGGTGAGTCACCGAGGAGGCGTGTTCAGCAACATACAATAAATACTTTCAAATCACCACAGCAAACCCGATCGTATTATTTCTGCAGGTTTCGACACGTTGCGTGACGCTGCAAAACACCGATGGATGTGATTCAGGTTCTGCTGAAGGAGCGGATCAAGTTAATCGTGAGGACAAATGAAGCTACGGCTGACGTTTTGTTTCAGAGGCAAATGCAAAGAAAGTATAAAGGGCAAAGCCAATGAAATAGTTGAGAGGAAAGGAGGCGAAGGCTTCGGGTGGATGACGTAGTTCTGTCTGAGGTGGAGGAGCACCTGATGCACCTGCAGTGGATGGTTTCACATGGTAGGAACGTGTGACATTTTACGTTGTTATATTCAGGGACACATCCTCACTTTCGTTTCCTCGCCGTGCTCCTTTGCTGCCGTTTTACCGCAAAAGAGAAAATGCAGATTAATCGCACGGCCGGTTCGTCGCGATCGAGACCGGTCCTGTTTCCCAGCTGCGCTCGGCCTGCCGGACCGGCCCCAACACGACTCGCACCACCAGGTGTTACTCAGGCGACCGCGTCACCGTGACGACGGAGCTCTGAGTTCGCCTCAGTCATCGAGCGGCACGCGTGGACGAGTCGATCGGGCCGTGTGTGCGTGTGTGCGTGTGTGTTGCGTGTGCGAGGGGCTGCGTGTGTCAGCAGGTGGGGGAGAGGCCTCTTGTTGGGGAGCAGCGCTGGTTCTGTTGCCCCGGAGGCGTTCCGCCTGCTCTCTGTGTGTGTTTTGTAAGCTGGGAGACGGCGTTTTTTTCCTCTGGATTCCTCAGATACAAAACGAGACGCGGTGTAATTTTGGGAACTCTCAAAGAGCTTTTTTTTTTTATTTTTTTTAATTTTTTTTTTACGAGAGTCTAAAAAAACGTGTATTTCCTGAACCTGGTGAACTGAGTCGGGCTTCCTTCCCATGCGCACATCTGTTTGAGGAGGATCGTCTCCGCGTGTGTCGGGCCGGTGATTAAGGTGTCTGTCTGTGTGCGACAGTGTGCGCAAACACGCAAACATGCGCCACAAACAGTCCACATGCTGTGAGAAGACTTCAGTAAATCAGGATTATTCTGGAGAACTTTTATCTCATTTACACTTCCACTTAACTCCTTTTTGCACCGTAACACGCATACAACGTTCTAAATGCACGTACTTTCTTTACAAAACACACTTTTCCTGACTAAAATGCAAAAATCCATAAAAAACAATTAAAGACGTTTACAAAGTCGTGGTATTTACTGCAAAACAAGGTCAGTAACAGATGAGGATATTTCACATATTCAGCATATACGTAGTTTTTATATACTATTATTACTATTATTATTTTCAGTTTATTTAACTAACTTATTTATTTGCCTTTTCAGTGTAATATGAATTTGGGTGCAGCTGCATTGTGTTATATAGTGAAATAAATCTGAACCTCGATTAGCGGTTTAATCTGCATCTTTGGGCTTAACTCTGTATAATTATAAAAAACAACCTGAAAGAGGATATTTGAGAGTAAGTTGTAGGTCAGCAGTTGAACCGCGTGTCATTCAGCTGAACACTGAAGATGGATATTTTCTCTGTTGAACTAAGTGAACAATGAGCTTCTTTCAGAGTAGAAAAAGTGAAATTTTACCCATCACATGGTGGGAATAAAGTTATTATATTGTGTTTTTAAACAAAGCCATTTAAAATGCATCCAATAACTTTCTGGAAAAAGGGCGGCGCATAAAATGCATATTCACATTCAGAGCGTTATCTCCGCCAGCTGGGAGAAGATCTGCGGTTCGCAGTAGTCGCTACTACATGTTCCCAGAAGCCGGAGGAGATGGATTTTCCGACCAGGTGACCTGGAGAGATCCAGTCACAGCTGACCTAAAGCCCCACCCCCAAAGTTCCCCCCCGAAGCAGTTGTGCTGGTATGAACGCAGTGCATTTATTTGGACCCAGATGGTCATCGCCGTGGCGGCTGTTAATCTTTGATTAAACAGAGACGCTCATTCCAGAGGATTTGCCCTTTTCGTCCCATGCGAGGATTTATGTGTCTTTGGGGGCGTTTGTTTTGGTATCCAGGAGAAGGTCAAAAGACCCTGTCCGGAGTTCATTCAGGCCTCTGAGCCAGAGATTCACAAGGCAGCCCCCCTCCCTCTCCCCACTCGACGCCCCCGGCCCCCCTTTTTCTTAGGGAAGCTCCTTCACCAAACAGAGGGCGGGCTTTGTCTGCAGCGGGCAGCGATTGTTTGAGAAGAAAAAAAAAGGTCGGTGCCGCGCGAAGCGCTGTGTCCCCCCTGTGTTCCCCCTGTGTTCCCCCCCGTGTACCCCCCCGTGTTCCCCCCGTGTTCCCCCTGTGTTCCCCCCGTGTTCCCCCCGTGTTCCCCCCGTGTTCCCCCCGTGTTCCCCCCGTGTTCCCCCCGTGTTCCTCCCGTGTTCCCCCCGTGTTCCCATCCCGTGTTCCCCCCGTGTTCCCCCCGTGTTCCCCCTTCGTGTTCCCCCTGTGTTCCCCCTGTGTTCCACTTGTGTTCCACCCGTGTTCCCCTTGTGTTCCACCCGTGTTCCACCCGTGTTCCACCCGTGGTCCACCCGTGGTCCACCCGTGGTCCTCCCGTGTTCCTCCCGTGTTCCTCCTGTGTTCCTCCTGTGTTCCACCCGTGGTCCTCCTGTGTTCCCCTTGTGTTCCCCCCGTGTTCCCCCCGTGTTCCTCCTGTGTTCCTCCTGTGTTCCACCCGTGGTCCACCCGTGGTTCCCCTGTGGTTCCCCTGTGGTCCTCCTGTGGTCCTCCTGTGTTCCACCCGTGGTCCTCCTGTGTTCCCCCTGTGTTCCCCCTGTGTTCCACCTGTGTTCCACCCGTGTTCCACCCGTGTTCCCCTTGTGTTCCACCCGTGTTTCACCCGTGGTCCACCTGTGGTCCCCCTGTGTTCCGCGTTGTGTCTTTGGGTAGTTCTCAATGTGAATGCCAGGAAAGGGAAAGCACAAAGAGAGTTCTGTGGCCTTCAAAGTGGTCATTTCTCCAGTCGTGGTGATTATATAAGAGAGAAGAACTGATCTTTTGAAGTAAACAAAAAAAAAAAGACCTCAAAGTTTCCGTGATAATGGCGCGTCTGAAGACCTTTTCATGCATCCGGCGCGCCGTGTGCAGCCGAGGTGGATGTGAGTGAGAGTTTAACGGGCAGTGTAGAAAAGCCTGTTGGCTCCCCGCGGCGCTCTGCAGCGGCGCCTAATCCCCCATCGGACGCCTCTGCCAAGGATCCAGGATCGGTTACTCTGCTTGATGGAATGCAGACACACACACACACACACACACACACACACACACACTGTGCCATCAGAAAACACCTCACGTCTTCAGATATAAACAAACTACCTTCAGAAGTGAAAGGACTTGTTATCATTTGAAGTCTTTTTTTCTGCACAGAAGCTCCAGTCACGTGGAGACACGGCCCGGCTCGCCGCCCCCCCGCCCCAGAGGAGAGCCAAGTCCCTGGACCGCAGGACCTCCGACACCGTCATGACGGTGAGACGCAGATGAACACGTTGTACTGTGTACTGTTTTATTAATGTTGCTGCGGAGACGGAAGCAGTGACTTAATTGTGGAGAAAGAAAGAAAACATGGATGCCGCGATGGCGCCCACTAGAGGCCGGGCTGTTCTTCACACGGAGGAAGTCATCACGATGTTCCTAATTCCACTCTGTACTTCTTTTACAGCCCGATTTATTAAACTTCAAAAAAGGCTGGATGGTGAAATTGGATGAAAATGAGCAGGTAAAGTTCAACCTGAATTCAGGTTTAGTTGTTGGCAGGAACGCTTTGTAAATCTGGATTTGTTTTTTCTCCAGTGGAAGAAGTATTGGTTCGTGCTGTCGATGGACAGTCTGAGGTGCTACAAGGACTCCGTGGCTGAGGAGGTACTTTTCTGACATTACTTTTTTTATACAGAATACTATTAAGAAGTATTTCCGTCCTCATTTTAAAAGTTTCTCTCCTCTTTTCAGGCTTCAGACCTCGAAGGAGAAATCGACCTGACAAGGTGTTATAACGTGTCCGAGTACCAAGTGCAGAGGAACTACGGCTTTCAGATCCACGTGAGCAAACAATCCCCTCACCTCACAGGCAAATCCCTTCTGCCGGAACATCAAATGAAGTCGAATGTTGTTTCAGACCCCAAAAGGTGTTTTCACGTTGTCAGCGATGACCTCGGGGATCCGTAAGAACTGGATCCAGGCTCTGATGAAGAGCGTCCGCCCGGCCAGAGCCCCCGATGTGGCCAGGTACTAATCCTCTTCCATGGTGATTAGCTTCTACCCATCACTCCTCTACATCGCCCTCCGATAAACTTTCCTCTGTGTGTTTGCGCAGTTTGCCCGTCCACCGCGGCCCAACCGAAGCTCTGCCCAAACCAGATGTGACCCGGGACTCCGGCGCCGCGCCCCCCGAGCGAGACCCCCGCCCCGAGCGCAGGACCGTAACCGAGCGGCGGCGGAAGGGACGCTACAAGACCTTCGACTGGGCCGAGTTCAGGCCGCAGGGCAAACAGGCCGCGGACCCCCCGCGGGCCACAGCGCCGTGCTCGCTGGAGATCGGCGAGCTGGAGAGGAGGAAGAGGAGGGAGGAGAGGAGGAGGAGGTACGAGAGCATGCTGGGCTTCCCCTTGGGCTGGGAGGCGGGGCCGGATAATAAAGCCCCGGGCGCCAGAGCGCTGAGCCCCAAGTCGCAGCGGCGCGTGGAGGAGGAGATCGAAGAGTGCTGGAGGCAGGTGGAGAAGACGGTGTTCCGGCTGGAGAGGAAGGTGCCGCTGATCTCTGAAGCCGGAGACTGTGCGGAGGCGGAGAAGCTGCTGGACGGCTACGTGAAGGGGGTGAGACCTCCCGTCCCCAGTGCAGCTAAACATCCTTCTTATCTCCACATTCAGCTCGAGGAATGAGTTCTATATCAGAGATTCAACGCCGCTTCCTAACAAATATTCTGACTGACATCTCAACATGTAGTCGATTATCCTGCTGCGGCTTCTTAATCGGGACCTTTTCCTTTGCAGGTGGAGGATCTGAAGGCCCGGCTGGCCGAGTCTGAGCGACAGCGACTGGACCTGGAGGCCCGGCTGGCTGCAGACGGGTTTTACGCGCAGCAGGTTCGCAGCATGTCGCGCCTCAGCTCAGGCCTTTCTCGTTCTTTGACACCCGCGTGGTCGCTAATGCTTCCTCCCGTGGTCCTTTTCTCAGTCGCAGCCTCTGACCCCCGGAGCAGATTTCCCTTCGGACAGGAAGGAGCGGCCTCTGAACGGCGGCGGGCCGACCCGTAACGTCGTGAGTCCAGAAGCCAGGGAGCTCCTGCAGCAGCAGAACCTCATCAACGCGCAGGAGCAGCTCGGCTGTGAGTCGCCGCCATCCGCGCCTCAGATGCCCGGCATCTGGCTGCGTGACACGGAGGGCAACTCGCAGGAGGTGGAGGAGCCGCCTCCTGGGGCAGGAGACGCAGCTCTGTTATCATCACCTGCGTCAGGAGAACAAGCGTTATTCTCTCAGAGCGAGGGACCAACTGCAGGTTCAAACGCTGGAGTCGACAACGAGGACCAGCTGGATCGAGGCGACATCGAGCAAGTTCCCAGCCCAGAGAGTCAAACGGAAAACGGGGAGTTCAGTTCGTTAATCCTGGAGACGCCTTCAGAGGGAGACGACGACTCGCTCGGCTGCTGCGTGGAGCTCCGCTCACCTGCAGACCAGGCGGTGGTGAGGAGGCTTTCGCGAGAGGTGGAGCTCCTCACGGGCCAGAACGAGGCTCTCAACCGGCGCAACCAGGAGATGCTGAACCAACTGACAGAGGCCGACCGCGAGATAGAGAGACTGAAAGCGGAGCTCAGCAGCAGGTACACCGAACCCCACCACCTCCCCGAGGTGGAGCAGCTGGGCCGGACAAGGGTGGAGGATCTGGAGGGCGAGCTGAGCGCCAGAGACCAGCAGCTCCTGGAGGCCCAAACGGTGATCGCCTCCCTGGAGGAGAACCTGAGGGAGACGGAGGAGCTGCTTCAGCTGAACGTCCCGAGGGAAACGGAAGAGGAGAACAAGGGATACTTGCTCCGGTGCTTCGAGGCCACCGAGGCCAAGCTGACGGAGCTGGAGAGGAAGCTCGAGCAATCGGAGCGGACCTGCATGGAGCTCCACGCGCAGAACGCGGAGCTGAGGGAAGCCCAGGAACGCTGCGGTCGGAGGGCTGCGGAGGCGGAGGCCGACGTCAGGCGGCTGAATCAAGAGTTGGAGATGGAGAGGTTGGAAGACGGAGAGGGCAACGCGTGTGTTTCTGGAGAAGAACGGATCCAGGAAGTGATAGACGGGATGGTCGTGAGGTTGAAAGCTTTGGAGAAACTACTGGAGGTGATAGACAAGTTTGATTGTGGTCTGAGGAAGGAGGAGGAGGAGACGACGGTGCAGAGTCAGTTGCTGTGGGAGGAAGAGTTTTGGGGTTTTCTGCTCGACAAACTGAAGGCGAATCGGTCCCAGCTGAATGAGGAGGAACCGGTAGAAGAGCTTCTCGCTGAGGTGACGGAACGAATGATGGCGGAGAAACAGATGCTGCTTTTAGGCTCTCGTCTGCTCTCCGAGACCTCCGCCGATGGCGGTTTGAAAGAACTGGACATTATCTTGAACATCGCGAGTGAGACAGAAAGCAACAAGACGGACGGAAGCCGGACGCTTGATTCGGACCACCAGCTGTACGAGATGGAATATTTTAGAAGCGCCACACGGGTGAAGATCTCTCTGCTGAACCGCCTCTCCGCCTCCGACGAGAGGCTCCGGCTGACGGCCGACCTGCTCCGCGGGCGGCGCCCGCGCCGCGGCTTTGTCGAGGGCGCGGCGACGGAAGCGCTGTACTGCTGCCGACTGAGCCGGCTCCGCTCAAAGTACGAGAGGCGGCTGGAAGAAACCCGACAGCAGCTGCTCGCCTCCTCCCTCGTCTGCAGCGACTGCGTCGCCTTGTTGGAGGAAAACCGGCAGCTGAGAGAGAAGGTGTCTCACCTGGAGGCCCAGCGGGCGTCTCCGGTGGATGAGATGGACGCGTGTTGCCAGACAGAAGAGGCCGACCCTGACGTTGGGTCACGGGTCGCAGATAGAGGCGTCGCAGATGACACTGGGGAGGAAGAGGAGGAGAGCCCGGAAACTCCACTTTCATCTGTCGGAGGTCAGTCGGGACTCGAGGAGACTAAAGATGGCAACACGGAGATGGTTTCGGTGCTGAGAAGAAGGGTGGAGGAGCTGGAGGAGCAGCTGGCCGTTATGGCGGAGATGAAAGAGGAGCTTGACGGGAAAATGGGTTCTGATCGGGCGCAACATGAGACGGAGATGGAGAAGCTGAAGGTGAGTAGATCTGGAGCGGTTAGCGTAGACTTCATGACTTGAGAAGTACATTTGATCTTCTTCATACCAGACTCTATTTTGCTAAAGTAAAGCGCTGCCACTTTTACACATCATAGGATAGAGAACTGAGTTTAATGCAATCAAACCAAAACAGGAAAAGACTTATGGGTATTAACTCGTATACGGCACATTTCACGCCGTTCCTCCAGGCGACGTGTGAGCGCGGCTTCGCCTCCATGGAGGAGTCTCACCTGAAGGTCGTGGAGGAGCTTCAGCATCGACACCGACAGGAAGTGGAGCGCCTCCTGGTGGAGAGAGACGGACTGCTGGAGGAGGAGAGCGCCGCTACGGCGACCGGTGAGCAGACGCTCTCGTCACTGACGACCGCGTGGTGTTTTATTTTGAAAATCTGCTGGCAAGGGAAAAACAAAACCCGTCGAGCTGCCGAGTTCCCTTCGGCCTGGTGTTCTGTTTCTGATCATGAAATCTTCTCTCAGCAATCGAAGCCATCAAGAATGCTCACCGGCTGGAGCTGGAGAAGGAGGTGCAGAGGAGATGTCAGTCACAGGACACCACAGGAAGCACACACCTGGAGGACGTGCACCGACAGCACAGGTAGGTCTTAAGCCAAGCGCAGGTTGTGACTCGGGCCTCTCGCGGCTGCTCACGTTGAAACCCGCCGTGTTTGTGCAGAGAGGAGCTGGCGTCGTACCAGCGGGAGCTGGAGGTTTTGTCCCAGCAGTTCTCTCTGAAGTGTCTGGAGAACGGACACCTCGTCCAGGCTGTGGACGCCGAGAGGAAGGCCTTGTGTCAGTGCCAGCAGGAGAACCAAGACCTGAGGACCAGGAACCAGGCAAGTCCTTCTCACAGTTACATCGACTCTTCTTTTAAACCCTTTCATGAAGGTGGGTTTAAGTCAAATGCATAGTCAGTAAGTTAGAAGCCTCATAGTTGTCTGGTCTCTGACTTTGTCCTGCAGGAGTTGAGCGGTCACCTCGCGGCAGAGATCACCAGGCTCTGTTCCCTGGCGAAGCAGGACGCGCTGCCTCTCAGTCAGGGGATGGACGTGTACGAGATGGAGGTGAGTCTTCTTCTAGGTCTCAGCTTCACAAAGCTTTGAAGTCAATTTCACATATTTACTTTACTGTTCTCATCACGTTGTTTTCAGAGAAAAGGTAATGAAAAGTGCCGCAGTCCGTAGGAGACTCAAACTTAAGTTAATAAATAAAAGAGCAAATACCACAAATTTCACAGTAATAAAATCTCCATCTTATGTTGCAATAAACAAAATCGAAAGGTTATAATTTAGAGAAGTCTGTGGCTCCCTCTGGTGGTGGTTGGTACAGTAAGAAGGTAATAAAACGTGGTGGTGAATGATGATGAGGACTGATGTTTTGGTCTCAGATCACCCTGCGAGTGAAGGAGTCCGAGGTTCAGTGTCTGAAGCAGGAGATCACATCCCTGAGGGACGACCTGCAGGCGGCACAGAGGGTGAGAATCCAACGAATCGTAAGTAATACACCCGCGGCTCAGAGAGCGAGAAGTGAACGTGTGGTCCGGTCACGTTGCAGGACAAGAGGAGCGCCACAAAGAAGTGCAAAGACGTGTACGCGGAGCTGAGCATCACCAGGGCCAAAGCAGAGAGAGAGATGGAGGCGCTGAGGGAAAACCTGAGGCTGGCTCATCGCGCTCTGGACCACAACACACATTGAAGAATGTCCATCAACACTACATTTTACTGTAACACGGAGAATTCACCCACTAGAAAGTATGTTAATAAACCCTGGAGCCCTCGTACACAATCTCATTTCACCTCCTTTTTACGTTCGGTTTTAGATGTTCATGTCTTTCTGTTGGTTACACGTTTAGATCACTTACTTACATTTTTGACCCTCACTGTCATTTACAAGTATTTTCACTTCAACGGTCCGGTGAAGTTATTTTTGATATATGTGTTTTCCCCAAAGTGATCTTAATGTTGCGTATTATGTATATATTTTACATGTACAGTCATTTTGTTATTGTAACACTTACCGACGTATGTGTGTTGCTCTCTAACCTCTGCAGTATGTGTCGTCATTAAACTGGTCATTTTTTTTATCAATTAAATAAATTAAACTCTTACAGGTACATTTACTTGTAATTTATATTTGTGAACTGCAGTATTAAAATATAAGTACTTTTTATTAATAAAACCAAATTGGCAGATTTAACCTACACTGTCATTTTGAGTTGTTTCAGCGTGGACATTTAGGGGCACATCTTGTTTTATTTTGTTAATGAGTCGAACTTTGTATAAGAAAGATAAATAAATCTGTCAATCTATGTTACATTGATGTATTCTGGCCCCCTTTCACAGTATTCAACACTCTTTCAAGAGAAAGAAGAGTCAAGTCATCATGAAAAATAAAGATAAGCACTGAAGCGGTTTGTGGTTGCGAGTGATTATTTCAAAATAAAAGCATAACTGACATTCAATAACGTCTTTAGATCTACTGTGAAAACTACTGTTCTCTACTCTGCAGAAAATAACGTAACTACCATTAGTGCTAAAATAGGTTTTCTTTGGCTTTAACATCTGCCAGTTGTAGAAAGTGAATACGTTATACTAAGTACTGCAGCCTACTAGAGTACACTTTTGATGTACTTGACGACGTTTTATTTTTTTTTGTCACGTAGAAAGGCCCAGACTATCATTTTTGTGTATTATTGAAGAAACCACATCGTGTTTAAAAAGCTCATCAGTCGTTTTTGTTTTCAACGGACATTTCGACAGTCGCGAGCCGCTCACCGGGGATTTTACTTTGAAAAGCGGCCGTTGTCTTCCGGCGCTACACTGGTTTTTCTGGTGGGACTTGATCCCGGAGGAAGACGGTCTCCATGATGACAACTTTAAAATACCAACGGTAGCCCGAGCGGATTCCAACCGCCTGACGGAAATTATTCAAACAAACAATGTCCGTTTCTCGTCGTCGCGTCGCTCCGGTTTTTATTGAATTAGCTTAGCGTGCTAACGTTAGCTCTCGAGCTAGCATGGAGTCGCTGCTTTTGTTTACGTCCTGATGATGGGCCCGGAGAGACGCGTTAGCTAACCCAGCTACCAGGCGTGTTCGACGGGAGAGGGTCCTCCCAACGCCCGCCCTGTGAGGACCGGGTGGTGGGCAACGGGGAAGGCGGGGGCGGGGGGTCGTCTTATCGGACCTGCTGTCACCTCCGGGGTAAGACCACCGGCGGTTTGACACACGTATTAGTGCAGTGAGGAAACCGGTTAACTTACCTTTTCCATTACTCAGGCCTACCTGTGCCCACCTGAGAAGCACCAATTAAAGATGGATGTTAACGTACAGATCACATAAATCATACAATATGTTGTGTTGGTCAAATCGTCTCTACCTGCTACAGAATATTGAAATATTGCTGAAATGTGTCTTTTTAAATAGACTAAAGTTGGTAAAACATTATAATTATACAGAAAACCTAAACGCAGAGCCCGCTTTGTTTCTGCTTACGTTCTTTTGTTTGATTTGTTTACATAATACAACTTTGTTGTGGAACCAGCATGATTTTTAATTTATTTGTATAGTTTCACTTTTCCTGTTTTTTGGATGGTCTTCTTTTCTTCATTCGTTTTAAATGGTCTTTGAACGGTTTGCTACTATTTAGCTGTTTTTCTGTGTACACTTATTAATGATGACTAGCAGTATTTGTATGACTACTACAGAGAAACCTACACACTAAATATTATTACCACTACGGAGGTTTCTCCAGTGTGAAAAGTTTGGGTCTCAGGTCTGACTTTTCTTTTTCTTTAATTCATTCTAGATTCTATGAAATGTAAAAAACATGGTGAAAAAAAAGTTTCTTCAAGTTTTGAATATATGAGGTTTGTCGTGGTGCAGAAGTAGAGAGGAAGCGCTGGGAACCGGAAGGTTGGTGGTTTGACCCCCAGCTGCTCCATATCCCCTGTTGAAGTGTCCCTGAGCACGACACCTGACCACTAACTGCTCCTTGGGCAAAAACATTACATTTGGAACCACTGCTTTGGATCAAAGTGTCAGCTAAATGACCTGTAATGTAAACGTACTAATGAATTATTACCACACCATCACCAAATCACCATTTGTTTGACATCTGAGAAGCAGAAACAAGATGATTCACATTTTGTGTTTTCTTTGGGTGAGAACAAAAGTATCAAAAACGTATATTGGTATTTTTCTGCTTCTGGGTCACTATTTTACTGAAAAAAGCCACAAAAAACACCTCAAAACATCTCTTTTTTTAACTATCATGATTAAACAGGATATTTGTTGTCCTGTTGGGCTCTGGGAGGTTTTAATACACTGGAAAATAACAGTGGAATCATTTCTTTTGAAGTAAGAAACGGTTCTAAAATGATTCCTTGTGTTTGTTGCAGCGATGGAAGTGTCCCCTCAGGATCCACCTCTCATGGCCATGGACCTGTCCAAGAGTTTCTCCCTGACCCGCGGCCACGCCGAGGCCCTGGACCTGGCCAAGAAGCCTGAGTGGTACCACCGGCGCCCGAGCTGCAGCACTGAGCTGGGCTCCCCGTACCGGTCCAGAGCCTCGTCGTCCTACAGCGCTCCGCTGCACCCGGAGCCGGGCGCGCCCCTCCACCGCCGGGACGTGGAGCCGGGCCCCGAGTCCCTGGGCTACATGAATGCGACCCTGGCTCCCGGGTTGGATCTGTACTGCGACGGCGGCCTCTGGCGCCCGGGCTTCTACGGGCCCGACCAAACCGCCGGCCCTGTTCTGGAGAGCAGCGGCGGCGAGGAGAGCGACAGCGGCAGCGGCTCCGACGTTATTTTCCTGGTGTCCTCCGCCGAGGAGCCGCTCCTGTGTGGCTCCTTCCTCCAGGACGACGTGCGGCACATCGCCGAGGCCCCGTCCCCGGCCGGCTCCTCGCTGGACGCGCCGAGGGGTTGCTACCGCCTCCCTCGGCCCCCGAGCTCGCCCAGTCCCGACAGCTCGTACTCGGAGGAGTCGTCGGACAGCTCGGCGGACATCCCCGTCCACCACGCCCGACCCGTTGTGCTCCTGTCCGACCTCGGCGGCGCCTACGGGAACCCCGGCGCGTCCCCACCCGACCTTTCCAGCGACAACAGTGACGTTGTGGAAGTTGTGGTCACCCACGGAAAGGAGAAGACGCCGAGCGGTCGTCTGGGGAGAGAACCTCCTTCGCACAGCGAGGACGAAAAGGCCTCGCCCAGAGGAGTCCGCCGCAGCCCCCGAACCAGGAAACGCGCGTCCGACTCGCCTCCGTTCACCTGCGGCGGGTCTCGCCACACCTTGAGGAGGCGAGCCAAAAGCGACGTGGTGGGCATCTACAACGAAAACTGCGACTCCGACGCCGCAATGGACTTCGCGGCGAGGTCGTTCACCTCCGACGCCGGCTCAGAGGAGGAGGCGGCCTCGCGGCCTGCCGCGCCGCTGAGGGCGAGCGGCGGCTCGGAGGAGGCGGAGGCCCGGACAGACGGGAAATGGCCGCAGAGAGAGGCGAGGGAGCGCCGGCCTCCTCGCAAAGTCTCCAAGCCCGCCGCTGCCCCCGCCGCCGGCGGTAAAAGCCAGAGCGTGAGAACTAAACAGAAACCAACGGAGAAGAAGACGAAGAAGAAAAGCGTTGCCCGGCGGAGGAAGAGGACGCGCTCGCACACCGGACCGGCCGCTCTGTTTCCCCCCCGAGAGCCGGAGATTAAGCTCAAATATGCAAACGTGAAGAAGGAGAAAAAGAGCAAGCGAGTTGGGAGCTTCTGCCCTTTTGTCCACGTGAGGAAGAAGCTGTGCACCGTCGTCAACTACGAGGAGGAGGAGGAGCCTGTGAGGACCAGCGGAGCGCGCCGACGGAAAGACCCCGCTTCTCCGTCCGGGTTCGTTCCCGGTACTTCCTGTTTCCAGCTGGGCCGGTCGGGCCTGGACGGCGGAAGTCCAGCGGCGCCGCCGCTGTGCAGCTTGTGCGGTCAGACGGCCAACGCCGGGGGCCTCGGGGACCTCCACGGCCCGTACCGCCCCGCCAACCCGCCTGCGGACCACCGGGCCGGGCCGAGCGAGGGGGGGCGCTCGCCGGTCAGCAGGCGCTCGGCGAATTCTTCCGAGGACGGTTGTTACGGTTACGACCGCCCCGCCGTCGAGAGCCCGCTGCCGGGCGCCGGGCGCTCCCCCCCGCGCGTGCACGAGGGCTGGATCCACGAGGACTGCGGCGTCTGGTCCGCCGGCGTCTCCCTGGTCGGGGGGAAGCTGTTCGGGTTGGAGGAGGCGGCGCGGCTCGCGCGGGAAACCGTGAGTGACGATGACGCTTTGAGCAGGAAGTGAAGGTCTCGCTTCACGTGTTGCCAGATGAAAAATGTCCACTTCGTCCATATGGACCAATACTTATTATTGGTGTGATATTTATTTCAAACTTAAAGCAAACTTTGAAGACGCCTCCGTGACTCTTCTAAAATAGTACATATATGAGGATGAGTCATTTCATTAAAGTACATTTACTTTCCTTTTCCTTAGATGAAATATTCAAGTTATTATGTTTCATTTAACATCAACATAAAGTAATAACAGTATGTTTTCTCTGCAGATGTGTTCCGCGTGCCGGCAGACAGGCGCAATAACGGGATGTTTCCAGAAGGGCTGCGCGCGCAGTTATCACTACAGATGTGCCATTCAGTCAGGTGAGCTCATGAAATACGCCTCACTGACGGATCACAGCAGCAACAAAAGCATTAAATGACACAAATACTCCGACGTGTTTTCAGACTGTGTCTTAAACGAGGAGAACTTCTCGCTGAGATGTCCGGAGCACAAAGTGAGTCTGAGCCGCCGCGTGAGGAGCTGCTCGTCCTCCGGTGGCGCCGCAGCTCATTTATTCGCTTCTTAATACTTCTTAAAGCGCGAGGACACAAGTGTACGACGCGCTCGCACCGTAAATCCTGATACTCTGTATAAGAAATATTATATATATATATATTATTTTTTTATTCTTTTCAATAATGTGTGTTTGTATCCGACAGAACAAACTGTTGACTCTTGTAACCAGGCAACAAAAGAGATGACAACAAAAGACGTTTGGGGGAAGTGGAGGTACGAAACATTTACATAATTGATTAATAATTGATAACACATTTAAAAAAATAACGTATTCAGAATGAGCTATTATCAGTTGTTGTGATTTATGAACCTTTTCATTTGGCCACTTTTCTTCTGTATTTACTTTTGTATATTATTGTCGAGTGTTTCAGTAACTGTAATTTTCTTCATTTCTAGTATTTTATAAACCAAACCATCTTTTAATCCAAAAAATAATCAGAATAATTTAAATGGCAGCTCTACTCGTATAAATGTATCCTCGTTTTAGATGAGATTTTAGTGTCTTTCTCCTTTTCTTCCAGAATGATCCACAGATCTCCGGTTTCTCCTCCTTTTAACACGATTAACGTGAAGGAAAAACCTGCTGATGAGAATCCACATCAGACGAATCGATCAGGGGCCACTTCCAGATGTTTTTATAAGACGTGTGCGTGTGTGCGTGTGTGTGTGTGTGCGTGTGTGTGTGTGTGTGTGTGTGTGAGAGAGTGCATTTGTGTCTTTGTGTGGATATTTATTCCTCTTCTCGTCCCAAATATCCATTTTGTTATTTCAACATGATTATATTAGAGTTTAAATGAGCTTTATTGATGCATTTTTATGGGAGGAAATCTTTATATTTCTTTTCTTTCTACAGTTTTCTACTATTTTTTTAAATTGCTGTCGTGCTTTGTTCATCACACAAGAAGAACGCTTATTTATTTTCACAGAGCCGCGTGCACAGTGACGTTTGCTACCGTGCACTTTGCCGCTTGTTATTTATGTGTAGACTTAAATTTAGAGTAAGAACGTGGAGTTTCTGTTCGACGCCTCCGACAACAAAATCACAGAAGAAATCTAAGAGAAAATGATTTGACTAATATTTGAGTTGTGATTCTAATCACAAACAAATACTGGTTCCAACTTGGCGATTTGCATATTTAAATATTACGTTTCGGTCTTTGGGAATGTAAACAGGAAGTAAAATAATTTGCAGTATTTGGGTGACTTTTTACAGAGTTAAAAACTGATTCTGGACCAGCAGATTTATGGACATTTATTTGGCTAAATGTGAATAAAAGGATGAGATTCTCCTCACTGAGCTCATTAAAACGTCTTCGTCACATGAAACATCGTTTACATACGTAGACAGACACACGTGTTCCTGTTATTTGGCCTCATTTATTCCTGCTGCCATGTGACGCTTTAACGTCTGTTCTTAAATCCACACAATGGGACAGAAGACGCTTTCATTATTTAAATTCAGAGATGTTCCACCTTTCGTTAATTCATGTTATTTAATAAAAGTCAATACAACCAAAACTCAGATCCACATTCTTTAATTCTGCTCCTACACAGAAACCAAATGTGCTGGAAGCGTTTTATTGTCAACGTTCACAGTTTGTGTCTTTTTATAAACCACCTGGTTTGTGTGATAACGAGCAGAAAACCTTTTTATTTTATGGTGTATGAAGAGATGCAGTGCTGCTTTTAAGTTATTTGATTAAATATATTGACAGCTTCTCGATCAATACCTTCACTTTAAGTAATTCATGTACCTTTTGCTGAACTGCCGTTCTAAATATGCACGACTTAGAACCACAGTGTGGTTCCTCAACAGTGAATCATCGCTTTACAGGTTACTGAAAGACTGTGTTGGTGCATAATATGAAAAAAACCTACATCACGCATGTGTAATTTAAAGAACCCTACATCACACATGTGTAATTTAAAGAACCCTACAACATGCATGTGTAATTTAAAGAAACCTACATCATGCATGTGTCATTTAAAGAAACATACAACATGCATGTGTAATTTAAAGAAACATACAACATGCACGTGTAATTCAAAGAAACCTACAACATGCATGTGTAATTCAAAGAAACCTACAACATGCATGTGTAATTTAAAGAAACCTACAACATGCATGTGTAATTTAAAGAAACCTACATCATGCATGTGTCATTTAAAGAAACATACAACATGCATGTGTAATTTAAAGAAACATACAACATGCATGTGTAATTCAAAGAAACCTACAACATGCATGTGTAATTCAAAGAAACCTACAACATGCATGTGTAATTCAAAGAAACCTACAACATGCATGTGTCCTTTAAAGAAACCTACATCATGCATGTGTAATTCAAAGAAACCTACAACATGCATGTGTCATTTAAAGAAACATACAACATGCATGTGTCATTTAAAGAAACCTACATCATGCATGTGTAATTTAGTTAATTTTTTTCACCTCAGTGTTTGAACCCACAAATATGTATGAAGTAATCAAATGAACTTCACCTTTACCGGCTGCAACATTGACTTGCAGAACACACAAATGCATCGATGATGATGATGGTGATACAACAATATAATACATTATTTGATGTCATTCTGTAATCTGGTCACTCTGCATAATGTGCACACTTCTCACCGGTGCTCTGTTTAATGTTGATATACTTTATAATATACCGCTACATTACATAGTGCAGTGTACCTTTACTCTGTGGTACATCTCCACCCTGAAGTATTACACGAAGTAGATCAGAGTACTTCTTGTATCTGCTGGTGTAAACATGGCGGAGAGAGAAACGTTGAGATTAGTGGGCGCTGTAATTGCTGTGCTGAACATGCAGTGATGCTCAGCTGCCCCCCGGACCCCCCCCAACACACACGCCCCCCATCCACAGTTAATCCTTCTGTTATCGTTCGACACTGAGATTTGTGTCACTGTGACACACACACACACACACACGCACACGCACGTGTATATGTGGTGGGGGGGAGGGCTGGTGTGGGGGGGTAACAGGCTTTTGGCTCATTCCAGAAGCACCGTTTCAGTGCGTCTCGGGCTTTGATGCAGCGGATAGAGAATCTTCCAGGAATATGGAAACAACAAATAACACGGTATAAACTTTTGATTTGAGTGTTTATTTTCACAAATGTTCACCACAGTAATCATCACGTCATACGACACTTTTTTGAAAAACACAGAATTTCCAGACCAAAGTATTTCATCATGTCACTTCTCACATCTTGAAGGGTTGAAGTCAAACAGCAAAAAACCATCATGGCTTCCTTGAAGAGTATTATATTTGTTCCCATTTCCAAACATTCTTGCTTATTCTTTTTCATCATATCAATGAAAATTACAATTTCCATTTTATTTATCACCCATGCGTATTGAATAACCAAGTTGTTTCAGTATTTCCTTCTCCCACCTCATTAGATCATCACGTTGTGTATTTTTCTTAAGAAGGAAAGTTGGCCACATTCAATTAAGGTCCAGCTGTGCTGCAGCTTCATTGGCCGACCGGAAAAGAAAGAGGATGATTAACAGCTCGCTGACCAATGGGGCGCGTTGTTCAGGCATCACAGGCAAACGTGAAAAAGGACATTTTATGTGAGAAAGAACAGTCTGTGCACGTGTGTTTGTGGGAGATCACGACAAAATGACAAATATTTAAGGAAAAAGGGGGGTTTTGTAAAAGCCACCGGCTAATTCTAATTTCCCTATAAAATCAAATCCTAAATGTATGCATCTGATATAAATAAATAATTTAACTCAAAATAAATAAAATAAACCACTTTACAACAACCTATCTACCAAAACACACACAATATTATCAACACATGATCTTGGAAGTTGATCATTTCGGTTTTGCATTTAGTGACTATTTCAAACTTATCGATCATATTGCTCGTGGATTCTGAATGTTTTTTAGTTTTTTTTCCCTTTCAAGCCTTATTTTTTCTTTCCACGCTGCCCAGCGACTTCATTTCAGTATCTGATGAATAAACCACGAATCAGAGGCTGGTGGGGGGAGGGGAGAGGGGGGGTGGGAGGGGTCACCGGGAGTTCGTCATCACCAGAAACGAGTCCAATCCGCAGCGGCGCCTCGCCGTGACGTCACGCTTCCTCTTGTGGTCGGTGGGAAACGTCCCTCCGCAGCTCGCGGCGGCGTGCAGCCCGTCCCCCTCCCCTCCCCTCCCCTCCTACACGCAGATCTCGATGGGCGTCGCCACAAGGACGCGCGCCCGCTCGCTGTGGTCCCTGTTGACCCTCTCGTAGCTGCCCGTGGACGACGGCGAGCTGTTGGCGGACGCGGAGGAGTAGTCGGTGTCCATCACGGCGCTCCCCTTCGCCGCGGCGAAAGCGGGCGACAAGCTCTGCTGCTTGAGTCTGTCCACCAGCGCGTCCTCCCCGGACGAAGACGAGCTGATGTCCAGAGGAGGCGCGCCGCCGCCGCCGCCGCCTCCCCCGCCGCCCGGGTTCCCGCTGTCGCTGTCCAGCATCCAGCACAGGTTGAAGTAGCCGAAGACCTCCTTGACGGAGCAGCGGCGCTCCTGCTCCACGGAGAGCAGCCTGCGGAACATCCGCAGGGCCTCGGCGGTGAAGCGCCGCCACTGCGACGGCACCGCCCCCGCGCGGCGGCGCTGCCAGCGCGCAAACTCCTCGTAGAAGGCGTCGTTGGGCATGGCCTTCTCCCAGGGGAAGTTCCCCGTCAGCATGCAGAAGAGCAGCACGCCGAAGGCCCACACGTCCGTGCTGTAGTCCACGCAGAAGCCCTCGCGGCGCGCCGCGGCGCACAGCTCGGGCGCCGTGTAGGGGATGGTGCCGCTCACGCGCTTCACCGGCGAGCCCGCGCGCCGCGTCATGCCGAAGTCGGACAGCTTGACCTTCCGGCACTCGCTGTCGAAGATGAGCACGTTCTCGGGCTTGATGTCCCGGTGGACCAGCTTCTTGCAGTGCAGGTAGTCCAGGGCGATGGCCACCTGGTGGACGCAGCGCTTGGCCACCGCCTCCGGGAGTCCCACCTGGCGAGGGGGGAGGAGCGTCCGGTGTTTACTGCAGGACTCATTATTAAATGAACAAGAACTGCTTCCTTGTCCTACTACAGTTCCCAGGATGCTTTGTGGGCTCACGTTGTAATACTACGATAAAACAGGGTCCTACTCTATTAAGAGAATGAACAAAGCCACAGAAGCTTTGACAATCAAGTTTAACGTTGAGTGTCAGTGACATGACGTCATCGTTGGCCTCACCTGGGGGGGGATGATGTCGAACAGATCCCCGGCCAGCGCGTACTCCTGGGCGAAGATGTAGTACTCGTCGGTCTCGAAGGCGATGCCGTACATGTTGATGATGAAGGGGCAGGGCGACAGGTACAAGGAGACGCTGTACTCCCGCAGGAAGCTCTTCAACTTGGTGCTTTTCTTCCTCAGAAACTTCAACGCCATTTTTGTGCCTGAAAAAGGAAAGAAGAGTTTACACACCTAGAGAAGAAAGAAAATCCAGTTCAGCGCTTCTTCTTGATCTTTCCCGACATGTTGAAGTGTTTATTTCACGGCGTGAATGAATCTTAATTAAAACGGTTTGATGGAAACATGATGAATAATAAAAGTCTCCGATGAAGCAGAATTGAGTGCTGCCATTCGATTAATCCTTTGCCAGATAGCGATGCTAGAAGTACGAATACCTACGAGTAAAAAACTCTGCTTCTGATGCCTCATAACTCCTTTACGTCCGGTCTGTTTAATCCACATCAATGATGTGAACAATTTCCGAGCTGATTTTATGTTGTAAAAAGATAAATATGCACCGGAGATGTAGTAAAGTAAAAAGTTGATTGTCTTGCTTTAACAAATGAATGATTGCGTAATATATAAACCAGTATAAAATGCATCATCCCAAAAGAGACCACTGTGCACATCCAGTACTTTTACTCTGGGTGCTTTATTCTCGTACAGCTTTGGATGAATACGGACTCCTCGGTCCTGTTCAGCTCGGCACAAACGGCACAGCTGCTCCGTGGCGATAAGATGCCGACTCGCATCTTTTTACGACTCCTGCAGCTTTTATTCACACGCAGCAGAAGTCACCGTTTCATCCCTAAACACAGTAAATAAGCGATTTCCTGCAGCAGCTTCTGATTCCTGTGCAACAGTTTAATTGTGGTACACAATGAACTAAAATGTGTTTGCACGCAATAACGACGCAAAAGGTCAGAACATCAGGAAGTTCAAACGATTAAAGCTACACGATACACCATGAAGCAGAAGGTGATGAGGAGACAAAGGTTTCTCTTTTTTATTAAATCCTCTCATCCAGCTGGTTGACGGACTGCAGCTGCTCTTTGCGCCATAAAAGAGACGATTTGGAAGCTCGGGCCAGATGGGAGACATTTGGGGCTTTTAATGTGAAAGGGTTGAACAGATTTTCTTTTGGTTAAGTAGTAACTTCGCTTCTAAAGCTTTGCATCAACGACGGCTCACATTTAGCTTTAAATGTGAATAGAAGCTTCACTTGAGTGAACTCAGGATTATTATTATTATTCCCTCAGCGGTGTCAAACAAAGAGCGGCTCAAAGGTTTGATCTTCTGGAAATTAAGCTTCAATCAGCAGCAGGAAGTAACAAATTACTCGACCAATATTCACGTACAAGGTGTTTTTTTACTTTAAGCTTCTGCTGCTTATTCTTCTTCTGCTCTGCGTCTATCGATCATTTCACACATTCATTATTCAATTCATTACATGTTATTCTAGCCGAAGCGCTCCAGCAGTATATGATGCATTAGCAGGAGATGGTTGTGATGCAATAATAGAATATGCATTATTCTGTACGCGTTACCTCGGATCCTGTGGACGACCAGGTCCACCTTCCCGTAGGTGCCCTTCCCCAGCTCGCGCACCACCTCGTAGTACTTGTGGATGTCGAGCTTCTCCAGGTTCTGAGCAGCGATCAGCTGCAGCTCCTCCAGGATGTCGATGGAGGCGCGGGGGCCGTGGGGGCCGTGGGGGCCGTGGGCCGAGGAGCTCATCGCGGCCGAGGGTCTGGTCTGGAGACGGACGTCCCTGCGGGACGGGGAGGAGCAGGAAGGAAGGGAGAGAAAAGTTCAATAAGGGGCTGGCGTCCACCCACATAGACCCTCCCCCCCATCTCTCCCCGGGCGCTTTGTGCTTGAGCCAAAAGACCCGCGGTACGACCTCTGACCCCTCGCTTTGTGTTGAGGAGAATGACGATGACTCATCGGCCACGTTTCCACTCGCCGGTCGAGCAAATCTCAAGTGGACTTTTCAAGTTGGTGATGCGCCGATAGACGGAGAAGAGTAAAAGGTTCTAAACCACAGAGCCCCCTCTGGGGATCCTGCCCCCCAAAAAGAACTTGAACCTTTTTGCACAATTTCAAATCCAGACAGATTTTCTAATGTGGTTTCTGACCGCGTGCATTTAGACGAACTCGGCCGGTGTTTTAGATGATCGGGTCCATCAGGAGAATCTCTGAAGCTCATTTGTTTCCATTTATGAAGACTCAGAAAATACGGCAGCAGATTGGTTTGGATTGATTTCACAGTTTCTCTCTCCCCACGCAGCCGAGCTGTAAACAGTAAATAAAACCCCCGTGATGAAGCTTAGAAATCTATCTCAATACTTAAATAACATACAAGTTCAATTTAATCTTGCTAAACAGAAAATGACCATAACATGTATTCATGCAACGTGCACGTATTCTCCAGCGTGAAACCTTCCATACGTGTTCTCTGATGTGCTCTCACACCTCCGTCACATCAAAGAGCCTGCAGATGAAAGAAGCAACAAGCAGCACTAATTAGAAGCAGCATCTTCTCCGGGAGACGGCGCCATGGCGGCTCGCCAGAGAACCTCGAGGGGCCTGAGACCCCGATGAAATGATTATCATCTCTAATCAAAGCTGGAACTCGGCCGATCCGCTTTGCGCCATTGCTGCTTTTTATCCATCGGTTACCGGCCGATGGCACCAAGCAGTCTAACCCTTTCCAAAGTGATTACTCCTTACTTTTTTAGTCTTTAGAATAAAAAGGAACATTCATTAATCGCTATTAATTGAGATTAATGAATTTCAAAATGTGCGATTAATTAATTAATTTTTTTAATCCGTTGACAGCCCTAATAAATATACAGTGCATCCGGAAAGCATCCATTTTGTTATGTTACAGCCTTATTCCAAAATGGATTAAATTCATTATTTTCCTCAACATTCTACACACAACAACCCATAATGACAAAGTGAAAACATTTTTTTGCAAATTTTTGCAAAAGTGTTAAAAATAAAGAACGACCCATATGGAGAACCACAAGGCTCAATTCAAGAGCCCCTACGTTTCCGTCTTTATCCTTCTAAGAGCAAAAAGGTGCAGAAAACAGGGAATTTAGCCATGGATATCATGATATGGTTTGTATTGTGAATATTTTAAAAGCTGCTTTGAAATAAAAAAATACACCTCTTATGACTTCAGTAATCAATGTCTTTGAACATTTATCAAAAGCTTTCTGCTGATATTGTTCTATACATCCATGACTACAATACTAAAACATATATTTCAGAATATTTTAATGGTTAAAAAGCTGTAACTGATTTAGTCTATGACATTAAGGGAAATGTAGTTCCAAGATAAAGTTTCCAATCCGAAGAGACGTTTGTGAGCAAATAAACTGAAAACAAAAGCGACAGAAAAAGCTGAGGCTTTACACCGTAGGCAAGAATTGTATGGATGACTGACTGTTCTAATTCTCTATTCACAGAAAATAAGCCTCACTAAAAAGGGCAGTCGGTTTCTTTTCATTTCCCCTTCGACACAGAAGCCTGTGCAAGCTTCAATTTCAACCAGACCTCAACCACGGCAAGTCGATGCCCTCAGGTCTGCCCGGAAAGTCAGCAAATCAATTGCAGCTTGTGCAGAAGGATGCTGCAGGAGCTTCCACTGCAACAGACCGGAGATCGCATTGCTGCTCTTCAGTCCTTGCACTGACCTCCGGCCGCTTTCAGCATCACAGCACCGCTGGAAATCTGTTCATGATCCAATGACTCTGGAGAGCTGATCATCTACCACATATCATTACTACATGCAAACGTACATAAAACCAGACAGAAGTGCTGAGTAACGGTCTCTGGGTTGTTAAAGCAGACACATTAAGCGCTGCAGAAAAACTGCCCCCATCGACTTGTAAAACATCAGCACCTAATTAATCATTTGTGATGCAAAATCAATACGTCAGCAAACTAAGAAATACTCAAAAACACTTGTTTTATTTGGCGTTACGCAGAAGAGACAACAGCCTATTCATTATAGTTTATTTCAGCACTAATTTGATGTTTGGTACAGAATGACACATCTTGAGTTTGCACATACATTCATGATCCCAAGAGGACGAACCCCACTGACTGACTGGATATGATTGGACAGACTGTCATGGATACTGTCAAAAGGATTCATGTTCCCCCCACGATAAACTATAATAACTTGGGTGATCCCTTAAAGCTTTTCATCTGGCGCCACCATGAGGTGAGAAATCACACATCGTTTTGCTTACGAAATTCCTAATGAACTAAACTACAATGAAACGCATGATAAACAGAACACCTGCTTGGCATCAGCATGTAGCATCCCCATCGTTAGCATGTCGTTAGCATGGATCTGAGTAAAATCCCACAGAGCCGTTCGCGTCGCTGTGGAGATTCAGCGGATTTATTTTATTATTTTCCAAGTAAACGTGATAATTCACGAGCTAACGCTCAACAAAGACTTCACACTAAAATATATCCTTCCGTCGCGCAAAAAACGTGTGCTAAAGACAAGCACAACATGAAAGTGCCAGAAAGAACCCCAAACCGTGAGACAAATGTATAGAAATATTATATTTCTGTTTGTTTCATGCATTGATGTGAGGACGCCCTCCTGATTCCTCCACTCAGATTGGATCTTTTCGTTTCATTATCTCTTCACCAAATCAGATTATGTTGCGTTTTTTTTTTTTGCTTTAACGGATACGCAAACTTTTTCTACGTCACATAAGCATGAAAACTTGTTTCCTTTACAAATACCAGTGTTTCCAAAATGAATTTGAGAAGCAGACGGATGAACTGAAACGGGCCGACTGTCTTTTTCAACGAAGGTCAAACTGCGATCAAACAGAGTCGTGACATTTCACCGGTTTCCCCTCCTCTCTCTGCGGGACGTGTGGTCTCCTCCGTCTGACGTTTTCAAGGCATCGATCCGACATGCGTAAAATGTTATGTCGTTTTCCAATCCGGCCCTCTGCGATAACAAAACCAGGGGGGTTATTTCTGCAACGCAGGCAGATCTTTCCTGCAGGACAATCTGCAGAGTTAACACTAAAAAGCTGAAACTGGTCGGGAGGCGCCCGGCCTGCAGCTCGGCGGTCAGATCCCACCGCACATCAAAGCAGCGAGGCTTCCACGCGGCTCGGCCTCCCGGCAGCAGAACACACCGGGCCTTTTGTGCCTGTGCGCTCGGCGGCACATCACTGGGCGCTCGCCTTTAATGCCTAGCGTACTTCTTCTTCTTCTTCTTCGTCGAACTGGCCGCGTGTACACGGGCATCAAAGTGCAAAGAGCACCATAGTAGTGAATAAAACATTAAACACAGATTCTTGTAAACTTTCATTACGTTGTGAGAATGGATGAACTCTAGATTTTTTTTGTCGCAAGGTTGAGTTGAAATATTTGATGAGGGGAAATTAGTCGTCCATCGCAGCGATTGTGTGTGTGTTGTTTATTTAGTTGGTTGCAATCTGTAAATCGACCAATAGATGTCACTAAATCACACACACTGCTCCGTCAAGCCAAACACAGAACGCACGATCGCTGCCTCGTGAACTCAGAGCTTCGGTTGTGCATGTTGTCAGAATGTCACGCTACACGTCGCCGTGATGCAACAGGCGCGGTCAAGGACAGATGGCCAGGAGAGTTCAGAAGGAGATAGGAAAAGACAACGGGGCGTTTAGGGAAACCGACTCCACGTTCACTGAGCTGGTTGCCGCTGCAGGGAATTGTGGGAGGGAATTATCTCCTTTCCTTTGGTAAAGGATGGTCCTGTGGTTCTTATGCTAAAGGAGCTAAGTAGGGAAGCATTGAAGCTCCTTTCCTTCACATTAGAACATTCAAACAGCTCTTATGATGGCGGCCACTTGCGCTACTTCTGGGTCATTTCACTCAGTGAGCAACCTTCCTCTTCCAATCCAGCCGGAGATCGATTGATGAAAACTGCGTTATAGATCAAATGCATTATTATTATTTATTATTGAATGCCGAGCACTCGCTGACTCACGTAAAATAGCCTTCTTATCCTTGCAGGCAGATACAAGGCTGCAACCAACGTTTGTTTTTCCTCATAAACTAATTTACCAAATGCACAACTGCATCCCTGCAGGTGAATATAGGCCAGCAACACATTATTGATTTATGAAATGTCAAATCATTGTGACACAGAAACCAGATCATTCGGAGCATTGGTTTGACGCTTTCTGCTTGGCAAATGCCTTAAAGGATTAATTATCAAAATAGTTTATGTAAATATCAAATAATTGATCATCAGATTCACTGCAGAAATAAGTAATGTCTTATTTATTGCCATTTCTCCGAAAAATAAAGAGAATCCCCTTTAATGCAAAACAATTAAATAAAGAAAATGAAGGTTTGAAGCCTCGACGGTGCAGCATCCTTCACGAGGACAGCTGATGTCAGTCTCACTGTTTACAATCTGTGCCATAAAAAAACTGGGGCACAAAGACATCAAGTGTGAAGCAGCTCTGCAGACACAAAGCATCCAACACAGCGTCACGCAGCTCGCGCGAGGCCAGGTGTAGTGCACGGTGCGCGCACCTGGGCATGTTTGCAAATGAACAACGTGTTCAATAAATGGACAAATGCCAAATACAGGTGTCGTACAGATGTGCGGGACGGGACACAACAGCTGGACAGCAGCTCCATTGTTCGGCCCAGCCGGTGTCATCTCGATTCTTATTATGAACAATTTAAAATAGGATTAATACAACAATTTAAAATAGGATTAATACATTAAAAGAAAGGAGGAGTTAACGAAGCCGGCTCGTAAACACAACCTTAGTCCAGAGCAACGCAGACAAAACAGAATCCGAGCCGTCAACGAATGAAGAGGACGAATTTAAACACAAACGGACGTTCGATTAGCCGGAAATTGCTTTAAACTCGTCGGGAAACGATGGAATCGGATCTTACCGTTAGGATTGTGCTGCATGCAATCTGTCACTGCGTGCGGACGCCTTCCTGCTTTAAGACCCTGGAACCGTCTCCTCTTCTCACCGGGGAATCACGGAGCTCCGCCGGTGCGCAGCGCCGCTTTCTGTCGCTGTCTCCCGGCTGCTGGGTCGCGCCGCAGCCGCTCTGTCTATTGTCTCCGCTCGCCTGCAGGCAGGCCGCGCCCACCCGCCTCTAACGTCCAATCAGAGCGCAGAGCGGCCGTGCGACGGTGCCGCATTCAGGTACTGCGGGGATTTAAAGTGACAGCGACCAGCGAGTGAGCGGATCGTCCGATAGGGGGGGGGGGGTGGGTCGTTGCGTGAACCTTCAGGTTTGGAGCTGGAAACGGTGTCTACGGTTAGAAAAGACAAGATGCAGATGAGATAAGACAAATAAAGACAAGAAACGTGTAGAAAAGAAGAAGAAAAAATAAGACAGGGCCGATATTTATCCCTTTGTAGCCTTTGGAACATTAAAGCATGTTCCCGTGAAATGCGAATGTGTGGAGAAGCTCTCGTTTAAGTCAACAGTCTCCTGAGTGAGCGACACAATGAGAGTGAGATCAGACGTGCGGATGGAAAAGCTCATTCTGAGAGCGAGCGGCGCTGTGAGCATCGATCCGGGTCCGTGGCGGGAAACCCAACGACCACGAGGATCGGGCTGCAGGCGTTGGACGGACTCGCAAAGGCCAAATGAGGACTTTGTTGTGATCATTGGTTAATCCGATCAACGCGTTGGAAATGTGATTAAACAAATACTTTTATCTTTATTTTTCTGACTTTCACATCATTAATATTGTGAAATATTTGGTCATCCGACCCCCCGGTGCCTCTGTTGAATGTTGTAGCTGTGATGCTTCCGTTAACCAGGAGGTCGGTAGTTTGATTCCCAAACGTCATATGGCCTTTAATATGCAAATAGGGGTTTAGTGTGTGAAACATCAACTTTTTTCAGGATTATTTCACGTGAACAGATCAAACTAAACAGCAGCTAAACGTCTTCTCAGACGTGTGTCCCGTTACGTCCTCCTCTGTCTCTAAAGGGTTTTTCACGTGTTTCTCCCCATCGAAGGGCTCCTCGTTTCTCCTGTGCCGATGTGAGTGTTTCGGGGCCGAGGACGTCGCATGTGTACAGAATGTCAAGCCCTCTGAGACAAATTTGTAATTGCCAATTTTGGGCTATAAAAACTAAATGAATTGAATAGAATCTTCTATTGATTGATCTTCACCTCTCAGAGGCAGGAACATGATGTCAGAGGCCCCGTCGAATTCATGGCGTCCTGAGTCACTGCAGCTGATTGTTATTCTGCAGGCGGAGGAATTAGGTCTCCGGGGAGGAAACAAGCAGCGGTGAGGAGGAAGCGTAGATAAATATCTTCTTCAAATCACTGCTGAATTAATGCAGTTTTCTGGCGTCTCTGAACACCGTTAGAAATGTTAGAAGAAGACAGGGAAGCTTTCTCTCGCTGCCTTTAAATGTCTGACAGCACTTTAAATCGGACCGGAGGAGCCGAATCCCAGAAGAAGAGGAGAGCTTTGTGTTTCTGCAGCGTTTCTTCACTTTGTAATTATCGGAGCGTGAATGAAGAAGAGAGAAGCCTCATCAGTGAGTTCTCCAATATGTGACGTGATAGAAACAGACCTGGAAGCACTTGATTAAGTGCATCACATGCACTTTGTTTTCCAACCAACACCAAACAACAAGTGAACCGCCGGGAGTCCTTCAATCAAGGTCATGGCGGTAATCTCCCAGAATGCTGTGCAGCGCCACGAATCCCTTCCCCTGGGCTGACTTCCAGTGCTCTAATCTCGGCCAGGAGTCCGACGCACGGAGCCAGTTCCTGCGACGTCTGTTGGAGCTTCTCCTCAGATAACCAGACTCAATTTACAATCCCGATGGCAATCTGTGGGAGGCCGAAGCGGGGGCGGGCAGGCGGGGGGGGCGCCGGTGTCACAGCGAGAGGGGCGACGCGGCAGAAGGGGTCTGTTACCGTCCCGCCTCAGGCTCCTAAAAGGCCCTCCTGGTTCTAGTGGTGTGTTGCTTTATTTGATCTGTCTGTTTATAAGTCGTGTCAGCAGCACGACGCTGATGATGCAAGAGGTGGAGTCTCTCCATCGTCCACCAGGGGGCGACTTCTTCAACACAACTGTGGTTAATCTCAATTAACCAGCCGCGTTGATCCACACTATGACAGTGGACGGTGACACGCGTTCATTTGGCGTGTTTTGGAAAACATGCATTTGCATGTGAACTTGTACGTGAGATTAATCCTCTGAAACAATCGTATCCTCGACCGTCGGCACGACGTCAGCCAATCCAGAGGGATTAAACAACCACGCTGATGAGAATTCTCCAAACGGGTCTTTCCTCAGCCTCTCGGCCTCCTGGGTCAAATAATCCGCTCTACAAAATCATCCTGTTTAATCCGCCCGGCTCTTAACCCCAACCCCCCCCCCCCCTCCCCCCGCTCTCCCCTATCAGGGCAGAAACAGAACACGGTGAAGACGGGGGGGGTGGAGGGGGCGGGTTTGCCTCAGTGAACACGCACCACGTGTACTTTCTGCAACGCCACAGAAAGAGCCACGGCGGCAAATGAGAGCTCAACGTGTAGCAGGCCGACACGTGCACGCCGACACGTGCGCGCCGACAGCGGGCGGAAAATAAATTGCCCCCTGACATCGCTCTCACTCGCTTGCATCTGATGTTTTCGTGCCGCTGCACATCCTCGGCGACGGAGCTGCAGAGAGAGTGTTTATTTTCATCCTCCGAGCTTCAGGCCATCTAATTAATTCAAGCCAGTGGTTTTATAGCAATCATTAAATTCTCAGAGCACAGTGGCATAAATATGTGTTTTCAGTTCCAAGAACAGGAAGGTTAAAATGATTCAAGTCGACTCCTGGCTGTGGTTTGACTCACATCACATCCAGCATCTGAATTACAGACGCATCAGCAATGGAGTAAATCTGAAACATGCGATTTTGAGCCTTTAAAACAGATGGTTACTAAACATTTTTGATCCATGGCTCCTTCAAAAGGTGATTTTTAGCCAGTTGAGCCACAATTGTTGGTCAGGACTAAAATATCTCTACAACAGCAATTTAATTCAGTTATTTGTGTTTGGATGAAAATAAGTTAAAACATGATCGAAGCTAAAAGAGAACAGTGTGACATCGATCATTTGTTTGGTTTGAGACTGCGATGCACACGTGTGATAGCTGCCGTGTATCTCGCCGCCACAGAAGAGAATTAACCAGCATCCCAACACGCCTCCATTGTGTGTAACCAACGGCTGCGTGTGCTGGAGTGACTTAAAGCACAAGGAATCTGTTATATTCAGGATGTTCACAGCATGCGACGATCCGACACTTTAACTGTGTCTGATTATCAGCAGGAAGCAGATGAACCGGCCTCAGCTGCAGGAAGACGACACACTAACGCTTTGCTAGGAAACATTTCCCATTTCCCAGAACTGCTTTAAAGCTGCATTCTGCCTACTGACCAGCAGGGGGCGGACAGACCTCTGGTCCCATAGACGTCTATGAGAAAATTACTCTACTTCTCTCTTGATTTATTCCCTCAGTAAACATTGTAAACATGAGTTCATGGTCTCAATCTCTAGTTTCTAGTCTCCTTCAATACAGCACGATGTTCACTTAGTAAATGATGGTAAATTTAGAGTCAAACAGACCATAAAGCAGGGGATGCTTTAGGGCGGGGCTACACGCTGATTGACAAGATGCTATCAGAGAAGTCTACCTAACAATGTGGGAGAATTTACATTCATTTTCTCCAAAAATAATCAAAGATGGCAAACTCAAGGCCTCCAAACGCCAGTCTACAAACCAGCCATTCAAATAAACTAATTAAATAAAATGTGCATCTGAAGGTGATTTCTGTACCAACCCGTATTTATGGAAAACTTGGAAATGGAAAGGGGATTCAGGAGGCGTATCAAAGCGGGTACATCCACTTTCCTCTGCTGATAAAACACCACATACTCACATCACATATAAAAACTCATCTCTGATCTCCAAGGACAGCCTCAAAGTGTAAAGCTGCTGCGCTCTAACACGGAACCTGGGTTTTAATAGTTTTTTAATTCGGGACGGGTCACTCTAGAACTCATGTGAACGGAGACGTGAGTCAGATCTTTGCAAACGCTAGCGTCAACGAATGCAGCCAACGTGGATTTAGAAAGGATCCATAACAGGACGGCGGCTCTGCTGAAGCTCCTTGGAGACATGTGGGTGAAGATCTATCTGTAAACTCCCAAAACAACCACATCCACGAGTCACAGAGCGCAGCCTTTATTGACCTTTCCATTTTTATCTTCTATCTCACAATAAAGTACATAAAAATACTTAGTAGACTCTGAAAATTACGGTGAGATAAGATCAGTACCAGATGATAACAAATTCATATATAAATAATTGAATTTCTAAACTCTGAAGCATGAATAATAATGATGAGTGAATCATTGGTTTCCATGAATCATTATCTAATTATTAGTTATGTGTACATTTAATTCACATTTCCCTAACGAGGCAAAGTGCTGCTTTGAGCTAAATGCTAATAAGCAGCATGTTATCAGCTAGTTTTAGCCTGTTAGCATGCTAAAATTTGCTTGAGAAATATTGTAAACGAGACAAATGGACGGAGGGAATAAGTGGCCCAAAAAAAATCCAAATAGTTTGATAACCTGAATTCTGAATTTACTTCGGTGTGTGAAAGATTTTCTTAAATTCTTTTTATGATCTGAGGAGCATCAGGACATTTTGGACAATTACCAGCAAATAAAACGCTGAGTTATTGTAAGCTGGTTAGCCGGATATGCTAGTTAGCTAGTTAGTTACATGCTAACGCTTGCGGCTAACTTCATGGTGGACAAACACACAAGTTTTCTTTTCTCTTTTTGTTTAAGGGACCACAACACACAAACACTTGTTTTGTACCGGTTATTATTAGCGAGCTAGCTGGTCATCCTCGCGGCGTTGCTAGGGGCAACGGGATGAAACATGCACATCACAAACTACATTTCGCACAAAACAAGTTGCTTGAATCCAACTGGAGGATTTCCACCCGGCGTCCTCCCTCTGATATTTGAGGCCGATAACGCGCTCAGCTGCTTGAGCTTTGAAGTTCAAAGAAATGCACGAATCCCTTTATTTATTTTATCTTCTGGATCACCACTCTGCAGGAGGCCGCAGTTCAGGCCTCGGTAAACAAACGGGTAATCCATCACAGTGAGGGAATAAATATGGGATTCATGAGGGAAGAAAAACATCATTAGTCTCCCAGTGAGTGAATAACTCGTGTCTTTGTCCCGCTGCTCCACAGCTGCAGGTAGCAATTTATGCAGAAACATAATTAAACTCACCGGTTGCTCCCGGAGCACCTAAACAGCACAAAGAGCAAATTTGCATCAATTTATATTACTGGTAACAACCACCAAAGGTATTCTGACAGGTGGCTTTACTTTCTGTCCTTGTTTTACATCGTGGATTCTTGTAGATAGTAAACAAATGATTTATTGATATGCCATTATCTGTATATAAATATCTAGTTTTTGCTTTTTAAGAGGGCTTAAGACGAGTATACGTTCTGGTGTAAACAGGGGGATAAATAAACAAAACGCTCAATGTGAAGAAACAATCATAAAAAATAACTGCGTAAATAAGTGAACGGTAAGTATTTCACGTATCATTGAAACTTGAAATATCACAAAATAATACAATATGATTAACATTTAGCGTCTGGAACGTTAAATATTAAAAAATGAAGGTGATTTTGACCTGTCTGTCAGGTTGGGATTTGGCTGCAGGAACTGATCCTAAATCAGCGCGTTGACACTGACCCCTAGTGGACAAAAGAGGGGACTTATTTCTCTCTACATGACCATCAACAAAGATTCGAAGATTCAAAGATTTTTATTGTCATTTACACACTGTTTACACCCTGTGTATTGAAATTCTTGTACTTGCCTTTCCGGAAAGCCGACCAATTTTAAAATAAGAATACAATATTTACATAAATGTACATGAAATTCAAAAATAAAAAATGAGGTAAGGATAAGGCAGTTTCATCTTTTTCAGAGATGACCTCCTCTTAGAGAAGCTCTTTATTCTTTTTTCGTTGGGCTCAACCCCATGTGATTCATAATTGATCAAACGTGACGTGATGCTGCTGATTATCACCAGCATGGAAAACGTCCTCAGACCTTTTAACGTGTTCCAAGTTCTGCATTCCGTAAGGCAAAAAAAAACCATTAGTAAAATACAGGTAACGTACGTACGTTACTAATGGTTAAAGTCACTGAAATAATGTTTACTATTGTCATCTTATTGTTTATTGGTCTAAATATGGGGTGATCATTTTTTTCCATGTCATTTTACATCTGGAGCAAAAATACTTTCGAGCAACCTACCTCCTTTTTCCAGCGGTTTGTTTAATTTGTGAAGTGATGTCATCAGTGATCACATGCTCTTTGGTTCTTCATCCAGCAGAGGGCGATGGAACCAAAGACTGAAGATCTGAATCTGAATCATAATGTCTTTAAAACTCTTCTAGCTCCTTTAGGTAGAAGATAACAGACCGTAATGGTTCTGGCCGGCGTTCGGTGGAAGTGGGCTGCGTCTGGCTCGCACCTGACATGAGTTTGAGACCTCTGGTTTAAAACGGGTTCTTCAACTCTCCTCATTGTGGCCTAAAATAGATCAACCCCCCCCGTAGAATTTCGTAGAATGTGAAACGCCTTTGAAGTGACTGTTCGCATGAGAGGAACTCTAGAAGATGAAACCAGAGTTTTATTTCCATCTGAACGGAAGCGTGTTTTCTTTACTCACAGGAATTATATCATATTAATAAACGTGGGAAGATTTGATGGAAAGTGACATCATCGATGTACAAACTGTATTTATCCATGTAGATGTCACCAATGAGGTCACAGTTTCGTCCATCCAGCGTCGCATCCAGTTGTACAAGTACACACGTATACTGGATCCAAGTGCACTTTAGTGGTCTTGTCTTTAGGAGACGCTTTGTACTTTTACCTCACTGCATGTACTAGTTTAACAGCTACTTTGGAGATACGACTGTGAATAAAAACATGGATATTTAATACACGTTGAGGAGGAGATGATTTTATTTGACTACTTTCACTGAAGGACGAGTATCCTGATGAATGAAGCTCTGATCAGACTAGGAGGCCTCCCGACGGCGTACCTTCGTCTCCAGACGGGATTTCCTGTCCGTGTGTCTGAGGGAGGGGCTTGATCTCAGGATGCCCCCCCACGTCTCTGTGTCCCAGTACCAGGACTGGGAATGTGGCCGGGAGGAAGCCGGGGACTTTGCTTAGCTTCCTGCCTTTCATTGTTCAGGATGAGCAGGAAGGATGATCTTCACCTCCTTCTGTCCTCTGCTGGTCTGCACACCCTGAAGGTGTTTGTGGTTCAAAGGTCAAAGAGAGAAACAGAGCTCATTAACGAGACCTTTCGGTTCAGAAAGACTGTGGAGCTCAACCAATTAATAGATATTAATATAAATTCCACTGCTATAGATCAGTGTGTGCGGGATGGACACTCGTCTTTCCCTTTCTCAGGGAGTTTCCATTCCTCAAATGTAGGCCCCTCAGCCTGGTTCTGTCCTCCAGAGTCTAGAGGAGGCGGCATATCACACAAAACTGAATCCCGGAGCAGTAGTCCATTATCCCTTTTGAATAAGTAAAATATTCCAAAGGTGCTTTTTTACATGGATGCACTGTTCCATTGAGGTGGAAACTTCTAGAAGTTTCTTTCAGTTCAAGTGAAACATCTGGATGGAGGGTTGAAGGCTGCTGATGACATCAGGACCACACAGAGCCTTCACATCTTCCGCCGCAAACTAAAGACACAACTCCTCAGACTCTACCTCCACTAAAACAAATTGTATCATTAAATTGTACTTATAATGGAGTTTGGTTTGGTTGGAATGCAGTTATTGTAGGTCGCTTTGGATAAAAGCGTCAGCTAAGTGACATGTGATGTCATGTAATGTGACGTAACATAACGTGACGTAACATAACGTCATGTAACGTCATGTAATGTAAAAAGCGGCGATGCCGTGTTTGTAATCGAGGCCTCGGGGGTCTGAGCTGTGCTGATCCGGAGTCAGTGGAAAGTGCTTGGCTGGTGGAAACTACAGAGCGGCTGTAAACACCGGCTGGTCGCCGACCACTAGAGCGACACACCCAGCAGCCCCCCCCCCCGCAGATGCAGCTCGCTCCAAAAACACCAACAAACACACACTTCGCGGCAGCGCGTTCAGGTTCCAAGAATCAACAACCGGGAGGCGTCTTTCAAAGTCAAAATAACATTTATTCCAAAGTTTTCAAAAATACTGCGCCATATAAATATTACAAAATACTATGAGTAATACTGTGTGTCAATATACTTGGACTTAACGAGGACTGAGATGAGAACGCTGCAGCAGTTTGTCAAACATGTCTGCTGATGTTTGTCGTGTAAACTGACCTCACATCAGTCACCGGCATGTTTCATATTTCGTCCTGAGGCTTCGGAGGAAAAGTTCACTTTGGAGCTCCTCGTTAGCTGAGAGGATTCACAACATGTTTGAGACCGGGGGCTAGCTTAGCTTAGCATGAACATGGGAGACAGACGAGAGGCAACCTGTTTCCCCCCCCTGTTTCCAGTCTTTATGCTAAGCTAAGCTAACATCCTCTCACTTAACTGTAAGCAGGAAAGCATAATATAATAAATGTTGATCTCTTGCTGCACATATTTGCGTGTGAGTGGATGTGGAAAAAATCATATTGTCTTAAATGCCTTTTTTAAAGAACAAGATATCAAAAATCCCAGTAAATTAGAATATTTCCGCTTGATCCCAGTGTGGTATTCCTTGTTTTGAGGATTTTCTGGAGCAGACTGAATATTAACAAATATTGGTCTGAATATGATGTGACGGATAATTTACTGAATATAGAGTTTATCGAAGAGCTGCAAGATAAAAAGGACTATTTGCAGTTATTGCCAGACACGAGTTGAATGAAAAGGAAGACTGTGACCTCAGATCAAATAGATGCTTCGCTGCCTGGAACTGCCTCAAACGGGGCCGAACTCACGAGGCCAGAAACAAGCTGAGTCAGCAGAAAGGCCCTTTAGAAAACGCGAGTCAGTCCTGCTGCTTTGTCTCTGTTTCACAACACGAGAAACAGGAAGTGTGTCCGCACACTGACTTCGGATGCAGCGGGAAGAGGAATCCAAACTTCGTAGTATTCCCGATTGCACTTGATCGTCCGCCCTCGGCTCTGCCTCAGCGCTCAGTCGTAGCCGAGCCCTCGCCGCTCGCCACCAGCAGTCTGAGAGAAGTCTCCCGAGGTTCGGATCAGCTCTCTCCCCGGGAACCCAAACAGAGACCACGACGAGCCGTGAACACACACACACACACACACAGTGGGGGGGGGGGGGGGCGCTCGGTGGTAGTGCACGCGACACTCACGCGTTGTACTCCATTCCCACCACGCTGACGCCGTTGACGGCCAGGATGCGATCGCCCATCCTCAGCTTCTGGCAGCGAGCGGCGGGAGAGTCGGGAACCACCGACTTCACGTAAACGCCGCTCAACCTCAGCTGAGTCTTCTGTGAAAAGGGGAAGATCACAGACGGCCGCGAGCGGGATATTCACTCATTCATCCATCGAGTGTTGACACGATATTTATGAACTCTTCATTTAGTTCCACCATCGTCATCATCATTTGAAAGGTTTGAATCACAAGAGAAACAATAAAACACTGAAATCAAATAATCAAACACCAATAATATTAGTGTGAAATGATTCGTGTCGCCTGGTTGTAACAGAATGAATAAGACATGTGTCCCGGTGCAAAGATACCACCATTAATCAGTTTGTGATGACTAACGCTGATACCAACGCGTCACTGAGGCTCAGCAGCTCCGTGCGTTTGTCCTCCGTTCACTCACAAATAACTTTTAGTGAGATCACATTGAAGTAGAAATGCCTTCAGTTTCATCAGATCCGAGCAGCGACACGACGATCCTCTGCGTCCGGATCAAAGTGTGCGAAAGGAGTTCTCACCGAGCCGTCCACCAGAGCCAGGCCCAGGCCGTGAGGTCCCCTGTGGAGCTCCACCGCGAACACTTCCTCCCTGGCTCCGCCTTCTTCTTCTTCTGCACTCTGCGTCTTCCTGTCGGCTCGTCCACCGGCTGGACAAACAAACACGAACACAACAAAGAGGACGCGTGAGGACGGGAGCAGCACCGAGCAGCAGAGACACAGTAATCACACGGTGGAGCATTTAAACCCTCAAAGGACGTGTTGTTAGGCGGGTTTTAGTCCTCGTAGCTAACATGACATTACAGGTCATTTTTTAACCCCCCCCCCACACAGTGGGAGCAGTGTGCTGCCGTGAGGGCGCCCGGGGAGCAGTTAGGGGACAGGTGTCCTGCTCAGGGACACTTCGACACGGGACATGGAACCGTCAACCTTCTACTCCATGCACCACGGTCGCCAGACCTGTCAATAACAGTAGCCCCGCCCTAAAGCCCACCCGGCTCTATGGGGAACTGGACTGTAAACGTCTGAGTTCAAATGACGCTGTATAGAAGCAGACCTGAAACTAGAGACCATGAGCTCATGTTTAATGTTTACATAAATAAATATATGAAGAAGTTATTTTCTCATAGACTCCTATAGAACCGTAGGAGTCGCCCCCTGCTGGTGAGGAGAGAGAATGCAGCTTTAAGACACTTCCCGTCTGGTCACAACAACAACGCAGCAACAGTAGCGACCCTCCCCGCCCCCCTCACGCCCCAAACTCCCCCTGGCTATTCCCAACATGCAGCACCCCCCCCACGCAGGACCTGCCCCGAACAATGCCGCCACCGATTAAGATTCCACGCAGCAACCCAACTGTAAATTCCCATGACGGATCGGCCGCGGCTCTTTTCTCTCCTGACATCACCGCCTCTCTGTAATTCTTGGGGCCAGATTAAAGGATTACCAAACTTTCAAAATAACATTAGCCGTTAGCCAAAACCACAGAGGCCAAGATACGGCTCGGCGTGGCGATGGAGCGGGTACCCCCCCCCCCCCCAGTGTGGAAAAACAGCTTCATTCATTTGTTTTTACACCAGGAAACAACCTAAATCTTTTTTTATTTTTTAAAACAACATATTTGAGATTGTAATGTTTAATGTTCTGTAATAATATTCATTTGACTACAGTTGATATGAGCTTAAAAACAAGCCAGAAACAAGTTATAGTTTAAACTACGACACGTCTAACATTCCCGACTGGGTGAAAATAAACAGCAAATAGTTTTACTGTCTATAAACGGGCGGATCCTTTTTTCTGATTAATAGTTTAGTGTATAAAAAGACAGCGAATGTCCATCACTGTGCGCCAGCTTATATCATCGAATGTATTTCTTAAGAAACTATCCCAAAAAACAATATCACGTAGTTTTCTCCTCTGTGTGTCAGTACAAACTGTGCAGTATTTATACTGCTAATGAGCGCAGATGCACATGCTGCCAGATGGCTTCGTTTCAGCGTAATCCACAAACCCTTTAAGAAAATTACTTTTATAAAAGGCACCAACAGAGAAAACATAATACAAGTGACCAATTAGAGCACAGCCCTCTGATGAGGATCAACAAAATCCCTCAGCTTTAAACCCCCAGTGGGGGGTCTGAGGGGCATTAACACAGGTTCAACCCCTTAAACACAAACATCACATGTGACCAAAAGGCTCTGTGACCGGCTCGTTACTGAGAAATCAGCCTCAACGTTTGTTCTCACTCATTCACCCTAAATTTACATTAAGAAACCGAAGAAAAGTAGAGAAATAAAGCAGATGGTTCACTTATTGTGGCTAAATAGAACAATAACCTGCAGTAACCTGCAGTTCCCTCTTTAAACAATAACAATAAATAATAACTTCTTCTCCATTTGACAGCAAGAAGGAAATGAAAATATTCTTAACGGGGCGGATGCTTAAACTGATATTTGTAGTGGTATAAAAGAAAGCCGCAGCAGTACTTTGAAGTATTTTGCAGTACTTTGTAGTACTTTGCGGGACTTTGTAGTAGTTTGCGCCTCATGCGAGCATTTAAAAACACCATCTGTAAGTAAAAGATTGGAGTCCTTCACTGTTTCCACTGATGATCTGAAATGTTTCAGTATCACTCTGACTCCTCTCACTCTGACTCCTCTCCCTCTGACTCCTCTCACTCTGACTCCTCTCACTGTGACTCCTCACTCTGACTCCTCTCACTCTGACTCTTCACTCTGACTCCTCTCACTGTGACTCCTCACTGTGACTCCTCACTGTGACTCCTCTCACTGTGACTCCTCACTCTGACTCCTCTCCCTCTGGCTCCTCTCACTGTGACTCCTCTCTCTGACTCCTCTCACTCTGACACCTCTCACTGTGACTCCTCACTCTGTGACTCCTCACTCTGACTCCTCTCCCTCTGACTCCTCTCACTGTGACTCCTCTCCCTCTGACTCCTCTCTCTGACTCCTCTCACTCTGACACCTCTCACTGTGACTCCTCACTCTGTGACTCCTCACTCTGACTCCTCTCCCTCTGACTCCTCTCACTGTGACTCCTCTCACTGTGACTCCTCTCACTGTGACTCCTCACTCTGACTCCTCTCCCTCTGACTCCTATCACTGTGACTCCTCTCCCTCCTCTACCTCTGACTCCTCTCCCTCTGACTCCTCTCACTGTGACTCCTCTCCCTCCTGCGGATGACCTCATGGCGGCGGCGTCCCAGAACAATCGGGGCGGGAGAGGAAACGCTCTCTCCTCTGGGAGGCGAGCCCGCCCTGCACCACCTTCCCCTTGATATCACCGACCTGCGGAGGCGGTCCGGAGATAAAGGGAGGACCTTCATGTCGCCGGTTGCCTTCATGTGGACCCGGAGGTCAAATCACTAAAGACTTTCCTAAAAGGCTTCAGTGATCCGGGGGTCATGGAGGCTTTTACGAGGCGACCTCGTGCCAGACGGGGACACAGCTGTGTGTCATCTGGATGAAAACGCTGCCGCCTCCTCGTCACGTGTGGTTTCATCTTTGCTTCTTGGCCCCTGTTGTCGGCTTCAGGTGATGTTTTACAGCGGTTTGTGTCTTTGGACGCTTCAAAGGACGTGCAATGTCACTTTTATCCAGTAAAATGTCTTAAAATAACGAGACCTGTTACATATTCTGTTGAGTACTTTCTCTCATCAACATAAACCATTTCAATTGAGTGTGCGTTTCATTTGATCGCCATTCAGCAGCCTCGTATCTTACTCGTGGTTTCTTACCAGAAGCTTTCATGATTCAGCCCCATCTTTACAATAGTTTTAAACCATCAATCTGAGGAAGAACGTTTGGATCCAGAAGGTATCAGAAACAAGACAAGCAAACATTAGGACATCATCAGGGCTTCCTGTGACCATGAAGCTGCTCCTCCAGCTTCATGGGCCCACGATCCGTCGCTGTGCAACCTCACTGAGTGGGTTTAAGTGTTAAAACATGACATTGTTTTATGCAATATGTGCGTACAGCTGCTTTCATTATTGGTTTGATGCTTTTTATCCTGTATTTTGTTGCAGGTTTTCACACAAGATAGTTTTAAAAGTAATGTTTTATTAGACTGTGTTTATTATTGTTCATCAGTTATATTTGACTAAATATTGGTGGAAGATGACATATAATTTATTTGTTTATTCTGCACAGCTTTGACCGTGATCATGTGTTTGTGTTGTGGTGTTGACTGACACGTTGCTCCGTTACGTTGCATTAAAATGGGCCGATCTCGTGTCTCTTTAGTCACCTTTCCGTTGCTGGCGGGCCCCCTCCTGCAGATCGGCCTCCAGCTGCGACAGCTCCATCCCCTGCGGGGTGTTGGGTGGAGTCAACAGGCAGGACGGGTCCAGCGCCAGGCTCTTGTGGTAGCCCATGTCGTCGTGTCCTGACAGCGTGTTCTGCAGCTCCAGGCTCTTCAACCTTCGGGATAGAAACACCTCGCAGCAGCTCAGGTCCCCGTGAGATCCTTCGGGCCTGAAGCGTCTCGGTGGGGCCGGGGCAGGTAACCGGGTCGGGGACCCCTTGATGGGCGGATCCAGGAAGGCAGTAGACTGGCTGTCTGCAGTCGCCCCGTTGAGAGTCTGGTGATCATAAAGTCAATCAAACACAGATGCAGAAACACAAGGGTGCTCGGGGGCCTCGGGGGGCTCGTTACCTGCTCCTCCGCAGGGGGCTCGGCTCGGGTTTCACCGCGGGGGAGTCGGCGGATGAACTCCTGCAGCTGGGCGAGCTGTTGGAAGAGCGCGGGCTCCACGACGGCTTTGCCCAGCTCCAGGTGAAAGGGGCCGTCGGGCAGGATGAGCGGCGGGTGGCTGTCGAAGCTCTCCAGGATGTCGGCTGCAGGGCAGAAGAAAAGTCATCCGTCACCGATGACCCGAGCAGAGCCGCCGCATTTGGGTTAACACCGGATTAAAAAGCATGTTAAAAGCGTGCGTGCGGTCCACGCAGCAGGGGGCCGTGCGGGTGAAACCAGGCGAGAGGGGGGGGGGGGGCGGCTTGGAGAGGAAACACACTGAAGCTGATTGGTGGAGACAGACTGTCGGGACGGGATTACTCACACACACTGACACAAAGACTGCTGCTTAGAGATGCATGTGAGTGTGTGTGTGTGTGTGTGTGTGTGTGTGTGTGTGTGTGTGTGTGTGTGTGTATGTGTGTGTGTGTGTGTATGTGTGTGTGCGTGAGTGTGTGAACTTGTGCGTTTTTTTACTATTAAAGAATTCCTTCCATCTTCACAGACAGAATATCCAGACTTAAATTGCAGTACATTTTGAATTAAACTAATAACTGTTTTCATCCTGTGTAGAGTTATAAATACATGAATAAGAATAATTAAATATATTGTCTTAGATATATAAAATTACCCAAATAACTGAGGAAATGATTCTTTATTTCAAAATTCCTTTTTGAAATCACTGGCTTGGCTGGTTTCTAGCTCCCTTTCTCTCCCTTTCTCTCCCTTTATTTTATTAAGATTACGCATTTAAGAATCTTTTCTAACAGAACAAGAGATGGAATCCTCGTTCGACTGCACCAGACTCAATGATAAAAACCTGACATTAGATCATAATTAATGTATCACAACAGAGCTCCTCTGTTCTTTATGATGAACTCTTTTGTATTTCTTCTGTCAGGTTTCAACATGCTGCTCGATACATTCCTGCTGAAAGACGAGACGGGTTTCTTTAGTTTGCAGTAAACAGGGTGGTCATGTGATTTCTCCTTTGTTTATCTCCACCAGGTGATGATGTATTCGGCCGTCTGCCTGTAAAGTCTCAAGCTGCCGCCAACAACTGTTTTTATCCTTAATTCACCCGACAATCATTTTGCACTTAACCAATTCATGCTTAAGAAAAGCTGAAAGTCATCTAATTTCAGAACCTTGTTCTCTGTCTTCATTTGACTGTTCACCCCGTCACTCACCCGTCCTGGCGGCATCCTCGGCGTCGCCCGCTGGCGGGCTCCACCCGGGGGGACAGGGTTTACCGGAGTGGTACTCGGTCAGCATGTGGTGGAGCTGAGCGCCGTTCAGGGCAGCGAACTCGGCCCTGAGAGAAGCCCAGGACGCCTGGACGCACACAGAGGGAATCCTTGAGGTCAGAGCGTTGAAAACAAAACGTGCAGATAAACTCGATGCATTTTGAATTCGTAGGCAGAAGCAGATGAGTTGATGCTACATTTGTAATATCTCCATACATGCTGTAAGAACGCCAGAGCTTTCATGATACTGTATGAAGTGCTACACAGATGAAATCTTGACAGATTCCAAACTGATTCCATTTAGTTTTAGCCTGCTGCACTACCACCTGTGTCCACAGGGGCCGCCAGAATCCAAACATGATCAAAGCTCCTCGTAGCAGCTTTAAAGAACGAGCCACAAAAAGTCTTTGTGGTCGTTGTGACGGCGACGGACCAACAACTTTTCTCCCAGAGCTCTTGACTCCGTGTGAGGACACACAGTCATTGCTTTTAAACCAAGCGTACGTGAAATGTTTTTGTCCCCGCGGCGATAAAGCCTCTTGGGAATTCTTTCTCGTGAATAAACAGAGCAGCGCGTATCAATGCAGCTCAGACCCGTGTTTATTCTGCACTCCATTAAAAGGTGAGTGTGTAACAATCTCCGTCTGCGCGGCGTGAGAAGTGTCAACTTCGAGTCAAGTTTCTTTTCGTGAAATGGGACATTCGAGATCTGGAGGGCGAGGAAACCAGTGGGTCACGTTTATGGGATTACTCCATTGTTAGTCTGAACTGGTGGGGCAGACTTTGCCTGGACACGCCAGAGCCGCAATTAGACCCACGCCAGAGATGATGTCGTGTCCTTTCCCTTCTCCTGCAGCGAAGAGAAGCTGAAGCATGAAGGCTGCTTATAAACGCCGCCTGTTATGTCTGAGATTAAATGCTTTCTCCTCAGAATGTCGTGCTCTCCGCATCCCGCTGGTGTGATTTACCGAGGCAGCAGTGAGTCGCCTCCGTCTCTTAAAAGCAGAAATGACAGAGGTCCAGATGGAAAACGCAGTGGAGGGCGTGTGCTCTGCGCCGGCCACAAGTGACCTCATGCCAGCGCACGGGAGGAATCTGCCCGCTGTCTGGCCTCCTAGCAACCTTCCAAATAATAAAGAATCTTTGTGTGAAAACCAGTTAGCAAACCAGTTTAATATTTAACTAAAAGCATGTTTGCCCGTTCATCTAAAGAAACACTTACTTTTGAGATTATATTGTACAAAAAGAGAATATATTTATCTAAAGTAGCAGATGATTCACCACAAAAAGATACCATCACCTTTCCAGCAGCATCAAACCTGCAAACCCGACAGAGTTACAACGTTTGTTGCTTCATAAAAAGTGAGAGCACAACGTGTAAAACAGGGTTTGAGTGAGTAACCGAGGCAGCGGTGAGCCTGAGGGGGAATAAATGTCCAGCAGGAGACAGGAGTGACAGCAGATATGATGATGTGGGTCTGGAGGTGTTTGAGTGACAGTTTGTTTCTTCTGAGGAAACATCGATGGCTTTAATCTTCACGGCACCATTAGTCACAGTTATCACAATGTTTGGCAACGACGATTAGAAGTGAGCCGGCGCAGGTTGTGAGGGGAACAATTTGCACCTAATACATAATACATGACTTATTAAAGTTAGTACTAGTACTAATAGTACTGAAGCCTCTACGACAATGAAACGCTCGCCCACAGACAGACAAACAGGACGGCTCAGGCGGATGTCCTCTGACCTGCTGCAGGGTTTCTCTGGGCGTGGCCAACAGATTGACAGCGGCCGAAAGCTTCTGGAAGTATTCGTTGGCCAGATCGCCCAGACCGATGCTCTGGATCCAGTCCATCAGCAGGTCCAGGTTGGCCCGGATCTGAACCCCTCGGGACCACTGGTAGAAGCCGGCGCCGGACCCTGAAGGACGAATCATTCAAAGCGAGACGTCACAAACAGCTGATGCTCGATTGACCTTGTTTTGGTCTTCAGCCGAGCTCTCACCTCTCTCCATGAGGGCGTTGAACAGCGACGCGTTGATGAAGAACAGCAGGTAGGCGCAGAGCTGCAAGGAGATGTCCGGATGGACCTGGAAGGCCGCGAGGAGCTTCAGCGCCTCCTTCAGGACCTCCAGGACGCCGCCGAGTCCGTCGGGCACTCGCAGCTGACCGCTCTCGGAGAACGGGTTCCCGTCCAGCAGACCGGGCAGAGACGAGTACATACTCTGTGGAGACAGGCGGGCCGGGTTACCTCTCTGATATCAACGCTTTCTTCTTCAGTCTCTCATATCAACACTTTCTTCTTTAGTCTCTCATATCAACGCTTTCTTCTTCAGTCTCTCATATCAACACTTTCTTCTTTAGTCTCTCATATCAACGCTTTCTTCTTCAGTCTCTCATATCAACACGTTCTTCTTCAGTCTCTCATATCAACACGTTCTTCTTCAGTCTCTCATATCAACACTTTCTTCTTCAGTCTCTCATATCAACACTTTCTTCTTCAGTCTCTCATATCAACGCTTTCTTCTTCAGTCTCTCGTATCAACACTTTCCTTCTTTGTACCGGAGGTTATGACTCAGAGGACCTTCACACTGCGTTCAGGACACTTTGTAGGAGAGCTTCCCAAAACAAAACGAAAAAAACCCCACTATCTGACATTTACACTACAGTAAAACCGTTCACACTAATAGTACCATAAATAACAGGAAGAACAAAACAGTGAGCTGCAAACACTGATGAGTCGTCTTGCAAGCAGTTTTATTGAAGCCATTGAGAGCTCTCAGACAGATACGAGTCTTATCTCGATTGTTTGCATGGTATGACATCACCTGTTAGGCTGAGACACACACACACTCACAGCATGACTAAGATAATGACCTCAGACTGAGAGAATAAGCCCACATGCCTGAGCTGATCTGCCGGGCAGATATTGGCTCATTGGATGATTGAAACCGGAGGCGATGGTTAATGATTCCTACACATTGTTAATAATGTTTTAAACACTTGCTGTATATTACAGCTGAATGAAGCTGGCCTTTATATTCATTTTCTATTACTGAGACTTAGCGAGCATTAAAAGAAGAAGTGATGACGCCCTGCCTGTACGTTATGAGCGATGAGGCACTTTTCACAGGAAATCAATGAGAGAACTGTTCACTCCACCCTTCTTTTCCTGTTGAGTGTTTCTCTGATGACAGTTTGTCTTCCTCTGCAGGAAACAGAACCTCCTTTTCTCTCAACATGCTTCTCTACTGTGGAATCGCAATGCTAAAATACCAAGCTGGTGCTGCTTGATTAACAAGCCTCAAAAGTGTCAAACAGACATGGTGGATTGAAGAAACTGAAAGAAAAGAAACATTTCAGCTGCACTTCCTGAAGCCTGAAGAGCAGAAGCTGCACAGTCAAAAGCCAGAAATATGCCTCAAAGTATCCAAAACAACAGCACAGACTGTTCCTGCTTCCTTCCTTCCCTTCCTCCACGCTCTGAGCGCTGGGTGGAGGTGCTCCACAGTCTGCTGCTGGGACGTTAACTGGATTCCGCATGAGCCAGACTGCCTTTAATGAACATCTTTCACATGGGAAAAGCCACATAATACGTAGTCTGGGAGAGTCCTGTCGGGCTGTAAAACCAAGGCTGACTGCTGACTACACAAAGCAAAGTCACACACACACTAAGAAGCTTTTGAAGAGCTTTCATTGGGATGTGAGTACCTATTTAAGTATTTAGAGCATTAGAGTGGTATAAACCGTCTCTGTCTCCTGTGGCGTTCCACAAGGCTCCATCTTAGGTCCCACGTTGTTGTTCCCTCATGTGTTTTTTTCTGTTTTGTTGTTCCCACATCCCTGATCATTGTTAAGATGACGGTGGAGCTGTGACCCTTGAACCTAAGACTATAAATAGGAAAAGGATAGTGTTTTTTTTTATATTAGTGCTGAAGGTGTCTCGTCTTTAAATCATTAAATAACTAAAGTCTGGGTCCACTTCCAGTCAATGGCGAAAATAAAAAGGTGTCTTTATTTTGTAGACCTGGAAACCGTCTTACATGCTTTAATTACCATTATTACGTATAATCTGGTCTGTAACTGATTTAAAATGCGGCGGCTCCAAGAAAAGCAACATCTCCGGCCTCCCTTCTGATAAAAATATCGATTCTGCTTTAAAACACTTTGTCAGCCTACACTCTTCAGTCTGTCTTCTGATCAGTTACATTTAAATAATCTAAGATGCAGGTCAAAATCCACAGTTGATTGAAATTAAGCTCAATTCTCCACTGCTCAAACAATTCAGCCTCACAATCAGATCCATCCACTCTATTAGTGTCTATTTGTGTCCCGCTTATTATCAATACAACAATGACGTTGTTTTAGTATTTTCTGCTACACGTATCTAACCTTTTTACTCATGGTCCTATTACGTAAATTTCTCTCATCACTGAATGTTTTTAAAAGTTCAGAAATACAACTACAAGACTCAAAACGTCGTTCTTCCAGCGGTTCTCACCCTCCTGGGGTTGTTATTCAGCGAGCCGGTGAAATCAGTCTCACCTTGGGAACGAGATTGTCTTTTTGTTTGTATTCCAGTCGGTGGAAAAGAAAACCTTGCTCACTATCTCACAGGCCTTTCCTGCCTGAGAGTGCCAGACAGAGTCGGTGTTTCCACTCTGTCATTGTGCTTTCTATGTGGGATATTTTAAATGAAAACAGAATTTTGTGTTTACGCAGCCCAATTTCCTGATTCGCATGTGACCGACTTTTAGATTCTACAGGTCAAAAGGATGTGAGGCATGCTGAGGTACCCGTTCCAGAGTGTGTGTGTGCCGTGTGTTACAATGGGTTGTGTATTACGGTGTGGCGCACAACCTTTGTTAGATAGTAGACAGACTGCTGGAAGGTGAACATGATGACTTCTTCCAGGACTGTCATGGCTTCTTCACAAGCTGTGCGAGTGGAGGACATCTCAGAGTCCAACAGACCTGACGAAACACACACGGACACGCATTTACAAACGCTCCAACGCCTGTGACCATGACACCAACGCTGAGCAGCGCGCCGCGTCGTCCTGCACCTGTGTCCTGCTGGTCCTGCCTCCAGGGCAGCAGCTGAGGGACTTCATGCTGGATGAAGTGCAGCAGTTCGATGGAGTTGGCCATCCAGAGGAGCAGCGGCTGCAGACCTGGGATCAGCTCCTCCATGCTGAGCACCTGGAGACGCTCGGGCTGCTCGGCGTCGGAGCCGCTAACGTAGAAACGCAGAGGAAGAAGCACAGAGGTCAGTGCAGGAACAAGTCCGCAAAAGTAATCGCTTACACTGCAAAAATCATAGGGATATTCAGACAATCGCTTCGATGCTTTTATCACCCATTTAATCCAATTGAGACCAAATGAGTACGAATAAAATCAAGCTAAAAAGAAAGTGTGTCTGCAACCGGCCAACCAAGTTTGATTAATACACGGCACTACAGTCCAACCCTCCGCCTACACTGCGAGGAAACACAAACGCCTCCGGTCAGATAAGCTCTGGTTATCATCTAGCAGCCGTGTGCAGCGTCACTCTCCTCACCGCCGTCTCACGGACGGAAAAACAACTTGAAGCATTTATTTTGGCTTCAGGACTATTTCTTAAAAAAAAAAAAACGGTAAAATGTGAAGTCGTGTGTTTGCAAATCGGCAAAGAACACAAACTGAGCTGCAGCCACTTTCCGATCATTGTCGTCGATGTTACAGCTCAGTCAACAGCAAGCTGTTTTTACGCAGTATTCTGAATAAGTTAATCAGCTGAATCAACAGCTATTTTTCATGATCAATTATGGTTGAGACATAATATCCAGATTGTAAATGTGAGGATTGGCTGCGTTTCTCAGACTTCTACACAGTTGTGTGGGCTGAACCAAGCTTTGATAAACATGTCACTCAGTACGTTATCTGATTATCAGTTGCAGCTGTTAAACATCTAAGACTTGTTACGTTCACGTTACAGTTGACTCTCTCATTCACTTCTGTTTGAAAGTCTTTGGAGTTTAACTTTGATTTCTTTGCTCCTGAAGTATTCTGTGGAGCAAGACGTCACGTCTCCACAGAGGAGAAAACCTCTTCCTCAAATGTGGGAAAATCCCTCTTTGAACAGCGTGCATTTAACAAAAACTCGCTGCTTTTTCGAGGAGCAAATAGTAGTAAAATCAGACTTTAGGTCCTCTTTCATTCAGGCAGTAAAGCCGGAGGCGCCGTATATCACGGCGGGCAGCAGCTGCTGCGCTCGTGTATTTCTGGAGACACTTTGTTTACTCACGTTTCTGGCTGGATCGCTGCAAGTTCCTTTGTCTTCTCCTAAGAATACCACAAATAGAAGAAATATACATTTCCTGAAACTTCTCATGGACATTAAAATCATCAAATGGCCATTTGATGATATTAGAACACACTAAAGACATTACATTTTTTTACTTCTTTTTCTATGATGTTTTTCTACCAAATTTATGTTGACAAAACAATTTTCGCCTAATATTTTATGACTTTTTGCCAACATTTAGTTTTAAATACATTTTTCAACCTAATACTTTTTCAATTCATTTCCCATGACATTTTAAACATATTTTTACATTTTTATTCAAAAAGAAAATCAACCTCATTTTTTTTTCAAAACCATTTTTACTTGACATTTTTATAATAATAATAACACACTTACTAATGTATATATATTGATATATATAATGTATTTTTTTCCACCACCATACACTAGTTAAATAATTACTATTCTACTACTATTCTTACTATAAAGCTATTTTGAAGACTAAAATAGATGTGCCACTTGGAAACCTTGAATCTTGAATCCAACCAACGCTTCTGAGTGTCGGGCAATTTGGAGATAATGAGCTAAATGATCAGAGTTTCATCCTTACCCACATAGCGAGCTGGATCTGTGCCGCTATCCGCAGCAGCAGCTGCCTGAAGTGTGCGAGGCCGAACGTGCAGGCCGAGTGCTGCATGCAGAGGCTCAGCAGGAAAGCAGGCGCCAGCTTTGGTCCATCCCCACCAGGGTCCAACATATCCAAAACCTCCTGCAGGACCCGCTCCTCCTGCTGCAGCTCGTAGCTGACCAAAGCCTCGGTGCCTTCCAGGTCCCTCCAACGAGGCGGCGAAGGCTTCCTCCAGGGCCTTGTCATGGCGACGGAGGAGCCGCACGATGAGCAAGAGGAGGCCGCCTTTGCGTCTGAGTTGGGGCAGAGCGGGTTCATCCACAGGGGAGTCTGCACGGACGCCGAGGTGCTGGTAGGATCCTTAAACATGAAGAGGTAGTGTTTCCCCAAGCTAACAAGGTCCCCTGGTTTCAGTTCCACTTCCTCTTTGAGGAGGAAACCATTTCTGGTCACAGGGGCACCGTGGAGGGGCTTCAGCATTGTCAGTGTCTTCCTGTGCTCCCCCGGGGAGGGCGGGCCGCTGGATTCCAGGCGTCGGACGCAGCAGTGCTGGGGCAACACGTCGGGGGCAAAGAGAAGGATGTCAACCTTTAGCCTCTCCTCATCTTCCCCGTTGCAATGCTCCCTGCAGCAGCCGAAGACGGTGGTGGTTCCACTCATCAGGTAGATGACGAAATCCTGTAGAAGGAAGCAAAAAGAACCAAAAACACTTTTTCAATAATGATCAAAAATTTGATCCATTTGTTGTTCTAAAAGAAAGTCCAACTTAATGTCTTGTTTTCAAAAGCCAGTTCAAAAGCCAAAGATATTCCGTTAGAGTCACATAACACAGTTTATTGTTCGACTTGTAGTTCTTATTAAAGATTATTTGTATTCACACTGGGACACAAAAGATTAACCAATCAGGGAAATGGAAGAGACAATAGAGCAACAACTCTCGATATAAGACCTTTCACACGTGAGAAACTAAAACCATTCAACAATGAATCGATTATGAGAAAAGATGCTGGTGTATGTTTCTGTTTAACACGTCAGCTGGATTTGCATCTGTTTAACCTCAAGACGCTCGATGGGAAACCTGCGTTCCCGGGGATTCGATCTGCCTGCGTAACGTTTGGAAGTGAACCAGACGAGAACGAGACGGGAAAAGAAGGATTAAGAGTGATGTTCCGTGACCTCGAGGGTCACGGCAATCAGCTTATTAGTGATGATACGGTATCATCAACGCCGCCTGTTTCACGATACGACAACAGGTATTCAATCCAACACAATCTGATACAATCCATTGATACTGTGCCGTTTATTCACTTTTTAATTATCTCTGCCTCCTTCATGTATTAAAATAAGGCCAAAACCAACACTTTTTATATCATATGATGAAATTAAATGAAAAATTAATCTGAATATTTTATTTTGTGACAGTGGGGAGGATGCAGATCTGTTGTTATCCACGTGTAACTAAACAAGTGGACATTCTGTCAATCTTTATAACACCGTTCTTATTGCACCCACTGTGAACTCCAAAGGCTTAACCTCGATATCTTATTTTATATTTAGGTTATCTAATCATGAGGATTGAAGGGCTCTTAATGATGTCGTTAGCTTACAAGAATGAAAATAAACATTCTAAATATCTAGATACTACATGTTAGTTTGACTTGTTATTTCTGACAATCAATATCAATCAACAGCAAAGTAATACACAACTATCTGGATAATTGATTCAATATTTCTGTCATTTTTAAGAGAAAGAGCGTCGTGCTTCTAGGAACGGAACCACGACCCGGTTTACTGTGACGACGGGGCTTAAGTTGTGTGCCTTTAATCAGGGTTTAATCTGCTGCTTCCAAACATCCTGAGCAGGTTTCCTTCAGTCTGTATGCGGAACACTTTGTTCCTCATTAGAACACGACGACTCGTCACTTCTGAGCCTGCAGCGCCTCGTGAGCCAAAGCCACAGTGTTTCCGTCCCCGCTGGCCTCCCCGTGACCCCCTGACCCGCGGTTCAATCCAACACCCTCATGTAGTCCTTTACACCGTGTTGTCTAGGTAGGCTGTTGTTTGCCTCGGCCCGACAACAACTTCTCTGCCTGCCCCTCACCTGTCGGTGGCTGTAGCCCTGCAGCAGGAGGAAGTACGGGAAGTCGAAGGGCGGGTGGATGGAGTACTGGGTGGTGTTGTCGTCGCTGCTCTCCGTCTCCTCCTTCTCCATGCCGAGGCGCAGCACCTCCTTGTCGGCCTCGGCCTCCGGGTCCTCTCGGAGCGCGCTCTTCGCCGCCCGGCCGGCCTCCTTCCCCATCGCAGGCAGGTCCATCTCGCTCAGGCTCCTCCAGATCCCGAGTCCGTCCGCATCCTCGCCGCTGCCGTCCACGAAGAGCGAGGTCACCCTGGAGCGGCTCTTCTGCAGCTTACGGGCCTGAGCGTTGATGCCTGGATGGACAAGAGGACAGCGCGTCCATCAATGTGAAAAACACTGTTTTGTGTCCATAGTAAAGGACAGCACGAGACTGGGACCGCTTGTAGCCACAGTTAGACATAGAATACAATATATATATTTAATATATTATATATATTTAATATAATATAATTAAATATTATATGTATACAATATATATGAATTTGGCAATAAATGTTCCTGATTCCTCATATATCTCTTTTCCACCTTGTTTTAAAGTGAAACCTATTGAGCTGAACACAAAATGAACATTGATAACCAACCAAAGCCGACGTTTCGCTGCACTGGCACCAGTTGAAATGAAACCCGTGTGGAGAGGAAAGAGAGGAAATGTGCGGGCAGAGCGAGATGTGACCAGCGGTTCTATCCGTCGGCCTGACGTAACACAAACACCATTCAGCTCCTTTGGAGCCATTAAGCGCAGAGGAATGTCCATCGAGCTCCGGCTCCACAGCCGCCAGCTCTGCCGCTCTTATCAGCTGTGGAAGTGGGTGTTTCTCCACATTGTCCAGCAGCAGCGTGACGGACCGGAAACAGCCTGAAGCCCGCCGCGGGACGTTAAGAGGGTCTGACTGATATCGATCAAGTTGGGGCATAAACGGACTTAATTCAGGATCAACACCCAAAAAGCACATTACTGATATATTACCGATAGGAATATTCTGAGAGGAGGTGAGTGGCAGCTCGCCAGCGGGCCCTAAAACCGAGATAAGACCCTCCTATCCCGCACTGCAGCTTTTGTTTCCTCGCGGCCGCTCTCACGGGCCGGCCCATCTCCTGCGTCCCAGCTGGTGATAAGCCGGACAATGAGGGCTGTTAGCCCGGCAATAAGAGGAAAGGATAAAGGCTCGCCCTGCCACCACAACAGAGACGCAGTGATTGATCGCTCGGCCGCGAGGACGCCAGGGTCACTGACTTGTCCTGAAGATGGTGGGATGGGTGCTGGTCAACCCCTCTGAACCCTCTTTGGACAAAAGTTCAATCGTTGATCGGAGCCGTGACACACAGTTATCCTCCGATTTTCAACGGTCAGGAACGAATCACGTGCGGCGAAATGTTTTGTCTTCAATGGCAACCAAATTGTGAGATTTGATCAGTTCCACGGCCCGAATAGGAAGCTGTGATGGACTCGTCTGAGACCAACAGCCACGTGATTGGACGTGGCTGTGCTGTTTGGGGAGAGGACGTGCAGGTGGGCGTGTCTACCTGCGGTGACGGTGTCTCTGTCCTGTAGACTCTGCTCCTCCACGCTCGCTCTCAGCTGGATCTCGAATCGCCGGGAGAAGCCTTCCTTGGGTTTCCAGAGGGACTGCAGCGTGAGGGGCTTCTCGTTGTCTCCCACCACCCGGAAACACTCCCGCTTCCACTGGTTGTCTGCGCCCGTCTTGCCGATCACGTCGCAGAGCGCGTAGTGGCCGGCGTCCTCTTTCTCTAGACAGTACCTGAACGAGGAGGGAGGACGGGGGTTAAAGCAGCGGACTGACTATTGAACCGCCTCCGGGTTTCGTTTTTCACTAATAAATTATTACATTTAAGGCGATAGCAAGAAGCGCTTTTGAGCACCCAAAACACCAAAGGAAATGTATCCCCTTCGCGATAATGTAAATTCTTGAAATGTCAAATTTCTAAAGCTGGAATTAAAACCTTTTTTTTAATGATTGGCTTGAACAAGTATCATATTAAAACTGCACCACTGGTACTGAATACATCTGAGACTGAGCATCCAATTCTGGAGAAACCATTTCAGTTGAGGTATTAAACCGGTGGTGCGGTTGCAGAGCCGTGACTCGTCTTTTCATGTCCAACCCAACGTGTGTCACCTCTCCAAGGCCTCCTTCACCAGCTCCTTGGCGCTGGACTGCGTGGTGGCCAGCACGCTCTTGTAGTTGGTCCCCTGGCAGATGTCGCAGCCAAAGATCTTCAGGATGCCGGGGACGGACATCTGACTGGACAGCTCCGATGGGTCGTCGGCGGCCTGGAGGTCACCGGGCGGGGTCCCGCCGGCCGGCGCCTGGCCGCGCCGCCCGCTGCCCGGGCTGTGGTTGAAGACGGTCGAGAGCCGGTTGTTGTGGCGGCGTATTTTGCTCTTGGCCGGCTGCCGCACGCCGGCGCTCTCGGTGGAGCGGACGGTGATGTCCGAGTTATTGGACCTGAGAAGACGACGCGGTTAGCTGTCCAGCCTGAACAAAGGCGCCATAAAGCGTCGCAAACAAGACCAACGCGCTGCTTTTTCACTTTGTCGTCACTCGTCACTTTGTTACTTGTTTGTTACTTGTTCGTTAGTGCACTTTATGCTTAATATTTTTCTTTTTAACTTTTTTAACTTTATTCCCTTGTTTTATACTAACCCATAGCCTTATTCTACTAACCCATTGCATTAGCATTTCATTTTACTTTATTTTATTACTTGTGCACTGTTGTCTTGTCTGTCTACTGTCGCGCACTAAGACAAATTCCTTGTATGTTTGGCATATTTTGGCAAATAAATGTTTCCTGATTCCTGATTTTGTCTGGTGTTACTGTGACGCTAAAACTGAAATACATCAGATAGGTTTATACTACTTGAAATATCCATTTAGGCACTAAATGTGTGCGTTAAAAGTAAAATTGTCTCAGCGAGTAAACTGGGCTTATGTGCTAAACTTTTTAAAAAAAACGTCTGTAACGTAAGAAAAACGTGACATAAAACCATAAAAGTAAAAAAGCAGCAAGACGGAGCTTAAAAACGAAAGTTTTCTATTGGGAAAAAGACAATTCAAAATGAAATAATACATTGTCTGACCTGGACAAAAAGGTTTTGGAGAGTGTGTGACACACTACATCTCACGAATAAGTCTTTATCATTGGATTTATTAACCTGATGTCATCAGCACATCATCCCTTACGGCCAAAGATGGAAGACATCAGCGGGACAGAGACACCAGCAACAGGACAGTTTAGACATAATCAAAAGTCAAAGGACCAATGAGCCAATCGACTACAATGATTGACGTACTGCCAAAGATGCCGAAGATGAGTCTGTGTGGCCGAATGAAAACGAACCCTCGTTCATTTCATTATGACGTGGGACAGATGTAGTGACGTAGTAGTACACTACGGTGGAAATACTTCAGCACCTGAACGTTGTCCTCAAGTCACCGCCACATTCCCCGCCCTGCCTGCGGGTGACTTCACGTCAACGTGTGTCACTGTCTACGGAGCAAATGGAGGCTGTTAACGAGGACTTACTGGACAGATCCATTGCTGGGTTTCCTGCCCAGCCGGACCAGTCGCTTCTTCGGGGAGCGGATGAGTAAACCCACCGGGAAGCTCAGGGCCTGTTTATTGACGTGGCTGCTCCGCTCCTCTGAAATCATGATGCTCACGTAGGACCGCAGCGTAGCATTCTGCGCTACGGAGCTAGCTGGGGGGAAAGGAAGAGGAGACCACCGAACGGAGAAAAAAGACCCCCGGGGGGGTCTCGGGGAGCCGCAGAAATGCTCCCGGCGCGTCGGTGTCCGTTAAGCGGAAGTTGTGGACGTTGTTTAAAAGTGCCTCTCCGCGTGAGGAGAGAATCGAAAGGAGCGACCGTTGGTTCAAAACTTTCCAAAAAGAGGGAAAGAACTCCGCTTGGCTTGCGGATAAAATCCAGACCGAGAAGGTGATTCAGCAGCAGCGACGTTTCCACTCGCGGTGTGTCCGCTTCTGACCGGGAGCAGCTGGAGAACGAGCCGATAAACAGCCCCGGTCCATAATACCGACCGGAGATCCGTTAACCGTCCGCCGGTGAGCCTGCAGCGGACTGAACGAAGGCAAGCCGCCGCCGGAGGGACCAGGGACCGCGTGTGACGTCACCGCGGCGTCACGATGCTGGTCCCAAGAGGTGGGCGGGGTCAATCACACACACACACATACACACGTACACACGTAGACGAAGGGGGGACCCACGAGTGACCAGCGTCTTAGTGAACTCATTCCTACTCAGTTTCCTCATTAAGATGTTACACTGGGTGCAATGTCAACATCATATAAAGTAATTACTACCAAGTAACTCCATTCATACACGTCACGTGTTTTTTCTAATGATAAATTATTTGGCAGAAGTTTGGCAGCGATCCACCCCCTGAACATAATACAAATATATTAACTGGATTCAATATATTAACTAAATAACTATCATATACACTCAATATAGGGCATATAAAATGATAATGATGGGCTATAAATACTGTAAAGTGTAATTTTTAGAGCATTTTTGTCTTTTTGTATTGCTTCAAAACTGTATAAACAATGTACAAAAGCCAAGGAGAATCATTTAAAATGAATAAAACTACGTATTTACTCAAGATCCAGATTAAAAAAGAAAGAAAAGCATAAAACCATGGCAAAAGTATCCACAAAAATTTGTCCTAGTGATATATAATTTGTACTGTAATTTGTGATAAATTGCAGGCACAGTGGATCATAAAAATCATAGCATAAAAATCATATTGCCAGCTGAGAGTAATTTGCTCATCAAGAGCTCCACCTAGTGGCAGTAGAGATGCATCATCACAACACTGCGCGACACATGTCGACAGGAACATTGGTTTGGTGTTTTGCAAGATGCACATTACACGCTTTTTTCAATACAAACTAAATGCTTCGACACAAGCGTCTGTATGACCTAAATTAAGGGACCAAACATACAAACACATTTTATTATGTGTGGAATTCTAAAACACACTTGCAGTGTTTTCTTATTTGTTTTTATCTCAAGATCCTTTTTAGACATCCAACAAATGTCTGAAATACAACCAGAGATGTTGCAGTTCTGTGTGCAACCACCAGGTTACACCATGTCTGAGTCTTTCCTGACACATGATAAGGCACCATGAACACCCGCAGCACCTAACTTTGTCGCACACACCCACCCATATAAGCACACTCGGCCTGTGTCATTTTGTGGTATTGAGTAACTCTGAGAGGCGGATGTGACTCCGAGCTCCACCTGCAGCTGCTGTGACAGCGGGCGGTTTGCAGACGTCGAGGATTCAGGTCAGACTTTGAAGTTTACACTTTTCTGCAAACGGCATCTCGCTGCAGGCAGTGCACGTCAGTCTCCATCAGGGCCGTCAGTTAACCTGCTCAACTGCAGTGAAGCACCATCGCACGCACAAGAAGCTGTTTGACAAGGTGTTGCAAGAAGGAACAGATTGTCCTTCTTGAAGAAAAATAGAGAAAAACACAAATGAGGAGTGGAACGACAGTCACTGCAGGCTGTCATTTTGAGGTCAAAGTTGAACTGCATCACATAGACCCAATATATGTTTGGGGTGTTAATGGGATAAAAAGAATAATAGGCCGGACACACTTCAACACAGTTTAAATCCTTTACTAGTCATGCAGAGGAAAAACTGGATTAAGCAGCATAATAATTAAGAGTTTTATTTTCTACTTTGAGAATAATTTATGATCCAAATGAGCTTGTTAACGTCAGGCGTTTTCGTTCTGTGCACAAGTAAATTAAAGCGGACTAAAGCAACGTTAATTGATACTAAATAACATTTCCAGTAAGCCATCCGGCCCTCAAGATTATCAGATCTTCTGTTGTACTATAACGCTGTGTGAAGATGATGTGCATTGATGCTAAAATGGTGTTTCATGATAAAACTGCTAGCTAGCTGTGTGAAAGATATAAACTATATAAACCTTATTTTACCTGCATTTATCATAAGACAGACGTTTGTGGCACAACGTTAAACTTTTTAGTATTCAATGTGATGAAAAGCTCTTTTACAGCATCGGTAACTCATGCGGAATTAATTCAATTGAACACAACATGTTGCACAAAGTCCACCTGCGAACACAGATACATATAATCTCACTACTTCACAGGACTTTAAGACTATGTTGAAATACAGAGGCAGCTATAAGACTTTTGCCCTTTTAGTTTATATCTTACTTTTTTTTTACTTTATCACTAACATTTCCAATGAATTAATTCCTCACCAAAACTCTGGACTTAATGTCTTTGTTCAGTTTGTAAATCTTCCGTGCATTAGTTGTGTGTTTATTCACGGATACGCATCAGCAGCTCGGTAAAGTACCATTTATATATATCTATATGTATAAATAGAGGCTATTTTCCTACAGAACGGTGTTGTATAATTGGGGTTTTTCCAGCTGTCCAGGCAGCCAGTATTTCATTTAAAACCAACAAATAATAAATCTGTGGACTTTTCATTGGACTCTCACTAAACAAAAGTGTAACGTTGAGAGCAGATGGGTTTACGCATGAGTTCCCCAACTAGTGTATCAACACTTTCTACATTCAGCATAGATGGCTGAGACAGATGTTCATGTTACAAACAAACTGATTTATGAGGAAGTAAGCTGACATTTATATAAGTAATCCAAAGCTAATCAATGTATAGTTAAAAATGTATTTTTAACATATTGATTAGTTATCAACTAATTATTGTAGTTGAAAGCAGCAGTCACAACAATATAATATCTGTGTTGTTCTAATAGTATATTTGTGTTGAGTTGTGTTTTTTTCGTGTCCCTTGTCTACACGTGTAACTAAACCACAGCTGCATGCGTGCCTAAGTGGTATTTGTGTTCACTGGTAATAAAGCTTCACTGAAGAGGAAGCTTTGCGTGTACGAGGAAAGGAAACACAAAGCTTCATCACGTCAACCGGAAACAGACACGGAACCTTTTGATCTTCCTGCAAAATAAAAGGAGAAGGGAGAAGGAGTTAACACTAAAATGTGCTAATTATAATTAATAATTGATGTGTGATTTGTTTATTCGAGGTGAAAGGTCGGATGAACTTTATCACGATCACCTATGTTGTTTGCTCCTCCTGCAGATGTTGTGGTGCATTCAGGTGCTTTGATAAGCTCTGACCAGCTGTCCACTGTGACATGTAGCTTGTAGTAACCCGCTCGTGGCACGCCGCTCATTCCTTTTACCTATTACAATTATCAGGATTTATTCTCATCACTTTTGCTCTAAAACCTTTCGCGCGTTTGCCATCTTTAAGAACTATTGAAGCTACGGAGCTTTATTTCGAAAAAAACAGGGCGGAAGTGGCCGAGAGTGCCCGTGCGCCGCTGCGCGTTTCTCCGTCCCTTATCGCAGGCGTGGTTGTCGTCACGCAGCGGAGCGGAGACGCACGCAGCTCATAAATCATCCGCCTTTACTCGACTCCTTCCCGCCGACAGAGAGAAGACGCGTCCGTGCGGAGGAGCAGCGCCTTTAATGTGGTGGTGCACATGTGCGCGAGCCCCCGGACATGCTGCGCGCGCTGCGGAGCGACACCTGGCCGGCCTTAGAATAAAGCCCCGCGAGGAAAGGTGAGCATCGGCATAAGGATTAAATATCACCGTTAATATCGAGGAATGAACCGCACTTCCTTGTGAAGGTAACGCTCTTCGCGGCTGTTCCTCTTTATCTCTCTTTCTCACTTCGTCGTTAAAAAACGTTACACGTATCAATATTTACACTGTAATCTTACAGACGTCTTTTGTTTTCACTGAACTAATTATTAACTAAAGATACCGAATGTGGTGTGAATGAAACTCGCTCTCCAGCCTCATGTCTTCACCCTCGTCTCTCTGGGGAAGTGGTTTTCATGCAAATGCACGTTAAATGGGGTTATGATAACTGCTGGACCGTCTCACCGGATCTCTGCACGCCTGCCCCCAGAGAGGTCCGATGGCAGGGTCAGAGGTCAACCGTGGGCTCTGTGAGCTGTGCACACACGCCCTAGTTATTAATGCAACAGAAATCAGTTATCAATCTGCTGATTATCTTCAACTTTTAGTCTTTAATATGTCGGAAAATAGTTTCAAAAGTGTGACGGATTATTTGTTTTGACAGTTGGTAGACATACTAATAATATAACATGTTTAGAACGTTAATTATTACATTTAAGGCTGTACAAAACATCAGTGCTGATGAATACGATGTAGTTATAAACACAGCTCTATGTACTAAAACTGCGTTTAATTTCCTCTTTTATTTATTTCTGCGTTCAAACACACTCAGGATTTCAGACTGGGCCGAGAACGTTTCATGGAGTCATTTCTGCCTCCTAAAACCAATAATATGTGACAGGGTAAAAATCACAACAACATCAGACCGTGAAAGAACCAAAGCGACGACTTTGATTAACTCTATTCACTCACTCTATTTGATTAAAGTTTATGATCACTTCTTCGTAACCAGGTGGAGCCTATTTTCAGGTGATAATAACCTAAAGACATAGAACATATTCAATTTGTTACACTCGTTAACTTTTAAGTAGTTTGGTTTTGCATTTTAATGAACCTTTCATTCATAAGTTTATACATTTTATTTTAACTTCCAAAGTCCCACATTTTATTTGGGCAAAGAACTCCCAAAGTCCCACATTTTGGTATTAATCAATAGTTAATCTATGCTACAAGCCGAGGCTAGTAAGTTTGTTTAGAAGTGCATTCAGAAACGTGACGGTTCTCAGAGCAGCGTGCGTGGATTTCCATCTGCCGTGCTCCTGTTTATCAGAACAAAGTCGTACCTTTGCAAAGCGCTCTGCAGCTACACAAGTTAAACAAAAGTAGATACCACATCCTTCACCCGGGACCACAAACATCACCAAGACTGATGGAAAATAAGTCAAAGTAGCCAATGTATAGTCACTGCTGTCGTTGTAATTGGATCCCGTTAGGTTGAACCCTTTAATTGGTAACCCGTTAAGTTTAACCCTTTAATTGGAACCCGTTAGGTTTAACCCTTTAATTTGAACCTGTTTAGTTTAACCCTTTAATTGGAACCCGTTAGTTTTAACCCTTTAATTGGATCCCGTTAGTTGAACCCTTTAATTGGAACCCGTTTAGTTTAACCCTTTAATTGGAACCCGTTAGTTGAACCCTTTAATTGGTTCCCGTTAGTTTAAACCCTTTAATTGGAACCCGTTAGTTTAACCCTTTAATTTGGAACCCGTCAGTTTTAACCCTTTAATTGGAACCCGTCAGTTGAACCCTTTAATTGGAACCCGTCAGTTTAACCCTTTAATTGGAACCCGTCAGTTTAACCCTTTAATTGGTTCCCGTTAGTTTAACCCTTTAATTGGAACCCGTCAGTTTAACCCTTTAATTGGAACCCGTCAGTTTAACCCTTTAATTGGAACCCGTTAGTTTAACCCTTTAATTGGAACCCGTTAGTTTAACCCTTTAATTGGAACCCGTTAGTTTAACCCTTTAATTTGAACCTGTTAGTTTAACCCTTTAATTTGAACCTGTTAGTTTAACCCTTTAATTGGAACCCGTTAGTTTAACCTTTTAATGGAAACCGTTAGTTTAACCCTTTTATTGGAAACCGTCAGTTTAAACCTTTTATTGGAAACCGTCAGTTTAAACCTTTAATTGGAACCCGTCAGTTTAAACCTTTAATTTGAACCCGGTAGTTTAACCCTTTAATTGGAACCCGTTAGTTGAACCCTTTAATTGGATCCCGTTAGTTTAACCCTTTAATTGGATCCCGTTAGTTTAACCCTTTAATTGGAACCCGTCAGTTTAACCCTTTAATTGGAACCCGTTAGTTTAACCCTTTAATTTGAACCCGCTAGTTTAACCCTTTAATTGGAACCCGTTAGTTTAACCCTTTAATTGGAACCCGTTAGTTTAACCCTTTAATTGGAACCCACCAGCGACGTCTTGTTAGTGCATCTGTGAGTAAACCGTAGACGAGGAAGTGGCGTTCGTGACTCTTCCTCATTTTAGAATAGATTGAAGATGATTTATTTCCCCCGCTCCTGTGACCTGGGCGCGTGGTTTCCATGTCCGTCATGCATGTTGACAGATCCCACGCGTGATCACCAGGAACTGCAGTGCTACACGTCTGAGTGCTCCGTGTTTATGTTCCATCAACATCCTGTTCCCTTCCACCAACCCCCCCAAAACAAACACAAGGAAAACAAATCAGGACTTTTACGTAAGCAATGTTTAAAACCTGATTCATGTCGACCTGCATGTCTATATGCATTTTGTTGAATGAGCTTCTAGATTTCTATTTTTTATTTATTTTTATTCTATAGTATTACTCAAACTTAATGTTTTGGAGCGTTCCTCCCCGATAGGATTATTAAGACTGTGTAAAGAGTTTTTCAAACAGCGAATTGGCCTCAAACGTGATCAGTTCTAGAATAACATCTCAGTACGTTCTATTTAACAATAATCTTTGTTCCTTTCTGTGTCCAGAGAAGATTTGTGTGACAGAGAGAAGGTTCAAACTTGAATATTCTTTACCTACAGGGGGTCAGAAGACAACAAAAGGAATTCAAAGGAAGAAATTCTTCTTCGTCTCTCGGCTGCTTTCTGCTGAACGCCTGGTGGACGATGGAAGCCCGAGGAAAGTACGATTTCAGCGCCACGGCAACCGACGAGCTCAGCTTCAGAAAGGGCGACACCCTGAAGGTCAGCGCAAGACGATTCTCTTCTCGACGGGCGGTCGAAACTTCTTCCGAGTGACGTTTCTTTGCTTCCTCCGATCAGATTTTAAGCCCGCAAGATGACTGGTACAGAGCAGAGATGGGCGGGCAGGAAGGATACGTACCGCAGAACTACGTGGAGGTGCAGACGCCGAGGTCAGAGACACAACACGGCAATGACTGAAGGAAAACATGTCTGTGCCATTTATCGATTTGATTAAAAACGACTCTTTTTGATGAAAAAATGTGAAAACCCATTTAGAAGAAAGTCGAATCCATCTGAATGTTTTTACTCTCTTACTTAAAGGAGAAGTCGCAGCAGGCCGTGTGTGTGTGTGTGTGTGGTGTCATTAAATCCTGTGTGTGCTCAGGTGGTTTCATCAGAACGCCAGTCGCAGCGCTGCAGAGGACGTCCTTCGGTCCAAAGGCGTGGGACACTTTGTGATCCGAGGATGCCAGAGCTCCCCGGGAGACTTCTCCATCTCTGTCAAGTGAGGGATTAACAAACAAAAAGCTTCTGTTTCCGCTGTGAATGAACTGCGGCCACATCCAGACGAACGTGGATGTGTTTGACGCGTAACCTTTGTCTCCAAAAGGAACTTTTAAAAGTCTCGGCCTCTTATCAGTTCTTATTGGTTAATGTGTGGCTAGCTGGAATGCTAGCTGCTGTTAGCTCGGGTTAATCAGATTTCAACAAAAGGTTCAGGCCGATTTACGCAGGCATGAGATTTTAAGTGTGCTGGGAATCTGATTTCACCGTCAGAAGCAGTAAACCGCCGTCGATATATATATATATAAACGAGAGGTAAACTCTGACTCATCACGCCGCCCTCGCTGCTTCTTTGCTGATTCACTCCAGGAGGCGGCTGCAGTAAACACGTCCGAGGAAGAGCTCGCTCAGTTTATACACTCAGCTTCCTTTGACTTCATCCTCCGCTTGGGGGTTTGTTTACCTCCGTCCTCCTCCCCGGTTAGGCTGGAATCATGAGTCATAAATCAATTAGTCAGTCAGTCAATCAATCAAAACTTATTTGGGGTGGGTGTCACATGATTGATTAAAAAAAGAGATAAGAGCTATGATAGCGGTTATATTTTAACTTAAATACCAATGAAATACAATAACCTTTTGAAGGCCGGTTCCCATTTGAAGCGCTGAGTGCTTCCGTCTCCCCTCAGGCACGAGAGTGACGTCCAGCACTTCAAAGTGATGAGAGACAACAAAGGCATGTACTTCCTGTGGTCGGAGAAGTTCACCTCCCTCAACAAGCTGGTGGACTTCTACAAGTCCGCCTCCATCTCCAAGACCAGGGATATCTTCCTCCGCGACGACGGCTCGGACAGCCGCGGCCCCCCGGGGGCCCAGGCGGTGGGTTTCACGCTCGCTACCAGTTGTTGACCAGATGAGAAGCTTTGGATGAAGGAACATGTGAACACGTGAATATGAAATGAAGCGGCGGTGTGATGTCATCGCTGGTTTCCTCCCTTCAGGTGAAGAGGGGAAGTTTGCCCGAACAACGCGTCAACGCGTCTGCCGCCATCGTAGCTTCACCGCGCAGAGCTTCAGACCAGCCGCCCAGACAGCTGGTACGAAGACTGTATACTCCATTATGTTAATGAGAGATCCTGAGATACGTCATTATGTTAATGAGAGATCCTGAGATACGTCATTATGTTAATGAGAGATCCTGAGATACGTCATTATGTTAATGAGAGATCCTGAGATACGTCATTATGTTAATGAGAGATCCTGAGATACGTCATTATATTAATGAGAGAATATGAGATACTTCATTATGTTAATGAGAGATCCTGGCATACCTCATTATATTAATGAGAGATCCTGGCATACCTCATTATATTAATGAGAGATCCTGAGATACTTCATTATGTTAATGAGAGATCCTGACATACCTCATTATATTAATGAGAGATCCTGGCATACCTCATTATATTAATGAGAGATCCTGACATACTTCATTATGTTAATGAGAGATCCTGACATACCTCATTATATTAATGAGAGATCCTGACATACTTCATTATGTTAATGAGAGATCCTGACATACTTCTTTATGTTAATGAGAGATCCCGATGTACTCGTTTGTATGTTTGCTCGTCTGTCACAGGCCAAACGAGCCGGTCTGGAGGAGCGAGCTCAAACCATCGGCCACACGGGCAGAAGCAGCCCCGGCACATCCGCTCAGCCACCGCGCCGCACGTCTGAGACCATGCCGCTCCCCCAGGTTGCCCCCCCTCCACGATACTCACGACATTTATTATTAACTGTTTATGCTTGCCAAAAGCCTGAAAATATTTAATACAACAAACATGTTTTGATAGCAATAATGTAAAATAGAGAAATACATCTTGTTTTAAACTAAAACCGGAACTGGAACTGAAACTAGAACTGGATTTTTATTGACAAGACTTGAAGGATTCCTTGATTATGAAACTTTGGTTGACTTGTTTTATTATTTCTGCAGTATTGCTAATTTATTATTAGTAATTAATGCCCTAAAATTCCAAAGTATTCCCTTAAATTATTAACTGCACAATTAAATTTGCAGAAACTAAATTGTGTCTATTTACATTGAATTAGTTCCATTCAATCAATAGCATTATCATCTTTACATTTGTCCTTAATAAATTACATATTCATTAGTCAGTATACAGAAGAATTACAAAACACAAACCAAAAACAAAGAGATTATCAAGCTTTCTCTCACATATTTCTGTGAAATGTTTTTTTTATAAATAAGACATGAACACATCTTTTTAAGAAACCACTGAGCTGGGAGCTGATGAGTAGCCCGTGAGGTGTTGATCGGTGTCCTTCCTCCGTCCCACAGAGGGCGTCCACGCAGCAGGTGAAGGCGCTCTACGACTTCTGCGCGGAGGAGGGCGACGAACTGGGCTTCAGCGCCGGTGACATCATCGAGCTGCTGGATCGCTCCGACGCGTCGTGGTGGCGAGGGAGGCTGCGGGGGAAAAGCGGCCTGTTTCCCGCCAACTACACAATGCCGCTGTGAGAAGAAGACCCCCCCCCCCCCACACACACACTCTCAGACTCCCTCTGAGCAGAAAGAACTGACTCATCTGATCTCTGCCCAAAGGACTGAGTCATTTAGCATTGTAGTGAATACCTGAAACCTGCAACGTGTGGCAGCAGAGGAACGTTTTGTCTTTGAAATCACCACGTGGCCGACAGTCAATGTGCAGCTGAATCGACTGTAACAGCTGTTTCGGCTCACTCATGGTAGTGAAGTTACCTTTTATACCGCAAGAGATTTTGGATGAAAAATTCAGCAGATTTCTGAAGAAACCTGAACGCTTTACAGAATAAGAAATAAAATCATTGATGATGATGATGATGATGATGAGAGCCTTCTGAGATGATTCTTTTCTTTTTTAAAGGCAAGTATGGATTAACTGTAAAGGTTTATCCTCCCTTGGGGCATTTCGTTTTTTAATAAGGAACCTTGACATTGATTTATATCTGTTTCTGCAGCCTGAGCGCACCAAACATTTTCAAAATAAAAGCTGCAGTAAAGCCTTGATCAAAATGAGGAGCTGAAAAGTAAAATTAGGAAGTGTCCTAAGCTTGATTTTGTCTACTTTCCACCATCTATGAGAGAATGACTCAACTTCTCTCTTGATTTATTCCCTCAGTAAACATTGTAAACATGAGTTTATGGTCTCAATCTAGTTTCAAATCTTCTTAAATACAGCAAGATGTTTACTTAAGAAATGATGGTTCCTGTAGAGTAAAGCCCAGGGGAAGCTTTAAGGCGGGGTGGCGTACACGGCGTATCTATATCACATCTAAAGTCCATTTATCCCTCCATTCACTGTCCGTCTGTAGTACAATGAATGTAATAATCTGACAAACCTTTCATTAACTCGTTATATATAGTGCTTTAAGACTTTTTTTTTCAATTAAGCCATCTTAGTTTTCATCTTTACGAGTTTAAATCCTTGTTGCGTTTAAGAGAAAAGGGTGATGTTCACATCAGCAGTAATTGTCTCCTACCTAAAAGTGAAGCCATCATGCATTATTTTTGGTAAAGAGTCAAAAGTTAAAAAGGTTGGAAGCAACTTTCTATTTAATCTTGAAGTGGGTTGTATTTGGTGATTTCATGTAAAACTTGTTATAAATGTATTTGCATACTATTTAATGGTACAAGTGTAATATCTTGAAAAGTACCGTGAGTGAAGCATGAGTGAATAATTAAAAAAATGTTGTTAAGAATATCCTTTCAACAATATAAATATACTGTAAACATTTTCTTTTTAGTCATTTTCTCTTCAGTTTTACGGGTTAAATGCCAAATGTTCCCATCTAAACGAAAAATTAGATTAATTAAAAATACATATAACAGAACTCTTAACAGCAACCGTTTATTTTATTCTGAAAGTCCCAGAGCATGAAGTTCACGGCGCCGCTTTGACTTCCACACAGTTAGTCGCCCCGCCCCCTGCTCCTCACCTGAGACACTCACCTGGGTACCTGCGGTGCCAGTGCGCACATCGAGCCGCCGGCGACCAGACCCAAGACGCCCGGCCGGCCGCCCGAGCCCGCACCCCCCATCCTCCCTCCCCCCCTCCCGGAGGAACTCGGACCCGCGATGGCGGAGTCCCAGCTGGTGTGCATGGACGAGGGCCACGTCAACGAGAAGGTCCCGGAGACCGCGCCGGCGTTCTACTACAGCGAGGAGCAGCGCGCCGCCCTGGAGCAGCTCCTGAGGAACGGGGACGGCGCCTTCAAGACGCGCCTGCGGGAGGACCACGTCAAGGACTTCCTCTCGGCCCGGGAGGTCGCCTTCCTCCGCAAGACCTTCCGGGAGTACGACACGGACAGCGACTGCGAGTCCGGAGAGCACGAGCGGGCCAAGGAGACCCCCAGCGCGGACTCGGGGGTCCACTCCACCTACTGGCCCGAGATGTCCGACACCGAGGTGCCGTCCCTGGACATCGGCTGGCCCGCCGGCCGGGGCGCGTACAAGGGGGTGACCCGGGTGTCCGTGTACTCGCACCCCCCCAAAGAGTCCGGGCCCCACATCAAGCAGGTGGTGAGGGGCCTCATACAGGAGGCCCACAAGGTACCGATGACGCTGTTGTGTTATTAACGTGTTATCATGATGCGGAGAGTCAAAACACACTCAAGTTTCAGTCAAATTGTTTATCAATTCTATTATTTTATAGTTAAATTATATTGTATCAGTAATATTATCCTCTTTGAATCAGGGGAGACGTTTGTTTTTGTTAAGTCGTATTTTTGTATAATTTATTAAGTTCAAGTTCAGTTTTTATTTTCGGTTGACCAAAGTGCTTAACAAGCTCGAAAAGCAGCGATACGATAAAACACAGACAGAGCGAAATGTACAATACAAACTATCTGACAGTAGAGAAAGAATAAATGTTTATTAAAAAACATAGTGTGCTTTAATCAATAGCTTCAATTTATGTAACAATCACGAGAAAAAGACGTGACGCGACATGAGCCCAAAGTATTCTAATCAACCTGTTATTGTTCTGATGGATCAATCTATGATTCCACTTATCAAACGAAAAAAAAAAATATTTGACAAACTTAAAACACAGTTTAAAGCAACAAATAATCACTTAGGAGGACAAAGACTAAACCATATATTTCAGCACAATGTAGGTCAGCACTTTCTTTTTTCTAACTTTTGTGTCACGACCTCGTTGTTGAACCCCAAGTCCTCACGTTGCCCTAAAAAGAAGAAAACACATCTTCTGAGGTTCAGAACGATTGGCTGCGGGTGATCATGTGACCGCTGCGTTGAAGGCTCTCGTTGTGCGCTCGGTCTTGGAGGGGAGGCGTTCTGTAATAACCGAGGGGGCGAGTTTAATGGGTTGTATGTGGAGGGGGTTGAAGTGTTGGTGCAGACGTCACCTTGAGTCAAATATAGATCATTAAAGGACAATTCACTGTATTTAACAGGCGGAATTTATATTTCTTCAACACATTTCAGCATATATTTGCCAAGTAGTGATATATGGACACAGGACTGATTGTGAGTAATGGTGATTTAAAAACGGATACTTGTCCTCGGGGACTTTGCAGTGTGTCTGATGAGCTGCAGACGGGCTCCAGCTTGCTCAGTCCAACCCACTTTCAGTTTACGAGCAAATTCAAATGACAGTTAGGAGTTTATTGCCCCAAAATGTAAATGTTCACCGTCGACAGGTAGAGCGCTCAGGTGCAGCGACCTGAGCTCTCAACCCGCCCGCCAAACCCTAAAGTACGCAGCGTCATAACCAGCGCAACCACGAAAGCAGACACCTACACGCAGATTAACATCACGCATGCTGGTCATCTCCACGGGGAAAGACACAAAGACGTGGAAGCGGTTCGCATTCCGCCCACGGCGCCGTCGATAACGAGGCAACACATGAGCCGCGTTTCAGGTTCAAACCTGCTGAGTCATCGGATGGAGAGCGAGGCTCTAAATGTCAGCTTCACATCAGGACTTGCAGAAGGAAGAGGACGTTTTACTCCTCGCTCGCCCACTCCAGGCGCAGGACGAGCGCGTCGGGGGCGAGTGAGTTCCTCTGATCGGTTAGTGGGAGTAATCCCGGGTCACCGTGGCCTCCGCTAGGCCGCTTTTACTGCCGATGGGCCGTAAAAAACCAACTGGGATACTGGTCTCTGAACTACGTGACAACCAGTTAACACGACATGCACTTAATCAAGAATCCCTCCCGATTTGTTTTTGATAATTGCTGCATATTAACCTTCGACTCAGCGGTTGTGCGTCTGCCAGAGGAACTTGTTTGGAGGATCAGGTCCAAACAAGAAGAGGAGAGCAGTAATGAGGAAATGGGGGGGGGAAGCTTCACACGATTCGCTTTGACGTGGAAGCTGCACTTGTTGTGTAGATACTTTCCGTGGTGTTGCGTGTCCTGAATATAGCGCCGGAAGTTGTGATCTTGAGCGGGGGGGCGTTGAAATAATTATCAGCCGTGCTAATTCTGTTTGAGTTACCCATTTATCACCTGGAAAAACCGGTTTCACACACGTGTCAACTGTTACTCCCTCTGTAAATTGTCTTCATAGATTATATCACGCAGATCAATAAGTGTCTTTGTTCGCTGGTGTTTCTGTCGGTTGGTGGAAGGTTTTCGTGGTTTAAAAAAAGGAGGAAGGTCTAAATGATCCAATACCCAGAAACCATCAGATGTGACATCACACACACACAGGCTTATGAATAAAGGTTGTGACCTTTTAACGTAAAAAGGGTGAATACATTTAGTGAGTTTCAGCTAAATGAAGCTCTTCTGCTGTGCCCCCCCCCCCAGGTGGTGGCCATCGTCATGGACCTCCTGACAGACCTGCAGATCCTCCAGGACCTGCTGGACGCCGCGGCGCGGCGCGGGGTGGCCGTCTACGCCGTGCTGGAGGCCGGGGGCGTGCCCCACTTCCTGGACATGTGCAGCCGGCTGCAGATCAACGCCATGCATCTGCGGGTGAGCTCGGCAAACACTGGAGGGAGGGAGGGAGGGAGCCGCTAGTACAAATACACCAGCCAATGGAGGCGTGTTGCTGCTCTGCCTCCTTTAGCAGACAAAGGCAGCGGCCGATGGTTACCGATGGTTACCGTGGATTAGGACGAGGATCTGAGGGACAGTAGCTGTGGTCAAACAGAAACGTCCCTCCTGGTGTCACGTGGAGGTGAAGCTTCAGGTTTATTCACATTAGATGTTCTTAAAAAAATATCTAGGCCCAGATTCATGCTGTGATAAAACTAATTATTTAATTCCACACTGGTGTAAATGATTGGAATAAAAATTTAGTTGATTTATTTTTTGGGGGCATGAATACAAAAAAAAGTTGAAAAGTTGAAATAATGGATAACAGACAACAATTTTTAACAAACACCCGCAATATGAATATATGTTGATGTTTTGCCCCACTTCTTTATATCAGGGTTAATCGCTCTACTTCTCTAAATGAACATCTGGTGCAGTTCTGCTCCACGGGTCACGGTCACCTCAGCCCTGTCGCTCCTGGAGCACTGGGATCACTGGGATCACTGGGATCACTGGGAGCACTGGGAGCACTGGGATCACTGGGATCACTGGGAGCACTGGGAGCACTGGGAGCACTGGGAGCACTGGGATCACTGGGATCACTGGGAGCACTGGGAGCACTGGTGTGTGTCGATGGGGCAGTGAAAGCTCTTTTCAGACGGCTCTGATACTCTTCTTACAGACCCGGATCCTCCAGCTGTAACCTGACGCTCCTCTCGCTAGTCTCTTCTCCCCCCTGTCCCCTTTCTCTCCCCTGTCTCCTTTCTCCCGCCTATCTCCTTTCTCCCCCTGTCTCCTTTCTCTCCCCCCTGTCCCCTTTCTCCTCCCTGTCCCCTTTCTCTCCCCTGTCTCCTTTCTCCCGCCTATTCTTCCTGTCTCCCCTGTCTCCTTCTCCCCCCCTGTCTCTTCTCCCCGCCTGTCTCCTTTCTCCTGCCTGTCTCCTTTCTTCCTGCCTGTCTCCTTTCTCCTCCCTATCTCCTTTCTTCCGCCTGTCCCCATTCTCTCGCCTGTCCCCATTCTCCCCCCTGTCCCCTTTCTCTCCCCCCTGTCCCCTTTCTCTCCCCCTGTCCCCTTTCTCTCCCCCTGTCCCCTTTCTCTCCCCCCTGTCTCCTTTCTCCTGCCTGTCCCCTTTCTCTCCCCCCTGTCCCCTTTCTCTCCCCCCTGTCCCCTTTCTCTCCCCCCTGTCCCCTTTCTCCCGCCTGTCTCCTTTCTCCCGCCTGTCCCCTTTCTCTCCCCCCTGTCCCCTTTCTCTGTCCCCTTTCTCCCCCCTGTCCCCAAACGCAGTTTGACCTTTCATCTAGCAGGAAAGTCGTGTGGCGGTGCAGCGTGGCCGTGGACGGGGGGCCTTAGTGGGTTTGCTCGGGCCCGTGTGATGCTAAGCTACCTGACGCGTGTAAACAAGCAGGAGTGTCTTCACAGAACCTGCGCGTGCGCTTGGTGAGCGGCTCGGGGATGGCGCTGTCCTTTGGGAAGCTGCCCGGGACGCTGTGCTCCAAGTACATGCTGGTGGACGGAGAGAAGGTCCTGTTCGGGTCCTACAGGTGAGCTCCGGCACACGCGGCGACCCAGTGGATCGTTTCTAGTGCCTCTTTGGCGACGGCGAGCTTTTCTACATGAGCGCCATGTTCGCCCGCGACCCTTTGGGACAGAACTAAAGCCAAAGGCTTTCTGAGGTGCCGATGACGAGCAGGAATGAACGAGTCCTGTCATCACGTCACCGGCGCGGCTCAACAGGTGCATCGGGTTTCTTCTTCCTTCTCAGATTTGTCGATGATAAGTAGATAAGTAGGTTAGAGGAGATGAGCTCTGTTTTCCTCTCAGATCCAAATGTTTGGAGGCTTTTAATATAAACTTTCTTTAGAAGCTGCAACACAATAGAAAAAACACAAAGACCCTTTTGATGCAGATGTTTTTCGGGGCGCTCTTCTCTTCGACAGTTGGTCTCATGATTACTGACTGAGGCCAACATGCAAAACCCGGGTGAGATCATCTGGAGGACAGATGTGTGTCACCAGAGGGCTTTTTTTTACAATAATTAACCAGGTACAGTGAAATAATTACACCAGAGAGCCAGATGTTCTCACACCTGTAAACTAACACATTAAATAATCACACTTTCACACACACAGTTTCTCCTGAGCTGTTTCAACTTCATAAAAACGTTGTTGCTCGATTGTTTTACTGAATAGAACATTAATAAATATTCAATAACAAAATATCTGTTCTTGGAATGACTTTCCAAACACACAATGATTTAATATACATTCGTACATATAATGCGTCATAAAGTTAATCTGTGTACAGAAGCCTGTGTTTGAATAAGATGACGCATCTTTCCACACGTCATGTTTGTCAAAACATTGAATCGAAATCCAACAACCTTTCAAAAGCTCAGTAACGATAAGACGTGACCTCGTCGCCACGCGTCGCTTCTTCTTCCTCGTTCCAACGAAAGCCGATTCCGCATGTTTCTCTTCCTTGTCGCTCTCACGCCGTCTTTTCTCCTGCAGCTTCACCTGGAGCTCCTCCCGCGTGGACAGGAACACCGTCACCGTGATGTCGGGGCAGATCGTGGACTCCTTCGACACCGACTTCAGGGAGCTGTACGCCGTGTCCGAGGAGGTGGACCTCTACGGCGAGTTCAACGTCACCAAGCCGCCGATCGCCGCGCCCATCAGGAAGCCGAAGGTGGAGAGAATCCAGCCCCTGGCCGTCTCCATGTCTCGCTTCCAGGTGTCCGTCGGGGACTCCAGACAGGCGGACCTAAAGGTGCCCGCTCATAAATACCACAATCCCAAGTACTCGCTGGTTTTCGGGAAGGGCGCGGCCCTCACGGGTTCGCTGCAGGACCTGTCGACCCCGAGGGACCCGCTCGGCGGCGGGCAGAACGCCAGGAACGGCCCGCAGAACCACGCAGGCCGAGCCCCCCCGCAGAGTCCCAGTTCGCCCGCGGGGGAAGACGACGGGGACGGGGCCTCCAAGAAGAACCAGCTCTTCAGCGCCAAGAAGCAGCGCAGCTCTTTCAGGAGCTTTTTGAAATCCAGGGGAGGGACGGAGACTTTGCAGGAAGGCGTGGTGACCCCCCAGGTGGCCACGCCCACCCGGAAGGTGTCGGAGACCAGCGGAGTCGCAGGCGATGAGGCGGAGGACTCGTTTGAGATCATTGAGATACGCGCGCCAATGAACTCCAAAACCAAGAAGCCCTCAAAGCTCCTCCCGAGAAGCGTGTCTCTGCAGACCATCAACACGGGAGACGAAGACGGTGCGTCCTCACGTCGTTCTGTGACTCCTTTCATCAGGCTCACAATGACCTTTTCCTTGATTGATTCACTGATTCCTTATTTGGTCTATTAAGAATATAAGAGTGCATGAAAATCACCTTCACATATTCAGTGTAAAGAGTTCTTCACATTTGAGCAGCTGACGCGTGTGATTGTTCCTTCACTTAATCTGATAGAAGGTTTTAGGTTTTCGGTGTCACTAAGCAGACAATACATTCCTTTATGTTAATTTAACATAATTTAATGTTATATTTCCACAGTCAGCAAAAATGGATTGATTGCATGATGAGTCGGTGCAGCACTTTCAGTATTCTTCTTCTTCTACACTAAAAAAACAAGGCGTTCTTTTGCTCTTTGATCTTTTAAAAGCCATTTTCTCCACAAAAATATCAATAAGCTATTGATCCGTCCCCCTTTTTGTTTTTGTTTGTCAACAGGGTCTAAAGGTCGCTGGAGGCATCAGAAGAAGAACTGCATCCAGTCGTGAGATCGGCCTCGCTGAAACCCGATGACATCCCGCTCCCGAGGCTCTCCGGGTGAAAGGCCTGCTGGGAGATTTCGTGTTTTAGAGTGAAACTCCGGAGGGACATTCCAGCAGTGTGTCCTTTGTATTAAATTAATACAGCCGAGTCCGAAGGGACGGCGCCCAGAGGCTTTGGGGGGGGGGTTACGTCACACCTGGTTGCCGTGGCGATGAGTTGTGCCGTTGGGCCCCGAGTGTCGCCTTACAGAGGAGCCTGTGAATAATGCACGCCGGGCCGCGGCGCGAGGACTCTGCACGTTTACACTTTCAGCAGAAAATGAACAAAATGTGAATTCCTGAGATGCAAATAATCCTTCTTCTGTAGCAGAAATTGTCATGAAATAATCAGTGAAAACTGAACATTTAAGTAAAAGTTAATGAATGTGTGTAATTCCAGGAATAATGAATAGTTTGTGTTTTATTGCTTGACCTTTTTTAAGTTCTTTCATAATGAGTTGCAGAAAATGATGTATCGTCTATTTGAGGTTGAAACGTGGTGTTTATCTCTTTACGTGATCGCTGGTGACCATGAACTATTTTTATATTTGGTCAAATGTCTAAAAAGGCCAAAACAATGTGTTTTAGACTCTTCATTGCGTTATAAACAGCGTTTCACTGTGTTTTCTTTACTTCACAGGCTAAAAAATGTGAAAGCAGGGCAATGACATGTTTGTAAAATATATGCATTTTCCTAATATTTACACACATTTCTTGAAAAGTTTATATCTGCAATGATTTAAGAGAATTACTTTTTAAACATTAATATTAATACAAAAGATTACACTCGATACAATAGTTCTTCTGTGACATATTAAGCGACCATCTTTTTCCCTTCATCCTAAGATGTTTAGCAGTAAATTAATATTTGACCTGAATGCACCAGTGAACCTTCATTAATTTACAATATTAGACAACAAAAAAATCATACACATCATGTCTAATTTTACAGAAGTTCCCGTTGGCGGCGTTTTCTCTAAACGGGTTTGTTGTCACACTGATCCATAAATGTCCTTCAGTACCTTTTAAAGCACCAAACTACACGACAGCCTCATCCAGAGGCCTTCAGCATCGTGTCACAATCAAGGGGAAAATAGATTTTCTTTGTTCGCTGGCAGTATTTCCTGATATATACAATATACATATACATATATATTGTATATATTCTCCACGGCGTTAAAGCGGTTTACGTCTATTTCACAGGCGTTGCGTGTGTGAGCGCACGCTGAGGGAAAGGGTTCACTGGGTGTTAATTCGTGCTGCTGCTCCCGTGAAACCACAGCGGCTCATCGCAGCTCACGACAGGAAGTGACGTCACGCGCCCATCAGATAACCACGGGGCTGTGAGCCGCGCCTCTCCCGAGTTCTCATGGTCACAGCAGAAGGTTGAGCGGTGGAGTACCTCCACCTGCTGGAGGGATTCATGTACGAGTGGTTCACAAAACGATCCAGATGACATCACACATTGTACATAACATTTATTTATTTATAAGTTAATCTAAAAGCTTTTCACGTTATTTACAACAGTTGGAACAGGAATTTACATTTATGACAAAATAAAGTTATAAAAGGGTAAAAAGTAGAAAGCCGCTGGTCCACAAACCGTTTGGGTCTATTTGAAAAAAGCTAAATTCTGATATGAAATGTCTACAGCAATAAATAGCTCCTGTGCACTGTGAGGTAAACGACCCCCCACTGAAAGAGACCGGATCACCTCAAATGATCCCTTCGGGTTTTAGTTCCTTTTCTTTTTTCGGAGTCTGGTTTTAGTTGTTTTGACTTTCATTTTCATTCTGTCGCAGCTTTTGTGGACATTTAAAGGATCATTTGAGTCGTTCTGTGTCTTTTGTTCTTCATGAACATAAAATCCCAGGATGATCGATCTATGAAACATGGCGCTATGAGGACGTGTTGCTGATGACTTTCCTCTTCCGTAGGGACACCAGGTCATAAAACGGGTCTTTGGTGATACTCGCTCTGAAAGACACAATGAAGACTCAGACGGAGCAGCAGGACTTTGTTCAAATCTCCATCAACGCCTTTTTAAAGCTCACATTTTGTTCCTTTAAAATGTTCAAAACCTGAATTGTTTATGCACCAGAATACTTCTGGGCTCTGCGCTGTTAAACGGGTGAACATCTGGAGGTCACGCGGTGTCATCACCGCCGTCTCCTCTGTGACCTTAAAGGCGGCTCTCACCTGATGGCGCTGATCCAGGCGTCGCGCTCCTCCGGCCCGGCGGCGCTCAGCTTGTAGGACTGATGTTTGCCCTGCACCACCCGGCCCTTGTTCTCCGTCTTGCAGGCCTTGATCTTCTGTCCTTTGGGGTTAAATAACTCCAGGCAGTACTGTTCAAACACACGGCAGGACGGCGTCACCGCGTGCATGTGCTTCATGGTGTGTGTGTGTGTGTGTGTGTGTGTGTGCGGCGTGACAACAGAGGTAAAAGACACTCTACCGGTTTGCTGGAGTCACACAGCTTCTCGACACAGAGGTTCTCCAGAGGGATAATCCCGATGGGGTCTTTGTCCTGCGGGTGGAGGAGGTGGAGGAGGACATTAAAGTCTAACACTCGCGCGTCGGTGTGAAGCGGTAAAGGGGCGGTTCTTACCGTTGTGTATTCAAAGTAGTACAAGCAGCTGTCCGTCAAAATGAACCACCTCCTCTTCCAGGTTTTAACTCGACCACCTTCAACAGAGGACAGCGGTTAATCGGGTGGAGAATCTCCTCCCGGCGGCGGCATCTCAGTCGGCATTTCTCACCCATCTTCAGGAGCCAGCCCTCCCGGTCCGGGTTGAAGAAGGTCAGCGTGAGGTCGTTCCCGTCGTCCACGGGGATTTTGAACGGCTCGCTGCGAATGCTCGCGTACAGTTTCTGCAAGAGAAGGTCAGCGTCTTCAAACATTCAAACACGGAACGGTTCCTCATTTTAAAATAGCCTCAGATCTACGACGGCACAAGTGAAATGACTCAACGTCCCGGGTGTCCTTCGACCTCAGACCCCCACCGAGTACAGTAATAGAGTGAGTCGGGTGGAGACGCGCACCGTCAGCAGCTCGGCGGGAAGGTCCTGCCCGTTGTTGATCCCTCTGTTCATGGTCACGAATCTCTGCAGGCCGGGTTTGTCTTTCACGTTGGGGTTGTGGAGACTCGTGTTGAGCATGATGACGGCGAAGGAAAGGATGTAGCACGTGTCTGTCACACACACACACACACACACACACACACGCACACACACACACACACGATTGGGGAAACACTTAGGATTCTGCAGCCGTGCGTCTGAATATTTTACAGCACAAAAATAACATAAAACAATTTATACGTCGCCATGGCAACGCCAGCTGCCTGCAAGGGAGCGAGGCAAAAGGAGCCCAAGGAGCCTCTCGCATGAGTCCTTCCTTCCTGAGCTCTCGGTGGCGTCCGTGCGCATTGAACTTTAGATAAATCAGCTGAATCTACAGATTCCGGTGCCCTCGGAGCGCGTTTGGACATCCTCGCCGTGACGTCACCTGTCGGTTTGTGGGCCGACGTTTTTGAAACTAATGACTGGAAGTGGCTGAAACTAGAGATTGAGATCATAAACTCGTGTTTACAGTGTTTACTGAGGGAATAAACCAACAGGGAACAAAACACACAAGCGTTTTTTGTTTGAATCAGTCAAATTTGGGACTAATCCTCTAAAATGTTCTGTTTTCTTCTTGCAAATGTGTTAGTTAGCTTCTTTCCTTTCCGACTGGTCCATCACTTCTTTCATTTTGTGCCCTGAGCGGCCCTAAAGCGCGTTGCACTGCCTGAATAAATTGCACCGGTATTAAAAATAATTTCCTGTGAGCGCCGCCAGAGGAGGAAGACTTTTATCTCTGATCAGCTGCTATTGTGAAATAAAACATGTTGATCCTGGCGGCAGAGAGGCTGCACGCCGCTGTAATCAACGGCGTTGTCGGCGTACCGGTGGACTGGAAGACCCCCGGGTTACAGTCGCAGTAGCGGGTTGCAAACGCCTCCATCATCCTGTCAATCTTCTGCGCTTCTCCCGGGAGACGAAAGCTCCACAGAAACTGCCTGCAAGAGAAAAAAGACACACACGCCGTCAGAGAAACGAGGCGCGAAGGAACCTGCAGCCACGCCGACTTTAAAGCAACACGAACCTCAGCGCTTGCACCAGGTTCAGATCTGAGAATTCATGCAGACCCACAAACGCTTTGAGGGTCTGCAGGTGCATCTCCTCCCTGCGAGAGACAAAGTAAAATCATAAAAGGGGAGAAGAACATCGAGCGCGTAGAAGATGCGAGGAGCTCCATCCTGCGGAACGTCGAGCTAGAACTTAAAACTTAATGAATTAAGATTAAAAAAAGATATTTGACTATTTCCCTGCTGCCCGTGTTGCCTCATCACCGGCCCTCTGTGCATCTCCATGGCAACGCCCCAAATGATGATATACTGTGGCATCGTCGGACTCTTGTTTTCATCAATCTGTCGGGGGCGAGCGTGCTCACTGTACCTTTCTCCCAAAAAGTTCCCGATGGCGGTCTTGTTGAGTCCGTCCTCCTTGTAAAGGAACTCGGCCAGCGCCTCGGCTCGCCATTCCAGCAGCTCGCTCTCCACCAGGTAGCGGACACCCTGAGGACGAGCAGACGGTCCGAGCTCACACGCAGACACTTGTTTTGGGTGGATCGCCTTCGTTTAACCAAAGCTTCCGCGTGCTCTGGAAACCTTAGACAACGGTTCTCATATCGCACTTTTTTCCAGCAACACGTGTCAATTTTCTCCCTTTTTCTCTCTTTTAAAATAAACTCCCATATTCACTGAAATCAACCCAGTGGAGTTTAGGCAGATAGAACTTTGGTTTAACTCATTTAAGCTCATGTTGGAGTCCACGTCCTCTGCTCTCCATCCAGTGGGACCAACGTATACTTCCTGGTTTGCGGTTGAGTGGATTAAATATTCATTTCTTTTGGGGGAACATCTATGAATTACAGCCCAAATGATCACAGAGAAGCTTCCCGTTAAACGTCGACACTCTAATCAACTCTTCTAACTTCTAGGTTTTCTTTCTCCGTTTTTAGTCGACGACGTCATTCGCCACCAGAGGAGAAAGACAAAGTCTCCTTAATGTCTCTTCAGAGCCACATCTGGAAAGTATGACCCCTTTCCTGCAGAGCCCCCCTTCTCCAATCAATTACACGTCAAAGACCCCCCTAACCATAACCCCCGGGGGGGGGGTTTCAAACTTCTCATCCTTCCACTCGAGCTGGGGGGGGGAAGCAGCCGGGGAGACGGCAGGCCGCGAAGTGGAGCTTCTGCACCACTTCAGGGAACAGGATGTGGCTTTTCTCTGCGTCGCTGCACGGTTTTGCACCTCTGCGCGCGCTCACCGCCGCCGCCATCGGCTGTCACCCGTCGGGCGACCTTCACAACCAGAGGAGAAGTGAGTGAAGGTACGACCCCCCCAGCTGCACCTCCTCTGAGACGTAAAGCGCTGAATCAAACCGTCCGCATCGATGTGCGTGTATTTGCTCAAGCAGTGAACGCTCGCCTCCATTTGATGCTGCGTTGACCTTTGAGAGCTGATAACGTTTGAGAGCTTCTTCCACCACTTTCCCCCGTAAAATATCAGCAAGAAACAACAGCAAATCCTCTTATGACTGTTTGTTTGCACCAAAACACCTTTTTGGGGTCCATGTTGAATTTCTTCTTCCCGCGAAGGAATCTCCTGTTCTTCACAACGTTTTTACTGCAACAGAATGCCCCAAAAATATCATCATTTAAGTACATATGACATGTGATATGACGTCTTCTGTACATTCAGAGCAGATTGTTTTCACTCCTCACATCGTGTAAGTTGCCGCGCTGCTTTCTGAGTGTGAATAATTCAGCATTGATCTTCAGGGGCAATTTGCATGATTGGTTTAATGCACTTTGGGTGTATATTTGTTTCACGAGGCTCAAAATGACATCATCAGAGTATCTTAGCAGTTTAATTTAAGATGTATTAACTCGGCAATGGTAGTTTGCCTTATTAAAGATCAAAGATCCAAACATTTCTCCATCATTTAATGAAACATTTGACCCGTTTGGAGGATTCCTCCAGCGTGTGTTTCCTTCAGTCTATTCGGGCGGCGCAGCGGTTCTGGTAAACTGCGGTTATCATACCAGTAACTGCTGACGTATTACGATGCTTTGCACCTCCTGCAAGCAGCGACAATAGCAAGAGGAAGTGAAAACGTGTAGATGGCTGCACGCCTTCTCAAAATGTCAAGACTTCCTCTGCACTTCGGCTGACTGGGCCCGATGCCTCCGGCCCGTTAGGGAACAGTGACCAGCAGCGGGGGGGGGGGGGGGGGGGGGGGGGGGGGGTCACTTCCGGGCCAGGACCAATGGACGGTTCAAATGGAAGACGCGCACGCAGCCGCCTCCGCTGTGCACGACGTGCACTGTGAAATAGTGTTTATAGACTATAAATATGATGGACACTTATCTTAAAGTACAAAATGCATTGGATTAACAATCGAAGTTGAAGTCATGTGCAAGTAAAAGATGAACTAATTAAGATCAGTTTTTGAACTGCGAACTGCCGACGGGCGCCATCTATGACCCGTGTGACCCGGATGTCTCCTTGACCCCGGAGCTGCTCCTCATACTCACTCCTGCTCCTTCAGCTCGGGGCTTTGGATTTCTGCCGTGATGTCGTTGATCTCCAACCTCAGCTTCTGGAAGGAAAAAAAAAAATGGAGGGAGATTGAAGTGAAAAAGACGCTGGCTCGGTACCAAGGTCCTTGGTGGCGTCACGGACGACGTCACACGACTCAGAGCCAATCAGCCGGCAGCAGAAAATAACCTTCACACCTCAAAGGGAAAACATGGCGAACGAAACACCTCCGTGTGCTGTGAAAAGCTCTGTGGAGGCCATCAAGAGTGGGCGAGAAGAATAATGGGGTATTTTTAATGCGAGACCTTGGAAGGATATAGATATAAATATATATATATATGTATATATACATAAAGTACCCGAATGTCATCCAGCAGCTCAAACTTGTGAATCCCGGTGGTGTGAGCCTGTCTCTTCGGTGGAGCTGTGGGAGACAAGAAGGCTTTGGTGAGGACGGCGTGAGGACTGCTGGACGCTCGCCATCACACACCAGCAGCGACGAGAAGGTCAGTGGACCCGAACCGCCTCTTCCTCACGTTCAGGATTATGGGTCAAGTTGATTGTGACGTACTTCACTAAAGTTTCAATCATCACTCATTGTTATTGTCACAGGTCTCAAACGAGAGAAATGTTCGACAACAAAACGGTTTCACAGTTTCGAAAACTAAATGTCAATCAACCAGCAGCGTTTTCAGTGAATCCTCATGACTGAACCACAAATAGTAGGACTAACACTTTAAAACAAGTCCATTATTTTGATAAAGCGTGTAGATGAGCGTACCTTTGCCCCAGAGGAAGCTGTCCTTCCTGCAGATGGCCATGTTGTGGACGGCGCAGAGCGACTGAGAGGCGAACAGGAAGCCGTGTGTCGGAGTGTCAGAGCGAAGGAAAAAGGGCCGGCGCTGCTTCTGTGACGCCCGAAAACAGACTCGACGTGCGCGACGAGGTGTGCGCGCACGTCGTTCCCCCCCGGCCGCTGTCAGGGTTACACATCTGACACGTCTGCCACAAGGAGCTCTCCACAAACGCGAACACCACCAAAAACATCTCGACGTGCGTGCCCTTCAAAATAAAAGGGTTTCATCTTTGTTCTGTGGGGCGAAGAAGCCAAATGAACATGAAACGCGGCCACTTGAGCAGGAAGGAAAGGACTCGAGCGACGCGTGGCTCGTCTCCAAACGCCGGGCCCCATCTAGTGGGCCTCGCAAATTATACGTTCACTCGTTGTCAACGAATCCCACGAGAAGACCAAAGCAACATGAAGGTTCACGTGGTTCATTTGCTGCGTAACAACCTGAGATTTTCACTGATGTTTCCCCACAGCCGATTGTTACAGTGACACCAGAATTCATAGATTTGTTTTGCAACGTTTCTTTCTTCTGCCTGTGTTTACTGGCTGCTTAGCAACTGGGTGCTGAAATAAAAAGGCCCAAACTGGAGAAGTCACCAAACACGTGTTTTGCGTGAGTCACACTTTATTCACACTTATTTTAGATCGGTGTGTATTTTCAGCAGGATAAAAACTAACGATCACTGTGTGTTTTAAGGGTCACATCATCATACGTCATAAAATAAAGACATTATTTTATAAATGGTTCATAAAATAACTTCTTAGATGTGAGAAATGAGAAGCGCTGAGTGACATCATTGTCATTCAGCAGCGGAGGATGAGCAGAAAAACAGAACAATTATTCCTCGTGTCACCTGAAACTCACCAACGTCCCTGAACAGCTGTGAGTCCACCACGAATCCCGCCTGTCAATCAGCAGCGGCAGCGCTCGCCATGAGAGACGCCAACGAAGCGGCTGTCGCCCGGTCCGTCCTCCTGCAATTGGGCTTCGCGCGCTGGGATCTTTTCTTCGTAATGGGACATGTCGTGTTTCGGAGGAGACGTGGTGACGAGACGAGCCAGAACGTTCACCAGGAACACGTCACTGAACGGCATCACGGGAACAAAGAGACACAGCGATGGACACAGAAACCCAGCAGACAACCAGAGGACTGGAGCAGTGGTTCTCAAACTAAACCATACATACATAGTACCCCTAAGACTTGTTTTATATGTGAATAGGTTCTAAGTTTAAATTTATTTGGAAAAAAAATACCCCGTGGAGTGCCTTCAAGTACCCCGCAGGGGTACACGCCCCCCCATTTGAGAACCACTCTGGACTAGAGAGACACGAATCAACCTGTAAAGTGATGAAATAATCCACAGAGAAATGAAAGACAACTTCAGAGAGACACAAGTCAACCAGAGAGATGCAACATTGCTGCAACGAGACAAAAGCAACCGGAAAGAAAAGGAAAACAACGGACGCAGGAGATAAAAGAAAGATGAGAGATGCAAAACAAAAAAAATGGATGAATAAGCAAAGGGAATAATTCCACAGACCGGCAGGATCGACACACAGGACGCAACTACATCCACGTAACACTGCGGTGAGACCAATTGGGCACACAAACAGCAAGGAGACAGAACTGACCAGAAGAATTGACCCGAAGAGACACAGAACAACAAGGTTTGCACACGGCGACAATGAACCACGAAGATATGAGCGACAGTCGCCGCTGGCCGCGTTCAGAGACGCCAGGGTTGTTGCTCCAGGAGCCTCGTGTGGCCTCCCGAGTCCTCGGGCTCCTGAGGAGGGAAAATGCTCCTTGATATTCAGTGATTACCGAGCAATCTGTGGCGTTAAGTGTCCCTCCGCTCTCACTAAGTGCTTTGATTTGTCCCCCCCCCTCCCCCCTGAGGGTCCAGAGCACACCTGCAGAACTCGGGTCTGGAGTCTTCTGATGCCCCGGCGTTCCACTCGGTTGCCACGGTGACGCGACAAGGCGGATGCCGTCGGGTCGGCGTGTGCGGTGTGCAGGCGGCGCAGATGCACTGTCACCAGATCGTGCAGCAGCACACCGCCAAGTGCAAACGTATGACGTCAATGAAAGATCCGATCAATAGAAATGAATCATCATCAACGAGATACAAAGCACTCTGGTGCTTGTGCCCAAACTCAAACAGTGAAAGACATTTTAAAACGTAAAAAAAAACGAAAGAGTTTCAGTTTCTATGCCTACGGCTCCTCTTGTTTCTCTTCTTCGGGGGGAACAGCGGCCGCTCAGCGCTCAAGGCCGGACGACAAAGCGGCAAACAAAGCAGTCGTGTGAGCGCATTCACCTCCCGAGGCGACGATCAGAGGTCGTTCAGCTGTCGTTCATTCAGCTGCTCTTATGACTGAAATCCCTGTTTGGCCCCCGGGGCCTCCTCCCAGTCAGAGGACCACTGGCGTCTTCTGAGGCTCCAAAAGCAAATAGGAACTTTGAAGTGGTTTTGGATCCATTATCGACCTACAGAAAGAAATGTTTCCGTTGTGCGATGAGTCAAATGATCATCGATGAAGATTAAAATGTCTCTAAGTCCGGATCCATCACTTCACCAAATATGTTTTTATATATTTATCATTCGATTTTTATTATGATTCTTCCGTATTTGCAACAACCTTTCAACAAGACCGACTACGAATGAAAATGAAGGTCAAAGATCAGCAAGTTCAAGTACTTTATGCACACACACACACACACACACACACTCTCTGCTCTTCAACTTTCAAACAAGCTTCAAAGGGGATTTCTTCCCCAAAGATAAGAAAAAGGAGCCTTGAGTGTATTGATCCACCATCAAAGTGCTGCAGCTCCATCTGAAAGCTCGACTGAGTGAAAACAACCTTTCTATGTTGAGAAAAACGCCTGCCAGGGGACAGAATATATATATACATATATATATACACATATGTATATATGTATATATATATATATATACACATATGTATATATGTATATATATATATATATATACACATATGTATATATGTATATATATATATATATATACACATATGTATATATGTATATATATATATATATATATACACATATATATATATATACACATATGTATATATGTATATATATATATATATATACACACATATGTATATATATATATACACATATGTATATATGTATATATACACATTGCTAGTGGTTACTTACAACAAGCAGCGACGCCTCGCCGGATGCGTCTCTATTAGACTTCTGATTATCGGCACAAATGAGAGAAAGTCGCGGATATTCATCTGGGCCCAAACTGGACGTGATCATGGACTGGTAGTGCCAGCTGGAAACGCACTCCAAGATTGAAAAAAGGGGGCCGGGGGTCCGCCGGGGGTCCGTGTTGTGTGGCCCATTTGTAAAGCAATCTCACCAAAACAACATTGCTGATTCTAAACATCTCGCAAGAGGGTTTTAATTATTGAACAAGTCCAACAGTGATCGTTGTGATTCTCACAAGTGGAAATATTGATGAAAATGATGAATAGGATTCCAAGATCAGACGGGACTGTGAGCCGTAAACACATAAAAGATGCATATGTGGTTTGGTGTTTTTAATAGCAGCCGGAGTCGGGGGTGGAAGGCAGGACTCAAACGCAGACTTTTCCAAAACAAAAAGACTTTAATAGTCAAAAGGTCCAAAATCCAAGGGGCGAAAACACTCAGGCATGAAACTATGGGCATCCAAGACAAAAGACAGGACAAGGACATGCGTGGCAAAAGACAATGACGCGACAAGTGACACAGGAGACACATGGCTTAAATACACAAGGGAGGTGCAGGTGATTGGACACAGGTGGAAACTATTAGACGATCACAGGGGATGACGGGACAAGGCAGGAAGTGAAGTTACCCGGGGACACAAGTGGCAGAAAACTACAAAATACAACAGGAAGTGAAACCACACCGTGACAGTACCCCCCCCTCAAGAGCCGACTTCCAGGCGGCTCACACTAGAGCAAAACAAGGGGTGGGGGGGGGAGGGAAACCCGAGACGTTGGTCGGACCACCCGGGAAACTCTGGCGGGCGGCCCGGCGACCAGGGAGCCTCCGGTGGTCGGCCCGGCGGACAGGCACACTGCCGGGGAGCCTCCGGTGGTCGGCCCGGCGGACGGCCATTTGGCCGGCTCCGGAACGTCTCTGGAATTGGAGGCACGGGGACACGGGAAACCTCCGGAGGGGTCGTCGTCGGCTCGGGGACGCGGGAAACCTCCGGAGGGGTCGTCGTCGGCTCGGGGACGCGGAACACCTCCGCAGTCGGCTCGGGGACGCGGAACACCTCCGCAGTCGGCTCGGGGACGCGGAACACCTCCGCAGTCGGCTCGGGGACGCGGAACACCTCCGCAGTCGGCTCGGGGACGCGGAACACCTCCGCAGTCGGCTCCGGCTCGGGGACGCGGAACACCTCCGCAGTCGGCTCCGGCTCGGGGACGCGGAACACCTCCGCAGTCGGCTCCGGCTCGGGGACGCGGAACACCTCCGCAGTCGGCTCCGGCTCGGGGACGCGGAACACCTCCGCAGTCGGCTCCGGCTCGGGGACGCGGAACACCTCCGCAGTCGGCTCCGGCTCGGGGACACGGAACACCTCCGCAGTCGGCTCCGGCTCGGGGACACGGAACACCTCCGCAGTCGGCTCCGGCTCGGGGACACGGAACACCTCCGCAGTCGGCTCCGGCTCGGGGACACGGAACACCTCCGCAGTCGGCTCCGGCTCGGGGACACGGAACACCTCCGCAGTCGGCTCCGGCTCGGGGACACGGAACACCTCCGCAGTCGGCTCCGGCTCGGGGACACGGAACACCTCCGCAGTCGGCTCCGGCTCGGGGACACGGAACACCTCCGCAGTCTGCTCCGGCTCGGGGACACGGAACACCTCCGCAGTCTGCTCCGGCTCGGGGACACGGAACACCTCCGCAGTCTGCTCCAGCTGGGGGACACGGAACACCTCCGCAGTCGGCGGCGGCTCAGCCCCCCCCATAACCCACCCCGTAGCCCCCCCCCTCAAGGGCCGGATCCCAGACGGCCCTCAAATCACCAACGGGAGGGTGGGAGAGGACCATGGGATGGGAGGGAGGGAGCCTGAGTCTCGGAGCGGGGACTGGCCGAGTTGGGGGCATGGAGCGTGGGGCCGGAACTGGTCGGGTCGGGGGC